TCACTTTGGTGGGAACAGGTCATTTTCTAATCTGCACTTGAGCTCAGAGCCCATGCAGTATCTTAAATTGCTTCATTGCACTTAGTCTCAAGGATGAGATTTGCTTGTGTGTCTTTAAATAAGGCCCTAGATACGGAGCATACAGTAGGCATTTGACAGGTCTTTATTGACTTGAAGAGCGGCACCGTTCTGGGAGGTTATAACAGGTTTTCTTTCCTGAGGCTTAAGAGTCATTGAGTTGAGTGTGAAAGCGTGAAAAGTGATGTAGCACAACCAAATACATCCTAATATGAGAAAAGCTATTGCAATTCAATCACCCCCAGGCTCAGCCTCAGAGACCTCCCTCCCACATGTTCTGCTGACAATCTCTCCAGCCCCTCCGTCAGGAATCCAGGCGCTCTCTCTGAGTTTCAGTACGAAGAGGGAGTGGGTGATGAGCTCGGAGTGGCCTGGAACCACACTGGCATCTGTGCATAGGATTATGGAAGACCCTGTCCAATGACCTAAATTCAGACACTCAGTGAGTAATACCTTCAGAGAATGAGATTCCTAGCCCAGCAGCTCAGGGTCTGAGTGGAGAACTAGCTTGAAGATGTTCTCAGACGTATTTCTTCTCTCATAACTAAAGTCTGAGGGGAGGGGTTGTTTAGCTTCATTCCAGAACAAACTATTGTGTTTCTAGCATGCACAGGATGACAGTTCGTGTTCCTGAGAAGCAAGTGGAGAGAGAGGGGTTCAAGCGGCAATCTCTAAGTCAGCCATTAATGTTACTAAATCGGACGGAGAAGGGTTGAGATTTTTCTGGATAATGAAATGTGAGCAGCCAGTGTTTGAAAAACCCTCCCAGAAGACTCTGATAAATAAGAAAGTAGGCCGGGCGGTGGTGGCGCACGCCTTTAATCCCAGCACTCGGGAGGCAGAGCCAGGCGGATTTCTGTGAGTTCGAGGCCAGCCTGGGCTACCAAGTGAGTCCCAGGAAAGGCGCAAAGCTACACAGAGAAACCCTGTCTCGAAAAACCAAAAAAAAAAAAACACAAAAAAAAAAAAGAAAGAAAGAAAGAAAGTAGATGCTCGGGTTGGGGATTTAGCTCAGTGGTAGAGTGCTTGCCTAGCAAGCACAAGGCCCTGGGTTCGGTCCTCAGCTCCAGAAAAAAAAAAAAAAAAAAAAAAAAAAAGAAAGTAGATGCTTGGTAGACAGGGAAGATGCATGCTTATGTCTATCAAATGCTAGTAATTATGCAAGGCCTAGTATGACCTGATTGACTTCACCATGGGCAGTACCCTTGATTTGGGGACTGATTAGAAAACACTAGCTTTCCTTGAGGGGATGGAAAATAAGCTTAAGTGAATTATTTAATTGCACAAATGCGAGATGGAATATAGTTTTCTGTTTTATTTACTCCTGTTAGAATTTTTAACGGGAAGGAAACACTTTTTTACCTAGGGTGATTTGCTTTGTGTAGGAAGGCAAGCAGAGTGTGTCTCTGTTGGAAGCGAGTTCAAATACGCGGCATATTAAACAACTGACAACCAGTGATTGTTACTGCTCCAAACTACTGGTAGAGCTGCAAGGATTAGGCTCACCGCCAGCATTTGAAGAGCTGTTTCCACACTGCCTCCAGGGTCTACGTTAGCACCACTTTGAAATATTTCTGTTGTTTTTCCGAAAGGCATAAGCCATCATCCTGAGCTGCCTGCCCAGCCGCCTCACACTCCTCGGCACCTCATGGCCCCTGCATCCTTTCAGTGGCTTTATTTATTTCTAAGCGTTCCTGGAATGTTTTAACTAACTTAGTCAATAACCTCTTCAGCCAGCCAAGCTAGGGGCACATCAGGCTACTAGAGTGGATGTCTGTTTCCTATTGTGAAGATTCAGATTTAGTTGTAGCACTCTGACAAAAAGTGAGGAAAGCTGATTGGGTTCTTCACCCTTCTTTCTGCTCTCCAGAAACGGGCAGGTTTAGTCAGATAATTCTCTTCTTTCTTTCTTCAAAAGAAATGGGAGTTGGAGGGAACTGGAGTACACTTAATTTTGTTATTGTTGTTGTTTGTTTGAGGTGGGGTCTTGCTATGTAACCCTGGCTGGCCTCAAACTCACAGAGATCCTCCTGCCTCTGCCTCCATGAGGTTTTTAAAACTTTTCTTGTAAGAGGTTGAAACCACTTGATATTCTTCTCTCTCTCTCTCTCTCTCTCTCTCTCTCTCTCTCTCTCTCTCTCTCTCTCTCTCTCCCTCCTCCATCCCTCCCTTCTTCCCTCTGTCCCTCTGTCCCTCCATCCTTCCCTGCCTCCCCAGGGAGGCTGTGTGTGTATGTGGTGTGTGGTGTTAACTGCTCACCTCTGTCACTCTGCCTTGCTCCTTTGAGGCAGTTTAAACTTGGAACTCATTAGCTGGCAGCCAGCAAGCTAGAGGCATCCTCCTGTCTCCACTCCCAACCCCTTCCCAGAAGCTCTGGGGTTAGTAATGAATGGGACTGTACCTGGCTTTGTGTAGGTGCTAAGATCCACACCCCAGTCTTCACACTAACACAACAAGCACTCTTAACCAGGCAAAGGCTCTTGGTCAAAACTTAAACCACAATGGCAAGTGTAAAGAAATTGGAATTCCTGGTACCCGGTTGTAATTGTTTTTATTTTGTGTGTCTGTGTCCATTAGTAGAAATGGCATTACTGGTGTGTTCCTACATCATAGGGTTGTTGTGAAATCAATGTACGGTATACCTTACAAAACATTTTAAGCAAATGAAAAATGTAAAGCTTGTCTGTTTGAAGATGGCAGGTATAGGCGACGGCGACATTGAGATGTGCCACCTGTCGCCCACCCCCTTCGGGCCTCGCGTGCACCTTCCTCAGCTGCCAGGAGCTGTCAGCTGAGACCCTTTCCAAGACTTGCTTTAGCTAAAGAGAGTCAACCGCCACATTTTGAGTGCATTCAGTGAGGGAGCCGGTCCGGCTGGCTGATTGGAAAGCTCAGAAGGCAGGGGCCAGCCCCCTTAAGTGGAGATAATCCTAAAGGCCCATTCCAGGCCTTCCCCAGATGAGGACCTGCTGGGGAAGCCACTGCTGTGACTGTATGGATTCAGCTTCTACCTCTATCCAGTCTACTTCCCCTGGTCACCTCACAGGTCCAGCCCCCAAGAGCAACTCCTACACAAACTTCAGCTTCCCGGGGCAGAGAAACTCAGATTATGACAAGCAGAATTATTTGAGTTGATGTGTCCTAGTTGGTTGTCATAGCAACTACATAGCTAACAGATAATGTTACATCCAGAATTTTATATTTCAGTCTTCACATCAATAGCTTAACTTAGCGGAGGGAAGACGTCTCTATCTAGTGAGGAAAGCAAGACCCTAAAACCTCAAGGTGGCACCTACATAAATCATATGAGGCAGAGGCAACAGCTACCCCTTCCATCAAAGAGAAGGATCATGGACCAGGTACCTGCAGGGAGCCCTAGTATTTAGAAGTCATTTCATTCCATTCTAGTAAAGGCATATCTACCCAAAGTATTCCAAGTTGCCAATCCTTTTAAGTAAGCAGTTTCAGCTTGCCCCTAGTCTTCCACACTGATGCAGTACTTTGTGCTATAAGTTATGATCCCTTAATCTTGAGGATTTCATGGTTGACTAGACTTGAATCTTGGCACACTGTGTACTAAACATCCTGGCATAAGTATGCTCAGACCAGTGTGGGAGCCAGTGAAGAGAGCGGCCAGCTGTCGAGAAGGGAGGTGGCAGAAAGATTTACCTCTAGGCTGTCTTGAAGGAAGATGGGGGATTTCCTGGGTGACTAGGGGTGAAAGGTCATTCTACACAGGCGGAATGGCCCGAGCAAAGGTTATTAAATGCGAGCACATTTAGTAGGGGCTTCACAAGGATCGGTGTGAGTAGAGAAAAGGGGCAGATGGCAGACAGAGATGGCATCAGAAAGGCTGGCAGGCATGGGACTTTGGACCTGCCAATGAGGAGAACTGACTCCATCATAAGGGGTGTGCTGCCACTGAAGAGCTGTGGGTGGGGGGCACTGGACAGTGAGCAGTAGTGAAGGGGATGCCACTGGAAGCAGAGAGAGATTGACATCGAGGAGACTGGTCAGTAGACAATGGCTTATAACTCCAGTTCCAGGGAATTCAGCACCCTCTTCCAGCCTCTACAGACAGCAGGTATGCATGTGGTACGTATTCATACATGCAAGCAAAACACCCGTGTGCATAAAATAATAACAAATAAATCTTTTTTACAACTCAAGATGGGTAAGCTTAAAAGAGGTTTCATTTTATAGATTAAGGGCAGAAAATCAAAAGAGCAGGTGTGAAATAAGGATTGCATATCAAGTCAGAACCTTTTTTTTTTTTTAACCTGACCCGTGAAAAAAATAGATTTGTTTGTGGCGCCTGTATACTCGCATGACTGATACAGACTTTACAACAATAACGACCTTTAATGTGTGGCATGTTCTGGAAATGCCTGTTTCACTGTATTGACGTTTTAGTGATACACACTTACTGTTCGGTTTTTCCCAATGCCCATTTTCGTGATGTCTTCCACCAGTCATCTGTTGTGCTTATGAAACCACAGACTCAACCTTCATTCTATCAGATATTGGCTTCGTGTATGTGAGTGTGTGTGTGTGTGTGTGTGTGTGTGTGTGTGTGTGTGTGTGTGTGTGTGTGTGGTGTTCAAACACATCAAATTCTATGCTAAAATTCATTACTAGGGAGGCATGGTAGCACATGCCTTTAATCTCACCACTGAGAAGGCAGAAGTGGGTAGATCTCTGTGAGTTTGAGGCCAGCCTGGTCTACATAGCAAGTTCCAGGACAGCCATGACTACATAGCTATCTTAAAAACTATCTTAAAAAAAATCATAACTAAATATCACTTGGATCCATACATTTTAGCAAAACATAGGTTGATGCAAAGTATCATGAAGTTTATGGCACTCAGTACATGCTTGATCAACTAATGTAGTTTGCTTGGATTGTTTTCCACTAACTTAAGAACTACAAGAAGCTGTTGAGGAGGTTCTGCCAACCCTGAAAAAGGATGGAGTGTCCGTCTTTTACGTAAGCAGAACGTCTAACACAAATGGCGTGGACACACTACTGGACAAAGTGGATGGAGTGTCGGCAGAAGCTACTCCGGAGTCGTGGAGGTCTGAAGTCACTTTTGCCACGCCTGCCATATACATTTACACTTCGGGTACCACAGGTAAATAAGAGAGGATCTCCAAGACACAGGCCTGTCCTGGAAGAGCTAACCGCCCACTTGGCCTTTTAAATATTCTATTTCCCTAGCAAAACTTATCAGAGAACTAATGCTTCAGGGTATTTAGATCTTTCCCCATGAAAACTGACCTTATGTTATTACACATGATCTCATTTACTTTTCCCCAGCTCTATGCATACCTACTCAGTTGCTATAAAACATATAAACAGTTAATAACTACAAAAGTAGTTGAGATGATGGATAAAATCTGGTCCTGAGTGGGCTGTTAGAAATTTTTGACCCTTTTATATCTAGAGTCTATCTGTAATATGTAATTGATATAAAGGGGACATACCAGGGGACAACTATGGGGTGATATTTACTTAAACGTTTGGACTGATTTCTCCCATTTAGTACTGACGTAGAGTGAGCCTCGCACAGGTCCTAAAACACTGTGTGTCACCAAGTGTGGGAGCCTTCTCTGTGCACTGGCGTGTTATGAGCTGTTGAAGAGGCATTGCAGGAACTGCTGCTTGGAGCACGCAATGTTCCGTGTCACTGTAACCAGCATTCTCCGAGGGACTCAAAGACATCGCTCACTCAGCTCCCTCCTGCCCTGGCATCTGCCCATTTCATAGGCTCAGAAACTTGTAAAGACATTAAGGACTTCCCAGGACAAGAAGTCAAGTGTCAAGACTCACCTTGTGGGCTAACTCCAGGCTCATACAGTTAAGATGGTAACACCCCCTGCCTAATAATGTAATAAACATTCAGCGTCTGCCTACCAAAAGACGGGGAAAGTGTTTCCAAAGTGTAGTAAGCTGAAGCCTCCGGGATATGTGAGAAAAGAAAGCCGGAAGCCAGCCCCATATGTTGATAGTAATGAGCATTGTTACTATTGTGAGGAAATTAAATTATGAGTCATGTACACATTCTCTTTGTAATTAATCAAAGGTTAAGGTTGAAGGTTCTGTGGAGCCTGTTATCTCAACACCAGCCCACAGAATCTCTGTCCTTTGCTCCAACAGGCCCTCAGTAGCCATCTGATAGATTGCAGTTGCTAGGCCCCAATTTAACATGAATGCAGGGAACCCTTCACAATGTCATTTTTTTACTGAATATTTCCTTTAAATAAATGAGAATAAGAATAAGGGCTTCTACCTTCATTTCCGAAGAGTAATAGAATGCATAGATGAGATTACAAACCTTGATTATAGTTGGGATGAAGTGAGCTTTTGGCTAGGGATGGGGAAATCTAGTCCTAACACTGAAAAGTATGGAGCTTCTTCGCAATACGTGTTTTGGCAGGGAAATGGAAAACTCGTGTTTAGGGGTGTTTTCTAACACTCTGAAAATTAATTCCACAATTCAGCATTGATATTTAATGAGGAAACAGTAAGACTGATGTCTGTTTTATTGTTTTACCTAGGGATGAAATACCTGCATATTACTCTTGTGTAAAGTAATTAAATGAGTCCATTTAAGCACTTAGAGGCCAAAGGTTTTCCCTATTCCTCCAGGGAACTCAGTAGCACAAAATTATGTAATTGTTACAAAATATTCTTCTTGATTGATTAGTATAAAAATCTTAAATTAGGCAAAGTACTCAAAGTCAAGAAGGTGAATCTTTTTTTAAATGCAACTCTGAACTTTTACTATTTAAATGATTCTTTTCTGTGGTAAATACAATTGATTTGTTGATGGTTTCTTCTATTTCTTTTTTTTAATTTATTTATTCTATGTGGTTTTCACATCATGTATCTTGATCCCATTCATTCCCTGACCCTTTGCATCTGCCGTCTGCCCCTGGACCACACACCCCCAATAAAACAACATTCAAGAGGACAAAAAGAAGAAAATAAAATGAGGAAAATTTTAAAAGGGGGGGGAAGGAATTAAAAATCTCATCGTGGAAGCTGTGGTGGTTTCTTCTGTTTCTCAAAGTTAGTATAGAGTGGGGCGTTATCAGGAGTTCAGTGGCCTAGGGCGCTGACAAAGGAGATGGATTTGGATGTGTTTTCAGTGACAGGCGGCTTACTGCCCACAGAACAGACCGTTCCCTGGGCAATGCCTGGCTAAGGGCTGAGTCCTCAGGGACCTGCCTGCCTTGCCACCAAGCAGAGTTGTCTCCTTGGGTCTTAAGCTCCAGCTCGGCCCCTGAGCAGTGACTCCTCCTCACCACTAAGTCAGTCTTCCAGGGAAGCAATGAAAGCATACTTTGAAAAGAAAGTCTTTCTTAATTGTGCAAATTATTATTAAGAAAATACAAGGGCACTTAGTTTAACACACTAACACTCCACTAGAAACCGTTGACACTTCTCAGATTGGCAAAAAGCCCAGTGTTTGAGAGTTCCTTGGCAAGGCTGTGAGGAAACAGTTTTGTGTTTTACAGGCCAGGGAGTGAGTGGGGATCCCCCTCTTAACTGGCAGTGTACTCTTTATGTACTCAGATTACAAAGACGTGGTTTTTGGCCTGTAGCATCATTTATAGTGGGAATTGCCATGTGAACAAGGTAACTCACGGTGGCATCACTTGAAATAGCAAAATTATATAAACAAATCATAACTTTCTCATATAACAGCTATGAGGCAACTAGGGAAAGAAATAAATGGTTGGATACGTGAGGGAAATCTACAAATGTGGAGATCTTCCAAGAAAAAAAAACTGCACTATATTCTTATTTTGAATGAAATTGGCAAATATATATCATTACAAAGGAAGGTATTAGTGGTCTGCACTATTGTGTCTCTGAAACTTAACTTCCTCATCTGTAGGTTGGACAATATAGTTCGAGTTATCTCTTAAACTGAAATTGTTGAAAATGCTTTACAAAATAGTGAGCCCAAGGCAGGAATCCATTCTCTTCAAAGGACTACTACATCATCTGCCTGACTTGGGACTGAGCAAATCATGTCTTGAGAACCAAGTACAGCCTCCACGTGTTCTCAGAAAAGGGCCACTGTTAAGCCTTTATGTATGTGCACAGCTGCTCTCAGCACACTAGCAGATATGAGTCAGCACAGCAATGACCATATGACCCCACAAAACCTAAAATATTTACTCTCTGGTGTTTTTGAGGAATTAAAAAACATACACACCCATGGTCTGACTGCTCACCCCCCCTTCCCCACCTTCAAGCAATTCTTCCAGCGTGAGGAGAGGGAACTTTATACACCAGATCTCCCTCCCACACTATAAAAGGCCAGCCTGGCTCACTGATGCCTTCTCTTACGTCTTTGCAAAGGTCTCCCGAAAGCCGCAACCATCAATCACCATCGCCTGTGGTATGGAACTGGCCTTGCGCTGGCGAGTGGGATTAAGGCCCACGATATAGTCTACACCACCATGCCCCTGTACCACAGTGCGGCGCTCATGATTGGCCTCCACGGGTGCATCGTGACTGGTAAGCTCTGTTTCTCTCACCAGGCACCAGGAGTTGACACACAGTCAGTCACATCTGCTCAGGAGGAAAAGCACATCTGGCCACTTTGTCTGCTAGAGACAGTCTTTACTCCAGCATTGATTACAAGGCTCCTCTGTGGTTCGTGAGCAAGCACCTGCAGTCATTTCTACTTTCCCATGCCTTAACTGTTCAATATATCTAGGGAGAAATTCCTTTTCTTAGCGTCTGTAACTAATTCTCCACCTTCAGAAACGTGCGTGTCGCTCTCCGGCAGTATCGACACTTCTCTCCCCATTGTCCTTACTCTCCATTCGTCCTTACTTCCGTGGCTTCCTGGTCTTAGTCAGAGCAGCTGGCCTGCTGTCAGCTCCTCTGTCCCTCTCAAACATCACCGTCCAAACAGGAGTCAGCATTGTGTGTCCCTTCAGGAGAATGATGCTTTTACCCATAAAGGTTCGGTCCCATATCCCCCCTCTTCTCCCATGTGGCATTTTAAATAAGCCTTAAAAATAGACACATTTAGCCGGGCGGTGGTGGCGCACGCCTTTGATCCCAGCACTCGGGAGGCAGAGGCAGGTGGATCTCTGTGAGTTCGAGGCCAGCCTGGTCTACAGAGTGAGTTCCAGGAAAGGCGCAAAGCCACACAGAGAAACCCTGTCTCGAAAAACCAAAAAAAAAAAAAAAAAAAAAAAAAGACACATTTAAATTGAGATAAAATACATAGCACATATAATTATGTGTATACATATATATTCGTGTTTATATAATAGGCTGGATGTTTGCAATTCTGAGCCCTGGTGGGATAGTGTTAAAGGCAAGGCCTTTGGAAGCGTTAGGTCGTATATGTGGAGCTTTTGAACATTGGATTGGTGCCCTGATAAGCAGGTAGAATAGAGAGTCTCCTCGCTGGCTCTGCCCTCCCCCTTAAGAGGACATGAAGAGGTGAAGGCCATTCCCAGACCAAAAGGAGTACCCTTGCCAAACACTGGATTTGCTGATGCCTTGCTTTTGAACCTCACGGCCTCCAAAACTGGGAGAAATTATTACTTCTAGTGTAAGCTAGCCCAGCTTTGGTCACTTTTTATAGCAGCTTGAACTAAAACTCATGGTCCAAGCATCTATTTCTTTCCTTCATCTACTGACTTATCAGCTCTGAAGTGCTTTGCCTGGCGTCAGCCCCACCCTTCAGGAGCAAAGCATGGCTGGGCACGGGCATACTACTGGATCTTCAAGGGCAGAGTGGTTGGGGGACTCCTGAATAGACAAACAAGTACCTTCAGCACCACAGACACAGGCAAAAGGAGAAAAACATTTTTGAAAGTCTCCTCTCGACACTAGTCATCAGTGTGTTCAGGAGTGAAAATAAGCGAATAACATGAAAAGTGGGTATGGGCTTCCTGTTGCTGCTGTAACAAATCACCAGAAGCTCAATGGCTTCCAGCCACACAGATTTGTTTTCTCGTTGTTATGGAAGTCAGAAGCCCAAAAACCAGCTGTCTCCGGCTGGGTTGCACTCTCTCCGCATGCTGAAGATCTGTGTCCTGGTCTTCTCCACTTTTAGAGGCTGCCTGAAGGCCTTGGCTCATGGTCCCTTCTTTCATCTTCAAGTCTTACCTTCCAACTCCCCCCTTTACTTTTCCTCCTCTTTAGATACCCTTACAATTGGGTAAAGAGATAGTCTGGGAAAATCTTCCCACCTCCAGACCCTTAGCTTAGTCACATAGTCACATGCCTTGCCACACAAGGTAATATGATCATGAACTCTGGCGGCAGCTCACTCTCTGTCTCTGTCTCTCTGTCTCTGTCTCTCTCTCTGTCTCTTTCTCTCTCTCTCTCCCTCACTCTCCCTCCCTTCCCCCTCCCCTCCTAAGATCCCTCTTCCTCTCCTCCATCTCATAAGCCTCATTTGGGCACCTGGGTTGTATTAGGATGATTTCCCATGTATCCTCTCCCAGATCGGAGGCCCACATGGGTCTGAAAACTGGTCTCCGTGATGCTTTGCACTCAGTGTAAGAGGCACTCCACACATGTTCGGTTTCATTCATTTTTAAGTTTTCTAATCGGAGAGATTTTTCTGCGCTCCTTCCCTGATGTTTTCTGTGCTTTTTAATAGGGGCTACTCTTGCTCTGCGGAGCAAATTTTCAGCCAGCCAGTTCTGGGACGACTGCAGGAAATACAATGTCACTGCCATCCAGTACATCGGTGAACTGCTTCGGTACCTGTGCAACACACCCGCGGTAACACTCCCTGTGTTTTCGTGTCTTTTCACGATCAATAAGATGTTCAAAGTTTCCTGGGATTGTGCCAGGCTTCTGCTGACTCATCTGCCTCAGTTCTGAGTTCAGATGGCAAATGTCTGTTATAATAACATGTAGATGTAACCAACCATCTTATTAAATAAGAAACACAGAACCAATGCAAAGAAGAAAGCCAAGAGGTCAGAGCTAAGAGCTAAAACCTTACCCTTCCTCCTGCGGTGGTCCTACCTCTCCGAAAGAGAGCTACCTCCTGTGTTAAAGTCTTTATATAGACTTTCAGTTCTGCCTTCTCATTGGTTGTAAACCCAACCACATGACCGCCTCGTCATGTATAGACCTGTCTGTATAGACCTCCAGGTCTTCTATGGTTGGTATTGAGATTAAAGGCGTGTATATCCAATGCTGGCTGTATCCCTGAACACACAGAAACTTACCTAGCTCTGCCTACCAAGTGCTGGGATTACAAGCATATGCCACCACCACCTGGCTTTCCTATGGCTTGCTAATAGCTCTGACCCCCTGGGCAACTTTATTTATTAACATACAAATAACATTTTAATACAAATAAAATATCACCATAATAACATGCTGAGAGCACCTTTACCACCTAGAAAGACCTTGATGGGGGACAGTGACTGTTAATCTTATTGCAGTTTTTATTCTCTGTCCTGTTACATGTTTTCACACCTTCCCCTTCCCAGATCCTCCTCTTTTCTTCCTGCTTGTGACAAGCCGCCGTCAACCCCACCTTAAATAATAGGTCGTGTGTTAACCTATTTGAGTCACTCCAGCAAAAGTCATCCATCTATGGATGGATAGATTTCCTATCTGTTTCTGCCTCTCATGTTGCACGTGTGTGTCTTGCCTCTTGTCTTCCCTGGGCTCTATAACTTTGTAATAGTTTTGTCTCCTTGACCTCTCTCCCTTACCCTCCCTTTCACCAAAGTTGTTCAGAAAACGTTTACTTGATGCTGTTTAATGAATAAATCTACCCCCCAGCTTTGAAACAAGCAAATCAAATCTGTTTCACAGTAATTCCAAGGGTCTTAGGTCCACCCTGCTTGGAGCTATCCAGATACTTTGACAAGGTTGTTCACAAGAACTCCCCCTATGCGGTCCCTGGTAGGTGCTTGAGACCTGACCAGGGTTTCTCAACAGAACCACAGCTGTTGTTATAGCCTGCTAAACTTTGGCTGTGTGGACCTAGTCTATGCCATACAGGACGTTTAGTGGCTTCTCTGGCCTTCATTCTCAAGGTATCAGTAGTGGCCTCCCCTTCTGCTAGTCCATGATAATTACGATGTCTGTGGATACTGCCGCATGTCCCCAAGCAGGCAAGTTTGATCCTTGTTGAGAACCACTTGACCAGATTTTAATCCCTTTAAGCTATTCAATCAACAAAAAACCCAGCTCAGAGGACCACTGAGTTGGTTAATCACTATTGGTAAGCATCTGTTACATTCAAGTTACATATGCGGTGCTGTGTGGCAAAGAAAGAAGCAAAAGACCCTCCCCCTTCCTCCCTCCCCTTCCCCCTCGCCCTCCCCAGTCAGGCTTCCTCTCCTCACAGCACTCAACCTCTGCTCAGATGCCAGCTCACAGGGAGTCCCTCCTACCGATAATCCAGCTTGCCTTCCTGATGCTCCGTCCTGTCTTGACATCTCATGGCACTTACCCCACCTTGCACCCGTCGGGTTGCTGTCTGTCTGCCTTCCCCACTAGTGGAACTCCATGCAAAGGCCTTATTCACTGATCCTGGGCAGCATGGAGATTAGGAACCAGCATCCCAGGCGCCAACACATTTTGCTGACTGAACCCCTAAATTCTTGTTCTGGAAAAAAAAAAATGTTTACTTGAGGAAAGTAATTTTTTTTCTTCCAAAATGTTCAGGCTTAGCATACTTGCAATTTCTTGAAAGTTCAGCAGATGCATAAAGGTCATAATTATCTATGGGATAAATCAGGACCTTTTCCCTAACAGCATTTTCTACATATCCATCTATTATAACCCAGAAATAGGTCCGGAGTCTTTCTACTTGGCAATTCTTCTCTGCTGTAAAGGCATTCGCCTTATCAATTAGAAGTCTCCTAGGGGGCTGTGTTCTATTTATTTTAAAAAGTCTCCTTTGAACTAGGGAAAATAAACATGTTTGTATGTCATGTTTATGCTCTTCAGAGATAAACTTACACACTCTTGGATCTTTCTTCTTTTTTCTTAATGTTACCACAAATGCTGGAAAACAGTGATGGATTTTACACTTTCAAAACACTGTGTGCTGTGAGGTATAATCTGTGTACAGACTCTTGTCTGGGACTGGGCCTGGATGCTATGGGTTTCCCCTGAGTGCTCCCTGTCTGCAGACTCCTTGTAAGAAGTCTAAGGAATGAACCAAGTTACTTCAAAAAGCCTTCAGTGAAGAAATTTTATGAATCATGGGTCATTATACATGACCCAGATTCTATACACTTAGGGAGAAGTTTTTAAAGGGTCTTGGCACCTGTGCTTACATGGGAATACACCACACATACAAAAAAAATAATTAAAAGATAGACTTGAAAGAACTCCTCAAACAAGAACTCAGGATCAGTGTAACCAGGACTGCCTCACCCTCAAAGCCGTTGAGAAGAATAGGCTGTCCTTAGAGAGGCTGATGCCACCAACAGACCTAATCAGGCAAACCAAATGGCTCCCCTCAGCATGGCTCGTCTGGAGTCCCTAAGGCCAGCACTGGAGAGTGGAGACTGCTATGGCTATGAACTTAACCATGTTCACTGGCTTTTCTGGTAGAGCAGAGGACATGGAAGAGTGAGACCCCAGGAACAGTTCTTCAGGTCACTAGCTCAGATTTGACTCCCTGGAAAATACCTCATCAGAGCAAGGACCCCGGAGTCTGCAGGCTGTTCCCTGACTCTGCCATTTGAGCGGTATAGTCAACCTTTCAAAATGTCAGCTTCCCAGCAGCCAACACTGGCATGATGCTATTTTTCCTTAAGTAGAGTCTGAATACAAAATGAGCTTGTGGACACAAAGCACATAGCTAAGCCTCTGTGTCTAGTAAGTGTGTAACAGATGACGGCCATTGCTGTCATTATCACTGTGTTCTGATCCTTACACAGTCTTTGAGTGAATCAATGACATGGTGCCTAACCTTGTCCACGGAAGAAATGAGACCTTCTTCTCTTATCACATTATTCAGTCTCTCTCATCTGGGTTTTAATGAGGCACAGGTTAGCAAAGCTATTGACTGAAGTGGTTTTAAGGTTGTGTAGTTGAATCTTCTGTAGCTGTTCTGCCCATTTTCCCTTGTAATAGCTGGATCTTACCCTGCAGAGCATTCATTTATAAGGGAAGATCACTCTGCTTCACGTGTTCAGTGTGAAGTCGGTCCACTCCTATGTTGTTCATGTAGTTGCCTAAAAGCAGTGTCTTTTAAGGAAAAAAAAATGTTTTTTAATTTCTCTTTTTAGGTTTATTTATTTCATGTGTATGGGTGTTTTGCCTGCATGTATGTCTGTGTGTCACATGTGTGCCTGATGCCGGCAGAGGTCAGAAGGGGAAGTTGGATTCCCTAGAGCTGGAGTTACAGATGGTTGTGAGCCATCATGTGGGTGCTGGGAACAAAACCTAGGTCCTCTGCAAGAACAGCCATGACTCCTTGAGGCAGAGCCTATCCCTCCAGCCCCCTCCTTTAGGAAAAAGTATACATTAATGCAAGATGTTGGTAAAGCGTTTCCGTCCAATAGTTAGGAACTAAGTGATGGCAAAGGGTTCTCAGTGAGATTTTGTGTATCCAAAGGGTTCTCAGTGAGATTGTGTGTATCCGCTGGGGGTGTGACCAAGGAGAGAAAGAGAGAGCAGGGAGGGGTGGATCCAGAAGAGTTCCAGGAGGCACAAGTAAAAGTCAAGATATTTGGAAGGGGAGGTAAGATAAGCGGAGCCCTGGTGGAGCTGGAGTGACTTACCTCCCTAGAGATGTCTTCCCTTGCTCTGAGCGTGTGATGACCTCTCAGGTCTCTTCATTTCTGAATCGCCTGAACTCTGGCAGAAACAGGCCAGAGTGGTGTGTGCCAGCACAGGGAGCAGAGTAAACAGGGCAAAGCAGGAGAAAGAAGGAAGAGAGGAGAATCAGGAAGGTTCGCCAGAGGCAATGAGCTGTGATGGGAGCACGGAAGTTCTCCCGCTGCTATGCCGCGAAAGGCGGCTTCTCCTTATCTGGAATGGAGCATCTGCAAACAGCTCTGCAGGTGAGCTGAGCCTGTCACCCAGGAGGCAGAGGCTTCACTGTGCTGCGTCTTAAATGTGAACATGACAGATGTGACTAAAGATCCTCACATGGAAGCGTGAGGTGGGAAATGGCGTTTTCAGTTAGGGTTTGGAGCTGAGGTAAGGAGGGTTCATTGGAAGGAGAAAGGCCTCTTGCACAAAGCAGGCAGGTTAGAGCCTCCCTGTGTACAACACAGTAGGTGTGAAGAACAGGGACTCAGGAATTTTTGAAGATAATGAAGACCTTTCACCTTTTGGAAGTCACACAAAAACAAGGGAGCCAAGGGGGAAATCACGCAGCTGCATTATCTAAAAAAAACTAAGAGAGGGCTGGACAGAGTTCAGCAGCTAAGACCATTTGGACCAGAGTTTGATTCCCAGTATCCACATGGTGGATCACAACCATCCATAACTCTCGTTCTAGAGGTTCTGACATCTCCTGGCCTCCTCCACCACCAGATACGCACATGATGCACACACATACATGCAGGCAAAACACTCACGCATATCAAATAAATTAAATATTTTTTTAGAGCTAAGAGCTATTACAACCTTGAACTACATAGAACAGCAATTTGAAAGATGGAGGGGACTAATGTAGTAGGGCCAGGAAAGGTAAAACCTAAGAAGCAGGTAACGTGATGAAATTTAAGTGGTGGGAGGTTCATTCTCTAAGAACAGTTGATTCTGACAGCACCCTGCAAGCAAGAAGACAACAGTGTGACACCTTCGGAATCCTAGGCAAAAGTTATTGTCCATCTAGAATTTTATACCCAGCTGTATTATCAATCTGTTTTACAATAAGAATATTTTCAAACTGGGCCTTGTTTCACAGGCTTGTAATCTAAACTACTTGTAATCTAAACTAAAATTTGATGAATCAAGAGTTAGAAATGTAAACATTAAAGTTAGAAAGGTGGGGATAAGAAAACACACTAAGAGTTAGGAGTGTCAGTCTCAGAGCAGCAAGCTAAGGGACAGAGAAACGGGATGAGAACAGTATGCTTCATTCAAAAGCCCTTTTAGGACAAATTGACTTTTATACTATATACTCTTCTCTCTCTTTCTCTCACTTCATTCTTTGCTTTCTTTCTTCCTTCCTTTTTTTTTTTTAAGACAGGGCCTCATGTATCCCAGGCTGGCTTCTGGCCTCAAACTCTGTAAGCAACCTGAGGATGACCTCAAACTTCTGATCCTCCTGCCTCTGAAAAGTGCTGTCTGAAGCCAAATAGATGTGTGTTTGATTCTCGGTGCAACTCTTTTGCTGTCTGTGTAACCCTGGGCTCTTCCTTCACTATAAGCTTTCCAAGGCTCTGTTTCCTCGGTTGAAACCTGAGACAAATACCTCACGATCTGTCTTGTCTGGTGGGCTTTAGAAACTGAAGTAAGACAACACAGGCCCAATGCTGACACACAGACAAACCCTCAGTGAAGAGAGTCTGCTTACTTTAATTCTCCGGGTCTCTGCATTCCTCCCAGGACACCCTGACCTTTAACCTTTTTAGTCGCTAAATCCCAGTGGGAACCTAGGCCCCAGGTGTGTTTGCCTGTCTCAGCTCAGCTCTAATGTGGAAGACAAAATAGAGAAATGTCCCACAAGTCAATTCCTTAGGAAAGTTGCTTAGGTGGGTAAAGAAGTACCACGTCCCCAGGGCCAGGAAGAGCGTGAGTCACACATCACTCTCAGCTACTAACAAGCAAGACAACGTAAAAATTGGGCTTCTCAGAAGTTCCTGGGCCTCATATGTGACCAGAAATATTTCTAGCCTTCAAACTCCAGTTCCTTCTCCTGATGTAACAAGATCCCTGGGCTGTACTGTGTAAACTGAGCCCATGGTATTATGATTGTAAATCCAGCTACCTGCCACCCACAGGTGTCCTGCTGCACCTGTGTGGCTGGCCAGCTACCCACACACCCAGGCACCTGCACCCTTTACCCCTCTGCCTGCATACGGATGCCCCAGCCAGGAGCTGCTGAGCATTCCCGGGTACAGGTTACTTGTTTAACCAGGGATTATATTGTATGCAAAACACAGGCCCAAGCCCTGTGGAGGATTCAGAGAGATGTTTAGTCTCCAAGGAGGGAGCATCTAACGAAAAAGAGATGGACTATTAGACAAGAAAGTGAACAAAGTGTGTGGGTGGAGAACAGAGTGTGGGCAGCACGTGGAATGTGTGAGGTCCTGAATTTACACATGGGAAGGCCTCTCTGCAGAGTCTAACAGGCCTGGGAACTGGTGAGTACCACGATCAGGTGGTTCTTAAGTGAAAATACGTATTTTCCAAATATGGAATGGTTTAGTCTCAGAGTTCCCATGAAAGGGAGCAGAAAGGGAACTCTGGAAATCTGCCAGTCCTTTCTGAGGAGAATAACACTGTATGGGCAGGGGAACCCTATAATTAATGGCAACACTAGAGAGTGATTAGTAATTGGCATTCCAGGACAGCAGCCAATATAAGCCAGAACTGGCCCTGGCAAACGGACACACTCTCTACCTCCTGACAGGTCCTAAGTAATTGTGAAAGAGAACACAGTGACCTGTGGGCCTGTGGAGCTGATGAAGAGAGTATATTCCTAAGCAGGCAGAACACTCGGGACTTACACAGGTTCAAACCCCCTCAACCAATTTTGACTTAAGGACTCTGGCCACTCTCCATACATTGTCCTCAGAAAGTCCACTCAAGGGACCATTTCCTTCAGTGACAATCTCCATCTACCTCTCTAGCTAGAGAAACCACAGTGGGCTTCACCACCTAAGGCTCTGACCAATCAAGCTACTTAAAAATCAAATCCAAACTTGCAGCTTCCTGAGGTTCTAGCTCCTTCTCCATGGAACCAACTCAAAGTTTATTTTAGTCTGCTTCTAATTGCTGCAGTCCTTCCCCCTTAGAGGAGACCAGCAGTCTCCTGCCTCCCTCCCTCCCTCTTCCTCCCTCCCCCCCCCTCCCCACCCTCACCCCCAGGCTATATTCCCGAGTCCCTTCTCAGCCTAGGAGGTAATGAAAGATGCAAGGGTAGTTGGATTGCTGCAGGTTGAAGGCCAGCTGGGACAGCAGAGTGAGCCCTTACACAGAGCAACTTTTCCTTTCTGATTTTCATTTATGACAAAGCGTCTTCCTCTTGGGCCGCCTGAGCAGCTAGAAGTTGGCTTACTCCTTCTCTTACACTTCTCATCCTTTCCCGACAGTCCATTCCATTGGTTTAACGGCAGCAGGTCTTGTAACCTTCGCCATACCTGGTAAATGTGGTCCAGACTCCTCTCTAGTTTCTAACACTGTTGATCTTCAGTGGGTTTCGGGAAATACCCCCCCCCCCCCACCCTGCCCCATCTCAGTTGGGTTCCCAGTTTTCCTCATTGCCACATAAAAGGTATTGCTTTACCAACCGAAATACCCAGGATCCTCCTGGTACCAGGATGTGTTCATTTCTGACAGTTTCCCATGAGCACGTTCCTTCTGGAAATTCACTGGCACTCACCAGCCCCATAAGAGAACGATTGACATTTTACACTGGATACAAATTAGATGTTGGCGTTACCTGGTTCATCTGGTTGTTTCCTCTTGCTTCAAATCAAAGTGGGAAAATATCCTTTTTTTAATTATTAAATCAGCTTTCCACCTGTCGGACTATGGAGCTTGTGTTGCAGAGAGAGGGGTGTATGTCTATGAGTGATAGACTAAGATGAATTTGTAATGACACAAAAATGAAATAAAATCAGGGCAACTACCAGCATAAATTAAATGCATAGAATCTGAATACAGTGAGTGCAGAAGTCCAAGCTCTCAAAATGTTAATGTTGCCGGGCGGTGGTGGCGCACGCCTTTAATCCCAGCACTCGGGAGGCAGAGCCAGGCGGATCTCTGTGAGTTCGAGGCCAGCCTGGACTACCAAGTGAGTTCCAGGAAAGGCGCAAAGCTACACAGAGAAACCCTGTCTCGAAAAACCAAAAAAAAAAAAAAAAAAAAAAAAAAAAAAAAAAAAAAAAATGTTAATGTTCCGTCTACTTCCTCTTCCGTTACCACAGAAACCAAATGACCGTGACCACAAAGTGAAAATAGCATTGGGAAATGGCTTACGGGGAGACGTGTGGAAAGAGTTTATCAAGAGATTTGGGGACATCCATGTGTATGAGTTCTACGCTTCCACTGAAGGCAATATCGGATTTATGAATTACCCAAGAAAAATCGGTGCTGTCGGAAGAGCCAACTACCTCCAAAGAGTTAAGTACACTGAAAAATTAGCGCAGCGTAGGTGACTTTCAGAATACAGACCTTTAAAACTGTACCACAACATAGCATCAGAACTACCAAGAGAAACTTGCCCATTCTCTATGATGATGACCTTTTTGAGATCATCTCATAATCATAGCAACTCATTCCTTTCAACATTTGAAACCTGTATGAAATCACCCTCCCTTCATTCATACTTGTATGTGGGGGAAAAACCTTGTGGGTCACCTTTCCGTAAATGCAGTGTCACATTTCCATGAAATGCAGTGTTTCCCTTTAATTGAGGTGTGCATAAAAATCACATGGGAGCCGGGCGGTGGCACACGCCTTTAATCCCAGCACTCGGGAGGCAGAGCCAAGTGGATCTCTGTGAGTTCGAGGCCAGCCTGGGCTACCAAGTGAGTTCCAGGAAAAGGCGCAAAGCTACACAGAGAAACCCTGTCTCGAAAAACCAAAAAAAAAAAAAAAAAAAAAAAATCACATGGGGAGTTCTTTATGTATACGGGTATAGGTTCCCAACCTCCTGGCTTTGGATTCATTTGTTCTGAGATAAGGCCCTTGGTGCTTTTAAAAGCTGTGCAGGGTTAAGACCAGCAGCCCGGACCTTCAAGAGAAGTGGGATATTCTGATTGACATGTATGTTCTCCTCGTGAGTCCACCAGAAAGATGTGTCTTATTTCTCTTCCCTCTCTCCGGTGTTTTGTTGCCTGGGGACCCTGCAGGTCTGTTTTCTTGATGGTCAGTCATTCTAAGGATAACCCATGGATACTGACCCTCCAGTGACCTGTACAGTCATGAGCCTCTAACAGGGAAACAGCCAGGAGCTCTGAGACAGCCTTTGTCCCCAGGGATTGACCAAGGGAGTAGTCCATATGCTAAGTGCTGTGGCTCTGAAGGGCAGGCCCCAGGGCCACCGTGTCCTAGCTGAGGGGCCCCAGGAAGTTACTTACATTCCTTAGACCTCAGTTTCCCACCCCATGCTAGCTGAGTCGCCCCGGGGAAGTTACTTACATTTTTTAGGCCTCCGTTTCAACATCTTAAAACAGAGATAAAAAGAAAAGATTGAGCCCACGGGCTAGCCCAAATTCGGTGTTAATAAGGGGAAAGACTTGCAAAGTTATTTATGCAAAATCCCTGTTGGGCATTAAGCCTTCCATTTCTTGTACTCTGGTGGGAGCACAAGGCATTCCCAAGTCCAAGGACCCTCTCCAGCGACGGCACCAAGCCCACAGGGTGCAGCTCACTCCCTGACCTCTAGACCTGTGCTGTCCGGTGTGGTAGCCTCTAGCTATGTGTAAATATTTAAATGTCAATAAAGCAAAAGTGTGAATTCAGTCCATCATTCACAGTAACAGCTGCCTTGCAGGTGCTCAGGGGGCGCATGTCAGTGACACTATCCTGAGCAGAGCAGGTATTTCCACCACCGTGAACAGTCCTACCGAGCCACACTTCTGTAGGCTGGGACGTTAGTGTCAGGTCATCGTGAACTAGCCCAGCTGTGGAGATCAAGGCTAAACACTAGCAGGCTGGCAGTGTTGCTCCAGTTGACCTCAGAGAGAAGACTTCATTGGAAATTTGTTTCCTACAAACTTCCACTTACGTATGTGCAGATTCACTACTAGCTCTTTACTTTCTCACCTGTTGGTTGTCAGATTATTATTGTCAGTTTTTCTATACTAAACAAACACCTTTAAAAAGAAAAAGAATTTTTAAAAAGTATTAAGGTGTCCCAGCAGTTAATGTGGAAAGAAGCATTAATTACAACCACAAGATTTTTGACATTCTTATAAATTAAATCAGTGTACATTGGTTGTCCAAAAATGCCACTCGGGGATTTTGAGTTGTTTTGTTTTGTTTTGCTTTTTTGAGGCAGGGTTTCTTTGTAGCCCAGTCTGGCCTTGAACTCAGAGACCAACCAGCCTCTGCCTCCAGAGTACTGGGATTAAAGGCGTGTGCCACCACCGCCCAGCACCACTTGGGTTTAATGGAGTTGAATTTGAGCTGGCACAGTAAACATGGCCGGCAGTTTTATCTGGACACTGTTGTACTTGCTGATTTCCTTGAGTGGGGAAAATAATATGCTTATTATTACGATGGTATACATTCTTAACTGTCAAACTGTGTGTTAATATAGAGTTGGGCTGTTGGTGCTCTAAATGTGGTTTCAGTTTTGTAGTACAGGGATTGAACCCAAGGCCTTGCACATGCTAAACAAGCGTTTACCGCCAAGCCACGACCCAGACCTTTTAAAAACCTGTATTTTAGGATAAACTCTTACTAGGTTTCCCATACTAGCTCCAACTTGTGATCCTCCTGCTTCAACACACACACACACACACACACACACCATGTAGCTGGGATTACAGGTGTGTACCACCTCCCCTAGCTATGATAGCCTTCTAATAACTTTATAGTTATGCCTGAAATAATTTTTGCTTTGATTCTTAAATATAATGAGTAATGTGTCCCTGGTGATGAGGATACTAGCCATCTGATGGTAACATATTAATACATTATCAGATATGACTTTAAATCCATTTGTAATCTGTCCACCAAGAGATATGCATGACAGCCAGACAGTGGTGGCGCACGCCTTTAATCCCAGCACTCGGGAGGCAGAGGCAAGTGTATCTCTGTGAGTTTGAGGCCAGCCTGGGCTACAGAGTGAGTTCCAGGAAAGGCGCCAAAGTTACACAGAGAAACCCTGTCTTGGAAATCCAAAAAAAAAAAAAAAAAAAGATATGCATGAGAAAGATCGTAACAGTTTTATTTATAATAGACCAAAATTAGAAATAATTCAAGAACCCATTAAAAATATCCATTGACAGAATAAAGTGTAGTATATTTATACAAGAGAAAATTGAATGTCCAGTAGGTCTGGAGTTGAAGCTCAGAGGTGGGGCATTTGTAAAGCTTGTGCAAGGTCTGGGCTCTGTCTCTGGTATCATCCACAGCGACACCCCTGAGAAGAGCAGCAACGTGGGCTGGTGTTCACAGACATAGTAACCTAAAGTGAGACCTGCGTGCCCACACTTACTTACCAGGGTTAAAATTAACAGGTAGTGATAAAAGTCAGAATGGTGATTGACTGCACAGAAAGCAGAGAGCAACTTCTTCAGTATAATGAAAATGTTTTATATGTGGATCTGGGTGGTAGTTACAGATGCAAAATTCCACCCATGCTGTACACTGAAAATATATGTAGTATGTGTCCTTTCTGCACTTTTTGTAATAAAGTAAGCATAGAAAACTCTACAAAGCTCAGTTGATGTACTCAAATGCTATTTTTTTTTAATTTTGGCAGAAAGTTGTAAGGTATGAGCTGATTAAATATGATGTGGAGAAGGATGAACCCGTCCGTGACGCAAATGGATATTGCATCAAAGTCCCCAAAGGTACTGTGGACTTTTTGTGCAATTAACTGTGCACAAAATTATCTTGACTAAGCAACATTTAAGAACTAACATAGTATTACTAGCTGGCAAATTTTATTAAATTTAGTGGGGGAAAGACTTTTATTGACATACTCTAAAAAATACATATAAATTGAAGGCACTGGCTTACTGTAACATATAATTATACTTTTAGGCTAGTTGGGCATCTTGCTTGTAAGGTACTTTTTGGAAAGGTCCAGACTGCTATGGCTGCAAAGCTTTAGGTGGACCTTATGTTTATGCTTTTACCCACTATGCATTTGTCTAGTTATGTATAGGAATCGTTATTGAGTAAAAGATTAGCAATAAGATAATTACAACTAAGTGACCATGCAGAATAAGGTTTGGTATAGGTGTCCATGGCATACCTGCATACACACATGTTCCTTTTCTTGCTGTGATCAAACACCTGACAGGAAGTATCTTAGGGGAGAAAGGGCTTGTCCTGGCTCACAGTTGAAAAGATACAGTCCATCATGCTGTTGAAGGCAGAATGGCAGGACTGTAAGGTAGCCACATTGCATATGCAGTGAGAAAGACAGGAAATAGAACCCTACAGTGAGGCTCTGCTTCATATAGGGTCCATAGCCTTCCAAATGATCATTACCACTTGGAGAGTTCAGACACTTGAGCCTATGGGGGACATGTCACATTTAAACCACAGCATGGTAGATATGGATATGGATATAAGAAATGACACTTCCTATGGCCAGCTTCTTGTCTGTGGGCTGTCTGCCAACAGTTTTAGGATGATGATAAAATGTGCTTATCTCTTCACAAAAATAAATAGCAATTTACTCTCTTCTGTCTTAGGTGAGGTCGGACTCTTGGTTTGCAAAATCACACAACTTACACCATTTAACGGCTATGCTGGAGGAAAGTCTCAGACAGAGAAGAAAAAACTCAGAGATGTCTTTGAGAAAGGAGACCTCTATTTCAACAGTGGAGACCTCCTAATGATTGATCATGATGATTTCGTCTACTTCCATGACAGAGTTGGAGATACATTCCGGTGGGTTTCTCTGAATTGTTGAGTTCAAAAGAAATACAAGCACACTTTGGCCTATTCCTGAGTTGGAATCAGATGCCTCTCTCCCACGAAGCTTCAGTTCTTCCTGCCTCTTGTGTGCCATTTTGTCTCCTACATTCCCAGAGAATAAGGAGTGAACTATAAAGTGTCTCTCTACAGCACAAATAAACGTAAAGGCAGGACATCCCTTCCATGTTCCCAGAGCCCCAAGTCCACCCAGCTGCTCTCTTGCATGTCCTGCACATTTCACAGATGCTTTTAGGGTAGCTGGGGATTTTCGCATTTTTCTAATCAGACAGCTTTTGGCTTTCAGATGAAAACATTAACGTGAAGCTGACCTGGTTGAAAAGGTGCGAAGTTCAGCGCCTTTTTCCCTCCCTTCCTTCTGTCCTCCATCTCCAGCCAAATGGTCTCCCACAAAATCCCCAGGCTAGCATAAGGAAGTTTGGAAGTCAGTTTGGTAAATGGTGGCGTGAATCTCCAACGATAGCTCAGTCCTCCAGCTCAGGGCAGAGGCTTCCTTCCTGTGTGGATTCCCTGAGACAGGAATGCCCCATACAGCATGGAATACAGTGTCTGATGCAGGTCACTGCCCTTGAGTGAGTGACTCAAGAAAGCATCAACTTCAACTGACTACAGTAGAAAGATCAGAGCTGGATGAGAACCAGACTCACCACAGCCCTGGCCGGCCACAGGCATAACCATCTTTTTTTTATTGACTTACAAAAGCAACAGATTTTGTTTGGAAAATGCCATAAGTTAATCATTCTTTCACCCATCTCTTGAGAGTTGGAATTTTATGCCACCCTCATTAAGAAGTTACTCCGGAAAGCTGGGGAGATGGCTAATACAGTATTTGCCTGGCAAGCACCAGGACCGGAGTTCAGTCCCCAGAACCCACATTTAAAAAGCTGGGCTTAGGCCGGGCGGTGGTGGCGCACACCTTTAATCCCAGCACTCGGGAGGCAGAGGCAGGCAGATCTTTGTGAGTTTGAGGCCAGCCTGGTCTCCAAAGCGAGTTCCAGGAAAGGCGCAAAGCTACACAGAGAAACCCTGTCTCGAAAAACCAAAAAAAAAAAAAAAAAATTATAAAAAGCTGGGCTTGATGCTACGTGTTTGTAATCGAACCCTGGGGAGACAGAAACAGGCAGATCTGTGAGCCTGCTGGCCCGTGAACCATGCTAGCCAACTTGTTGAGCTCCGTGCTAGGGAGAGATCTTGCCTTAAAAGAGTGGACAGTGCCTGAGGACAAGCACTCAAGAGTGTCCTCTGGCCTCCACACACGCACACATGCACATATGCACACTTACATAAAACATACACACACATGCATGCATGAAGGCACACACACACACACACACACACACACACACACACACACACACACACACAAAGATACTTTTGAGAGACCTAAAGGATATTTTTATAAAACCCCTAATTCTTAATTAAATTAAAAAGCACCTGACTGGGCCTTAACATTGCAATCTTTATGTAATAAAAGTATGATTTTTTTTTCTTTTTGACTAAAAGCTGTGTTATGTGAGAACTTGAAATACAACTATGAAATTCTGCTAACTAGATTGCTAACTGCTGACTGAATTAAATAAGATATTAAAGGGGAAAAGTGAGAGACCGAAACAAAGCTAAAAGAAGTTGAGATTAATTTCTGACATCCAGTAACTTTTTTAGCCTAGTCTGGATTTCACATTCAAACACAGTGATATCTATTATGCTTTGTGTGACAAGATTGAAATTCCACATTCTATTGTCTAGGTCTAGACCCTTTTGCCTCCAACATATCACTGCAAGTGAGCTGGGAGTTTGAGGGGACCAGTATGGGAATACCAGCCACCTCGCCGAGGTCTAAAAGAAACACTGGCCGGAGAGCAAGCGTGACCTCAGCTAACCCTTGCTTTTCTCCCAGGTGGAAAGGAGAGAACGTAGCTACCACAGAAGTCGCCGACATAGTAGGACTCGTTGACTTCGTTCAGGAAGTGAATGTTTATGGAGTACCTGTACCAGGTATGTAGAAGACACCGTGAATCTATCTGAACCCACACAGGCACTGAACAGAATCATCACAGCACGCCCAAGTTGGTCTTGCTTTCTCCCTCTGCCTGGAGCGTGAAGCTGCTGTCAAGCAGCAGGGGTTAGAGCGTGTCTCTCTGCACCATGCACCACTGTCAAAGTAATGCAGTGCAACTGATGTTGGCCTGCCTCGTGTTTTAGCGGCTGCTTAATTTAGCTCTCAGGCATGGGAGGTCCCCCACTTCCCAAGTCTCTGTTTTGGTGTACCTTGAGAGCTTGAGGGCTGCAAAGTGGTCTGTTGCAAGTAGGAACAATTATGGTTTTTAGAAAGAAAACTGGGAAAGGGCAAATTTTGTTCGGCCTCTTTTTGTAGAGCAAGCTCCTAAGAGCAGAGCAGACCCTGAATCTCAGAGTCGTCAGGAGTGGAGTCACTGAGGTGTCTGCAGATCTGCCTCTGCCGGCAGGGTGGGAAGGAGCCTGGCTCCAACACCTGCGGGCTATTTCAAAACTCCCTCCAATTAGGGATAATTGTCAGAACTAATTTATGTAGTTTCATAAATACCAAATATATTTATCAAACGTATACTAGAGCTGCCATAAGTATCAGTCATTTTAATTGTAGATATTAGAGAGGATTAAATTCTCCAAGTCAATGCCCAAATATAAGCTGTCAGGCTCTTATTGTTCCCAAAACTGAGTGTTTGGGGTTCTCACCATTTATTCAAAGCAGAAATCAAAAGGTCCCCTTTCCTGCATGCTGACAGTGTCATATGTTGTGTGACAGAAGTTTTCCTGGGGAGATGCAACATGAACATCTTATTCACCCCCCGATAGGGAGCCCATAACAGACGCCACCAAAGTCCAACTTGGTGAACCAATGAGTTTTATTGGGAGAGGGGGTTACTTCCAGGAGCAGAAATGACTCAAAGACAATTGCATCACCAAGGCCACCACAGCGTGAGTGGCAGCACACCAAGCTGGAACCTGGAGCATACCGCACAGCCTGCAGGCAGCTCAACAGGCTGCAGAGGGTCCTTTCCAGGTGCCTCAGTTGGTCTAAACCTCTTCCAGGCAGATGGTCTGGTCTGAGAGTCTTTGTAGTTGGCTTATCTGGGAGTGACTCTCAGCGGTCTTTATTGCTTACTCTGGCAGGGCAGGGAGTTCCTGAATCTACTTTAAGTCGTTTACCTTACTACATCATCTTCTTTATTTTTTATGAAAGTTTTTTCTTATTTCCATTCAGTTATATATTATACGTAAAACATATTCTCCTGGGCTGGAGAGATGATTCAGAGGTTAAGAGCACTGGCTGTTCTTCCAGAGGTTCTGAGTTCAATTCCCAACAACCACATGGTGACTCACAACCATCTGTAATGAGATCTGGTTCCCTCTTTTGGCCTGCAGGCATACACACAAACAGAATACTGTATACATAATAAATAAATAAATAAATAAATAAATCCTTGGAAAAAAATATTCTCCCTATATCCTATTCTCCCTTTTCTCATCCATCCACCACCCAGATTTCTACTTCCATGTCATATATACATACATGATTTTATATATATATATATATATAAAAAATCAAAAAACCACAAATGAGAGAAAATATATGATATTTGCCCTTTCAAAGCTGACTTGATTCACTTAGTATAATTATCTCCAGTTTTGTCCATCTCCCTGCAGATGACCTATCCTCGGTCTTCCTTAGGGCTGGAAATTATTCCATTGTGTACTTACGCCACATTTTCTTATTCACTTGGGTTGTTTCCATACCTCAGCTGCTGTGACAGTGCTGTGACGTGCAAGTGTCTCTGTGGTGAGTTGGAGTCCTTTGGCTAAACACCCAGCAGTGGACTAGCTGGGTCACACATGTTAGCTCGTTTGGTTTTGCTCAAGAAACCACCATGCTGATTTCCATAATGGTTGGACTGATTTACATTCCCTTCAGCTGCAGGGTGGGCGTTTTTCTTACCTGTTTCCCTGTGATCTCATCACAATGATATGATGGAAAGCATAGCCACATCTCAGGTCTGGAAGGAAATGCAGCAGACCCTCAGCTGAGGTGACACAAGTGTCCAAGTCACGGTTGTCAGCCACCATGACACCCTCGGCTGTTATAGCCCCCTCTTAAAGTGGTGGGTATGTTTCAAAGTACTAAACCTTAAACCTTTTCTTAAGTAGCTGGGAAAATCTAGAACGTGGGATTGAAAGCCCAGTATTTCTCAAAGTGGCGTCTCAGATAAGCAGCGTCACCCAAAAACTTGCTAAAATTGACCTATGTTGGGTCCACTCAGATTTGCTTAGTGGGTGGGTCCAGGAAGCAGTACGTTTTAAAATCCCTCTAGTGACTCTTAAAAAAACACTAGGCCAGGGTGTAGCTAGAGTTTTCCTGCCTGGCCCACAGTCAGGACAAATCTCTCTCACCTGTCAGTCCCACAGCCGCTCAAAACTGACCAAGTAAACAGAGACTTATATTGGTTACAAACTGTATGGCCGTGGCAGGCTTCTTGCTAACTGTTCTTACAGCTTAAATTAATCCATTTCCATTAATCTATACCTTGCCACATGGCTCGTGGCTTACCGGCATCTTCACATGCTGTTTCTCATCATGGCGGCTGGCAGTGTCTCTCTGACTCAGCCTTCCACTTCCCAGCTTTATTCTCCTCCTTGTTCCGCCTACACTTCCTGCCTAGCCAACGGCCAATCAGTGTTTTATTTATTGACTAATTAGCAACACACTTGACATACAGACCATCCCACAGCACCAGGGTTGTAGCTCAGTGACAGAGTGCTTGCTCAGCATGCGTTCAAGGCTGATCTCATGACAAGTTGGATCCTTAGTTCTCCCCCCACAACACATGCACAACATTCAAATCTTATTTAGACACCATGAAAATGTCCTAAAATGTATGGTAATTGGACAATATGCTAAACATCACTGAAGTGGTGAAGATGATGAATACCATATTTTATACAATTAAAAAAAATACAGGCATGATGGTGCACAAGTGTGATCTCAGCACTCAGTGGACTGAAGTATAAGTCACTTCAAAGTCAGCCGGGGCTAGGTAGTGAGTTCCAGACTAGCCTGGCCTACATAGTGAGATCCAACCTTAAAAAAATAAAAAAAAGTACAAACAACAACAAAAATCCCACTGAAGTATGAAAAGCACTGGAGCCTTTCTCAAAACGTGGCCAATCTCACAGTCACCTGGGGAAGTCTGTAAATGCCAGAGCTAATGCATCAGAACTTCTAGAATTGGATCTAGAATCTTCCGAGTGAGCTGTCAGTTAGGGTTGGCAGTCAGGGCGTAGAAGAAGGAAGAGGTCCTCCCTGGGCAGTAAGAACAGGGAGCAGCTGTGCTCAGTGCTGTTCAGTAGCCCACCTGAAACAGTTTGAAATGATCAGGAAGAGGACATCAGCCTGGAAACCCCCATAGCCAGAGGGACCAACCGTCAAATGGACTTGTTTCCAGAGTTGGGTGGTCACCAGCTGGGCATGTAAAAAGATGCTAGACCCTCTTCCATCTGAGAATCCTGAAAAAATTCTTACAGCAGTGGAAGATTAAAAATGAACTCTAGCCAGGCGGTGGTGGTGCACGCCGTTAATCCCAGCACTCAGGAGGCAGAGGCAGGCGGATCTCTGTGAGTTCGAGGCCAACCTGGTCTACAAAGTGGGATTCAGGACAGGCACCAAAACTATACAGAGAAACCCTGTCTCAAAAAACAAAAAAATAAAAAAATAAAAATAAAAATAATGAACTCTAAAGTCCCCGCTCCCCAGCCCTATGTTCTTGGTGTCACTCTGACTGCCATCTGGCATCCTAGCCGTCGTAGACAGCTAACCCAAGCCTGGGAACACAGCAGGCCCTTCTCAAGTCAGGTGTGTGCATGTCCCAGCCGTGGCTGTGGTCGGGTGTGCATGCACCGGCCATGGCTCTGGTCGGGTGTGCATGCACCGGCCGTGGCTCTGGTCGGGTGTGCATGCACCGGCCGTGGCTGTGGTCGGGTGTGCATGCACCGGCCGTGGCTCTGGTCGGGTGTGCATGCACCGGCCGTGGCTGTGGTCGGGTGTGCATGTCCCGGCCGTGGCTCTGGTCGGGTGTGCATGCACCGGCCGTGGCTCTGGTCGGGTGTGCATGTCCCGGCCGTGGCTGTGGTCGGGTGTGCATGCACCGGCCGTGGCTGTGGTCGGGTGTGCATGCACCGGCTGTGGCTGTGGTCGGGTGTGCATGCACCGGCCGTGGCTGTGGTCGGGTGTGCATGTCCCGGCCGTGGCTGTGGTCGGGTGTGCATGCACCAGCCATGGCTCTGGTCGGGTGTGCATGTCCCGGCCGTGGCTGTGGTCGGGTGTGCATGCACCGGCCGTGGCTGCGATCAGGTGTGACTGTGAGCCTTTTACCACCTTTGCACCAGGGAAGAACGTCTAGTTTAGGACCTAGAATGCAGGCATCACACAAGAACAGTCCCATACTCTCTAGAAGTTCCAGTTCTCAGAAAAACTTGCTGTGTTGATGAAAGTATCCAGTGGAGTAGCTAACAGTCACAACATGACTGCTGAGTATGGAAAAAAATGGGTAGTACAACTGGAAAAATGAATTTTTCCTTTCACTTAATCATAATTGAGTTTTAGTTTTAATAATTGTAATGTGGGCAGTGGGTGCTGTATTAGACAATACAGCTCTCAAGCCCTAGCCTACACCTTCTTCCTAGAGCTGAATTACTCAAAGGCAACCTCCAGGAGTCAGTGCAGAGGCCTGGGACCAACAGGCCCACCTCCCTCTGGATCAGGCATTGTCACTACCACAGCAAAGAGTCAGAGCCAGTCAGTGCAGAATATATCTGCTGCACCAGCTCCCCCATAATTCCAAGAGCAACTTACTAGGGATATTTGAGTTCCTGAGTCAGGTATGAGGGACACCCTACCCCTACCCCCCCCCCCCTTCTTTTTTTTTTTTTGGATTTTTGAGACAGAGTTTCTCCATGTGGTTACCCTGGCTGTCCTGGAACTCACTCTGTAGACCAAGCTGGCCTCGAACTCGGAGATCCACCTGCCTCTGCCTCCTGAGTACTGGAATTAAAGGCGTGCACCACCACCATCTGCCTCGAAGGACCCCTTTTTAAAAAGAGGCTGGCACCCTGCCCTCTCCTTCAGGTCAGAGGGAAACTGAATAAGGAAGTACCTCTTTTTTAAAAAAAATATATCTTTTTGTTTTTGCCTTCTTTAGAGCAATAGGTAAACATATAATCACCATGGGAGAGATTTCAAACGCTGGGGCCCAGGTGACGGAGGACGGCTCCTTCCTATCTGATTACAGCTAAGTAGTTCAGGGAAGTGGACCCGGACTCCCACTGGGTCTGCTGGATCAGGTAGAAAATATATTAATACCTAATTACTACTGTCCTCACAAGCAAACAATGGTAATTGTTCTAATCACCTCTCCACTAACAGCCCTGCTGTCGAGATCGGTTTTCTCTGTGTGGTGTACGTTCCCCTGAGAGTCCTGGGCATGAATGGAAGGACACACAGCAGCTTTCCCCTGTGCCTGCCCTGCAGCCTCTCTGAAACACTGAGAAGGAAAGCTGTTGGGAGCTTTGAGTGAATAAGTATGTCTCAAAGGCAGTATCTGTGTCCACGGCACATATCGGACCCATCATAGCAAACTAAATGACAAACCCAGCTCAGTGATTCGTGATGGTGGAGCAAGACCTTTTGCTGGAATCAAAAAATAAAACACAAAAAATTCCCTTTAGCCACAAGTTCAGTCTGCGTCCTCGTCAGCTCTGTGCAGCTCACTAAGAAGAACAGTGATAGCCACAAGCCAACCTGCCTGGATCAGTCTCTGATGATGCCTGGTCCTTGCTGTATGACCTTGGACAAGTTGTTGAATGCCTTTAAGTCTCAGTTTCTTCATCCTTGAAATGATGGGGGTAACATCTGCTCCTCTTCTTAAGGTTGTTGCTGTGGTTAAATAAGAATACACTGAGTATAGGCCATGGCAACTATTAAAGAGTCAGCATAGATCTATTGTTAGTTTTGTTACTTAACTATTGGTTAACATTCCTAGTAACCACACATTCATCATAGAATAATGTGGACGTATGTGTTTGAAACAAAAATCTGAACTATTCAAAAGAAACCTGGTGTTTGTGGTCGTCGCCGTCCATAGTTCTCTAACCTGGCAGAGCCTCGTGAGTGAAATTACCAGCTGATGTTTTCTCATTCTATTTCCAGGTCATGAGGGTCGAATTGGGATGGCCTCAATCAAGATAAAAGAAAACCATGAGTTCAATGGAAAGAAGCTCTTTCAGCACATCTCGGAGTACCTGCCGAGCTATGCGAGGCCTCGGTTCCTGAGAATACAAGTGAGAACACTTTCCAAGTTCAGTTCTCTCCCAGGCTCTTTCTTAGGGAACCGCCCCCTTCTCCCGCGGTGACCACGTTTGCCAAATTTTTACCATACTCACTAGACAGAGCTCAGGAAGAAGCTCTGTAGTTCAATAAAAACAGGGAAATACCAGAAATAGAGCACACAGAAACCCAATCCAAATCTCTTCCCCACTAAAACGATAGGCCAATTTATTCACCTGTAGCCTTGGCAAATAACTACCAAGGCCAGTGTTCGGTGAGGTGTCAAAGACACTTCAAGTAGAAATTATCTAACCCTGCCGTTTCTGGTTTACTCTTCTTGTTTTCTGTGCTTCGGCTAGCATGCAGAACCTTCTTATGCTAGGCAAGCACTCTGCCACTGAGATACATCCACAGCCATGTTGTTTCCAATTCTAAAGAATACAAAATCTGCTGAGGCCCTACCCCTTCCTATAGGGGACATTTTAACTGACCATCGTCGTAACTTGAAAGTGTCAAGCGGTCACTGGATTTGGCTCAGTCCTCATTAAGTGCGTTGAGCCCTGTGGTTACATAACTGAAGACTTGACAAAGTCTAGGGTCCTGAGTAGTGTGTTGAGTGTGTTAGGGCTACTTCTGTCAATGCCCATAAAGGACTGGCATTTGTTTTGCGTGCAGCTGGTAAAGACAGAAACATGAACTGTCTTTAGGTGTGTCTCATAACATTGAAGGGAGTCTTTAGCCTACCAGATAGACCGACTGGGAAAACAGAATCCCTTGTGAACAAATGACCTCTCTCCTGCTTCCACCCACAGCCAGGATAGCTCACCTTACCAGAGGCCCCTCTCTCTACTCATAGTCTGCACACTGTTGGCAGCTCTTCATTCCACATGGGACCTCTAAGGCTCTCAGTCAGTGGTTCTCGCCTTCCTAACGCTGTGACCCTTTAGTACAGTTCCTCATGTTGTGGTGACCCCCAACTTTAAAATTATTCTTGTTGCTACTTCATAACTGTAATGTATATAGCTGATATGCAGGATATCTGATATGTGACCCCTGTTGGGATCACAACCCAACAGTTGAGAACCACTACTCTAAGGAAATAAAACAAATCCCTCACTTGGGGCCCCCATGTAGAGCTTCTGCAAATGGCAGTGTGGATACATACTCATCAGCTCTCACAACAAAGGAAGCCAGCATGCTGCCAATCCCCACCATCTCCACCCTAACCCTGCATCCTAACTCACTGTAAAGCACCACTAACTCGTAGGTTGTCTGATCTTTTTCAGGATACCATTGAGATCACTGGGACTTTTAAACACCGGAAAGTGACCCTGATGGAAGAGGGCTTTAATCCCACCGTCATCAAAGATGCCTTGTATTTCATGGATGACACAGCAAAAACCTATGTGCCCATGACTGAGGACATTTATAATGCCATAAGTGATAAAACTCTAAAGCTCTGAATATTTCCAGGTGACTATCTCATAACATTTCCAGAAAGACACTCAATAGACCTAGCATAGCCACTTGATATAATCCAACTTTAATTTGATTGAAGATTATAAGGTGCAATTTTTTTAAGGAAATTATTCATTAAAAGAAGGACGGTTTTTTTTTTAATTACACCTGAACCTTTGCAAGTAAAAAGATTTAGAGATAATTATTTTTCAATGTGCGCCTGCCATTTGTCCTTGCAAACGAAGCTTTTTGGAGAGAGGGCCTTATTTTTTTAAATACATAATAAACTATATTAACACTGACATATGAAACATTGCTGTCTCTTGTGCTTCTTTCTCTATTCTAAATGCAAATTCCACATCTGTTATTCCAAACAGAGAGCGCCATTGGCCACGGGTGTCCTGCTCCTCTTGGTAAGAAGCAGCAAGGGAGAGGGAGGGTGGGCCAGCAATAACACGATGGGAATCCGGCTCCAGAGTAAGGGGCCCACCTTCCCCTCCCATAATCATCCTAGCCACTCTGCAGACAGTAACCAAAGCTAGAAATGTCAGCGTAGTCCTTAAATGCTCTGTCTTAGCTACTCCTCTACTGCTGCAACAAAACACCATGGCCAAGACAACTTAGAAAGGAAAGCATTGAATTTGGAGGCTCACGGTTTCAGAGGGTTAGAGTCTATAACCGTCGTGGTGGGAGCACAGCAGCGGGCCGGGCAGCCAGGGGCTGGAGCAGCAGCTTAGAGCTCCCATCTGATACACAAGCATGAGGAGAGAACTAACTAGGAATGGAGGGGCCTTCTGTCATTCTCACGCAAACCACCACAGGTGCCTGAGCTGGTGTGTCCTAATTCTACACTTAAAAGATGTTCAGCAAGTCTCTTTTTAGATACTTCAAGGGTTGCAAGAATATTTGCCCTCAGGACTCCTGTAGAAACTATAGGTAAAGAAACAGATCATCGCCGGGCAGTGATGGTGCATGCCTTTAATCCCAGCACTCATGAGGCAGAGCCAGGTGGATCTCTGTGAGTTTGAGGCCAGCCCGGTCTACAGAGTGAGATCCAGGACAGGCACCAAAACTACACAGAGAAACCTTGTCTCAAAAAAAAAGAAAAAGAAAGAGAGAGGGAGAGAGAGATCATCAGTGGAAGTAGCAAGCATGGGAACAGCCACTATTCAGCTTGTCATACAGATTCTGACAAACTCCCCTAAATTATTCAGAAAACAAAATACAGACTGATTCTGAGTCAGGCTCTCACTGTCTAGCCCAAGTCATCCTTAATTTCATCCTCCTCCTGCCTTAGCCCTGTTCCTGCTGGGATCACAAGCATGCACCACCGTGCCCAGCTGGAAATCCAGATCCTTTTCATGTGATTGCCCCCAATATTTTGAAACTTCCAAATATCACAAACAAAATGTAACGATGGAGCAGAAGAGCCTGGCTGTCCAAGGGCCATCCCAGGCTCACACACACCTGGGAGCCTGCCTTACATCTCCCAGCAGAAAACTCATCCCACTCCCCAGTCAGTCTCCTGAGCATGAGTCTGTCCAAGGACATGAAGTCAATGGCCCAGGAGGGCTTGGGACTTTGTGAGGCGCTCTTTGTCCCTACACTGAACTGCCTTCCTTCCTGAGTCAACTCCTTTATTGCCACAAGTCTCAGCTGTGACAGTCTCAGAAGTAGGTCCTTGGGTGATGCACTCAGGATGTGTCCTTAACTTTACGCAGGATATCACAGTCACTGATTCTACATCCAGATAGTGAGACCCAGGTCACCTAGCCTGCTTAGAGGAAGCAGAGATTTCTTTCTGGAGGACAGCCTCAAATGACCAGGAGCTGTACCCAGGAATCCTAAATAACAAAAAAAAAGTGGCCACCCTTAATCCGATACATTACTAAAAATAATGCTAGCCGCTTCTCTAGGACTGTCTCCACTCTTGTGTTTAGATTTACTTATTTGATTTGTATGGATATTTTACCTGCTTGTATGTACGTGCACCAAGTGAGTGCCTGCTGCTCGAGGTCAGAAGAGGGGATCTGATCCTTTGGAACTGGAGTTACGGTGGTTGTGAGCCACCCTGTAGGTGCTGGGAACTGAACCCAGGTCCTCAGGAAGAGCAACAAGTGCTCTGAATGCCTAAGCCATCTTCCAGCCCCTCTCTCCATTCTTACAGACGACTGCTAAAGAAGTCTTTTGACTCAAATCACCTCCTCTGTTATGGCTAGCACTACACATTTCCTGAGCACTTAATATGCATAAGGAACTTCAGGACTGCCAACTAGAATGAATATATTACATCTTTATGCATTTCCCCAGTAATTTGGAATGATTCTTGCTATTTGTTGGCACCTGGAAATTTTTACAAAATCCTGCCCTTGCTTGATTGATCCATGAGTGAGAATTTTAACCCAAAGACTATTTTTGAGGGTTTTGTGTTATGGAACCCTGTCAAGGTAAACCAGATTGTCGGTAAAGGCAAATCAAAGTGATGATGTTACCCTCTGTCACCAGGGGTGTCTTTTCAGGTAATAGGATGCCATCTATACTGTTAGACAGGGCGTTAGAACTCCGGCAACTGTAGCCTGTTGGGCTCTGACCTCCCCTGACCCATGCTTTAGATTTAGATTACCCTGTCTGTCTCGAGAAAAAAAAAAGAAAGAAAGAAATTAAGAGCGAGCTGATGTCCTCAGACCCCTGCCAATTGAGCCTCCTCAGCCCCCCCACTTCCCCAGAGTCCCCAACTCAAGCCAAATACTACAGCTCCACTGTGTGGACAGAGGCACCAGGAAATGACCGCAGTCTCTGGGTTTGCATGGGTAAGCCATCACCTGTGAGGGATAACCAGTTTTAAAGACTGGTCTTTCTTCTTTCACAAGGTCTGAACTATGTCTATATGTGGTAGTCTCTGCAACTACCCTGGCCCCAGAGTATCAACCTGTGAGAGGCAAGAAGGAAGTCCGGTTCAATACAACTTGGTAGTCAGTGTTGGTTCAAACTTCCAGAGTCTGACACCCAGCAGTTTGTTTTAGGCACAATTTGAAAAAAAAAAAATTTCTTGATATAATATAATCCTGAGCACACAATAAAACTTAAGGCATGACTACATCAAAACTCTTCGTAAAAGTACATGTGACATCTTCCATAAAGATGGGTTCTATAGACTGATTATATGTGACATCTTAAGGATCTGGTGTGGTCTCAGTCATACAGATAACACAAAGGTCACCAGGCTATTAACCCCCTCTGCTCCCAGCCTTCTGGGCTGAAAACAGGTTATATAGCTCTCCCTTCGAAGAGGCAGCCTTGCGTGGCTAACATCCCTGGTTTCCCTAGTGCTTGTCCGTGAGCACAAGAACCTCTGTGCCTCTTGTACCTGTAACATCTGCCTCAACTTCTTCAGGGCTCAGGGGACATGGACGTGCAGAAGGAATTCAAGAGCCACAGGAAGGGACGGAACAGATGTCTTCCAGACATGACACGGCCACTGCACCCATGAAAGGAACTCAAATACGAGTTATCTGCAAAGACCTCACAAGAAGGAGCCTGTCACGAGTCTGTTGTGGGTGGGAAGGGCTCACAAAGCCCGATCCCTCTCTGAAGGTTTATAGGCAGTTGGTGATTGCTGGAGGAAAAAAGGATCATTTTCTCCATTAGTGCAGCTATCAGTCAAATGTCCATGCTTCTGTAAACACCTCACCCAGGCTCCTGTAAGCAAGCCTAGTTAAACCCAGTGTGCCTCCCTCCTCTCTCTCTCCTTCTCTCTCTCTCTCTCTCTCTCTCTCTCTCTCTCTCTCTCTCTCTCTCACTCTCTCTCTGTCACACACACACACACACACACACACATACACACACGCGCGCGCGCGCGCGCGCACATGGGGGAGAGGGGCAGTAGAAGGCACTAATTTGGGAGAAGAAAAGTATCAGTCAGAATGAGAGGGAGACCAAGGAATAATGAGATGAACATGATCAAAATATATGTATGTATAAAATGGCATAATGAAACCCATTGTTATATGTAATTTATATACACTAACAAGAAAAGTTTTTTTTAATGTGCCCATAGAAATAGCAGCACTAGGGCTGGAGAGATGGCTCAGGGGTTAAGAGCACTGGCTGCTCTTCCAGAGGTCCTGAGTTCAATTCCCAGCAACCATATGGTGGCTCACAATCATCTATAATGAGGTCTGGTGACCTCTTCTGGCATGCAGACAGAACACTGTATACATAATAAATAGATAAAATATTTTAAAAAAAGAAATAGCAGCAGTAGCTTCACTTGAAAGCACAAGTGAGTGTTTTTAACTTAAGCTAATATTTCTAACTAGCTCTTATAACTTAAATTAACCCAAATTTCTTATGTAAGTTCCACCACATGGCTTATTGCCTATCTTTAACAGGGAATGTTCATCTTGCTTCTCCCTGGATCTCCTGGAGACTCCACTCTTCTTCATCCACAGAGAGCTCTCTCTCTCTGTCCACAAGCCCCACCTAACCTCTTCCTGTCTTGCTATTGGCCATTTAGCTCTTTATTAAACCAATGAGAGCAACAGATCTTCACAGTGTACAGAGAGATGGTTTCATACCAAGATAGCCTGCCAGGTGAACCCAGATAATGTGGGGATGAAACCAGGAGGTGTCAACTTTGAAATGAGAATCATTATAGAAATGGAGATGATCTAATAAAATTTAATAAGATGATTTAAGAAACATGTCTCTTGTCCCATGTCTAGATTAAAGCATTTAGTGGGGACTGCTATGAACGAAGAGTGACCTAAGCCTCTGGTAAGGCAGGTCGGATTCTGAAGGACAGGTGGCTGGAAAGACCTTCCGACAAAGGCCGGAGTCTTCGCCGTATGTTACAACTCTCTGTCAATTATTATCATGATGGCTGGTGGGCTGCGTGGACTCATCATGAGACAGCTAACAAGAAAGGCAGTGTCCCTCACAGCATCCCACACTGTTCTGAGGGAGGTAGGCTGATAGTCAACAGGGTTCTGGTGTAGCAGGCTTGGCTGCAGGCTCTCAGGACACACGACACATCAGATGGCGATGCATGTGTGGCTGGTGCTGTGTTCCACTCACACTGCTAGCTCCTTTTGGCTCCGATTTCATGGGCCCATGAAGCTATAAGCTACATGAACACAGGAGACTGTATCTGTCACTCACCAGTGACTCATCAGTGCCTGGTACATAGTAGGGCAGTAATTATGTGTTGCCTGCTCCATTGAGGAAGAAAGGCTCATACCTGAACACAGAATCACCTGAGTTCCGGGCCCCACACACCAGAGTTGGAATCAGAATCTCAATTTCTAACAAATTCCAATGTGAGGCTGGTTTCGTTGCTCGGGAGTCATATATGGGGAACAATTTGGATAGAGAAAGAGGCCCCTAAACGATGTACCATCTGTGCTCACTTAGCGTAACTCAGATCCTCAGAGCGGAATTCTCTCATTCTGAGGCTCAGCTCTTACAAATAAAGAGCTCAAAGTGCAGACCCAAGAAAGGCCAGTGTCAGGATGTACCTTGTTCTTTTTTTAAGAGTCATTTATTTATTATGTATACAGTGTTCTGCCTGCATTCCAGAAGAGAGCTCCAGATCTCATTATACATGGTTGTGACCCACCATGTGGTTGCTGGGAATTGAACTCAGGACCTCTGGAAGAGCAACCAGTGCTCTTAACCTCTGAGTCATCTCTCCAGTCCCATATACCTTGTTTATGTTTATCTCTAATTATGTTTATCTCTAAGATATATGCATGTGTGGTTCGCTATAGAAGAACTAAATGCAACCCTTTAAAGTATCTTGTCAAACCTCTTTGTTAAAAAGTCACCCTGCTCGCCTAACCCAGTCATCATAGCAGAAGCTTCCTCCAACAGCTGGGAACAGATGCAGAGACCCACAATCAAAGAGTAGGCAGAGCCTGGAGCTCAGGGAACCCCGAGGAAGAGAGGGAGGGAGGATTGTAGGAGCCAGAGGGGTGGAGAACACCAAGAGAACAGAATCAACTAACCAGGGTTCATAGGGCCTCAGAGACTGAAGCGACAATCACGGAGCCTGCACGGGTCTCTGCATATAGGTTACGGTTGTGTAGTTTCGTGTTCTTCTAAGACTCCCAACAATGGGAGTGGGGGTGTCTCTGACCCTTTTGCCTGCTCTTGGGACCCTTTCCTCCTCCTGGGTTGCCTCGTCCAACCTTGATGTGAGGGTTTATGCCTAGTCTTACTGCATCTTGTGATGCTATGCCGGCTCATATCACTGGGAGGCCTGCCCTTTTCTGAAGGGAAGTGGAGGGGCAGTGGGTCCAGGGAGAAGGGAAAGTGGCTGAGGGATGGGGGGGACTGCAGGGGTGGGGGTGGGGGAGCCACACAACGCATTGACATTACTCAACTCCACTGAGAGGACTGGAGGGAACACTGCAGACCAGCATTTCCACAGTGAGAGCACTGGCTTCACCTGGGAGCTTCTTAACACAAAGCCTCAGGCCCCACCCTAAACCCAGAGTCGAAAGCCCTGCGAGTGGGCTCAGCACTGTGGGCCTTAGCAAGCCCTCCCGCTGATTCATACACAGGCTCAAACCTGGGGAGCTCTGCATCAGCACAATGTTCCCAAACTTGCCTGTGCCTTGAAACATCTGGGGACACCACTGACCCTTTCAGAAACTAGTGAGCTTAACAAATGTTGTACCTTAGCATCACCTGGGGTATCCAACACACCCCAAAGCCCAGAGCCACCCCATGGCAAATAGCCCAATATTTTTAGGAATCAATCTTCTTTTAAGATTTACTTCATTTTTAAACACCTCTGTCTGTCTGTCTGTCTGTCTGTCTGTCTGTCTGTCTCTCTCTCTCTCTCTCTCTCTCTCTCTGTGTGTGTGTGTGTGTGTGTGTGTGTGTGTGTGTGTGTGTGTGTGTGTGTGTGTGTGCCATGCCTGAGGAAGCCAGGCAGAGGTGTCTGGTGCCCTGGAGCTGGAGTTACAGGCAGTTGTAAACCTCCTGACAGGTTACTGGGACCTGAACTTGGGTCCTCTACAAGAGCAATGCATGCTGTTAACCACTGAAATGTGTGTCCAGCCCCAGGAATTAGTAGGTTTTCTTGTTGTTTGGGTGGTTGGTTTGTTTTGTTTTTAAGACTCCTGCGTAGGAAATTGCAAACAGTTTATAAATGAGGACACGCAGCTTTACATGAACCAAGTGGAAGTCACAGTGTTAACTGAGAATTGATGCTTTAAAAATACAAACTGCGGGTTGTGCACACGCCTGTAATCCCAGCACTCAGGAGGCAGAGGCAGGTGAATCTCTGTGAGTTCGAGGCCAGCCTGGTCTACAGAATGGGTTCCAGGCCAGCCAGGGCTCTATAATATGCCCCTGTCTCACATAATAAGCTGCCTTCCTTGCTTGATACCAAGGGATCCTCCAATTCTACTTTCTCATGACTAAATTAAAATCTTCAGCCTTCTGTAAAGCAGGACCGGGGCACAGGCATGGCACCTCTAGCACATTATTTGCTTAGTCACCTGCGTTTTGGGCGTCAGTTAAGTCAGACTATGGTTTATTTCAGATATAAGCACAATTTATTTCTAGGTTGCATTTCATGTTATAAGCTTAACAGTTAGGATCCCTCCCTCCTACCCCCTCTGTCTGACGGGCTGCTGCAACGCTCTGGAGCATTAAACTTAAGTTTAAGCATCCGGGCTTAAACTCCCCAATTACCGTCCACTGTGAGTCATGAACCCCGTGAGGCTATGATCAAAGTTATGGACTTGCTCCCCCTCAAGGCGCGCACACACACAGAAGCACTCAAGGCGCACACACACAGAAGCACACAAGCGGCACACCATGTTGAGGGGTTCGCAAACTCCCCGAAGCACATCCTAGCGTTCTGGTCGGAGGCTCTACACCATGGCCTGCAGAGGGCAGCAGGGCAGCTGTAGGGCACACTGAGAGCTGCATTCCGGGAAGTTGGGCACGCTGTAGAACTTGATCAGCTTTTTGAAGGCGCTTTTCTTTATCATCATCATTTCTTCCGGGAACCTGGAAAAGATTCTGGCCCGGAAGGAGCCCCCGTTCTTCAATGAGCCATCTGTGGGGAGTGACTTCTGAGCACTCACTGGCACGCTGTTGCAGCTAAGGGAACGCACTGTCTTCTTCTTGCTCTGGACGGACAAGTAACTGAACAGAAAGGACGACAGCTTGTGCTTGGTGGCATCTGGGGCTTCTTCTGAGAAGCATTCGTCAGGTGGATCCAGCAGGGTTTCAAGATCACAGCCGACTTCCCTTCTCATCACACTGGCCCCCAGCTGCTGGGGCTGCTTGATGATCTTCCGGGCCTGAGCTGGGTCGTCTCCTCCCTCGTTGACAGACTCCAGGGATAGCCCACTGGTCAGGTCCCTGGAGCCTCTGGTTGGGATGAGGTTCTTGGCCCGAGGGCTCGGCTGGGAAGTACAGTGCTGGTTCAGGACGAGGGTAGCAGCCTCTCGGATGAGGTTCCAGTCTCTCAGGATGTCCTCCTTGGTGGTAAACTGGGATGTCACAGTGAAACGGATGATCAGCTTGTTCTGGATAGTGGCTGGGATAAGGAAGAGCTGGCCATCTTTGGCTATTTCCTTTAACACACTTTCTGTGAGACAATTGGGACCCTATATGAAGAACAAAGAGAACTGGAGTCTACAACACGCCGCTGGTGGGTGCTCCCTGAAGCCCAGCATTTGCAGGTCTACGAGGCTCCATTCCCACTCAACTCTGAAATGGAAACACCCTTCTCAGGGAGCCATGGGAGCGCACATTACCTTCAGACGGAAAACCACCAAACCAAGGTGCCTCTTAGCAGGAATTTCAAAGAAAGGGTCATTTCTGACCAGAGATTCAAAGTATTTAGCCATTTCTGTACCCTGGAATTGTAAAAACACACACAAACAAAAGCAAAACAAAACTGTGGTTAATAGACAAAAACCAAACTGCATCTGCTTTGATACTGTTCAGCAACTTAGACCAGGGACACAGATGAGTCCTGAGACCTGTGTGGCCTCTGCCTGCCTGTCTTCCCCGTTGGATCTCGCTCGTATTCAAGCTGGAAAACCCTCCTGTTTCATTTTCTGTCACGTCACATCCACCCAGAGACCTTGTGTCTCAAAGTCCTCTTTCAACTTAGTCCCAGAACTCAAGAGTTGCGTGCTTTCTAACTCAGCAATCAGTCTCCTCTTCCAGCTTCTCAGCTTTTTCACTGGCCATGGGAGCCAGAAAGGGTCCAACTCCGTGCCCAAAGGAAAGTACAGCAGGCTATGTAGGCTGAGCCATACCCCTGCCTCAAACGGCTCAACTGGGCCAGGCATGGTGGCACATGCCTTTTAATCCCAGCACTCAGGAGGCAGAGGCAGGTGGATCTCTGTGAGTTTGAGGCCAGCCTGGTCTACAAAGTGAATTCCAGGACTGTTACACAGAGAAACCCTGTCCCGAAACCCTCTCACTCCCCCAAAAAAATATCAACTGACTTCCCTCACCTCACCATGCTCTTCACACGTCATAGCTCAAAGGCCCTTGTTACTGACATGTCACAGGGAGTTTATATTTTATATAGCATACCACCTATACCATGGGGAAAAAAGCTTGTACCTAGTTAACAGGTGCAGAGGTTCTTCTTGGGATGATGAAATGTTCTGGAAATAGCAATACTCATTTGATATTACATTGTACCCTAAAACACAGTTGTTTTATACGTTGTGCATATTTATCATCACAAAAATTAAAGATTTAACATCATATTGATATTAAAATGTTTACATGATCTTTTAAATTTTCCTATGGTTTTCTTGATTTTACTTTTACATAGAGTTTTTTAATAAAGAAGGACCGGGCTGTGGCTCAGCTGGCAATCTGCTAGCCCATTGTGTAAAAAATTCTGTGTTCAATCAACAACTGGATAAAGCCAGGGGTGGGGAGTTTGTGGCCGGAGGATCTGAAGTTCGAGGTTGCCAGGAATACTGTGACAAGTCTTTAATTTTAGCGCTCAGGAGGCAGAGGTGGGCAGATCTCTCTGTGTGTGCTCAAGGCCAGCCTGGGTTACATAGTGAGACCTGGGGGTGGGGGCAGAGATCCCAGTCTAAGACCAGCCCGGGTTACTTTTCTTTCACAGGGTCTCTGCTAAGTGATTTTTTTATGGGCTTCACCTGATGTTATTTCAGAAGACAAGCGTTTCCGCTGTTGTCGTTGACCGAGGTACAGTGCCGTTTAAACCAACCTCTATCTGCTCCACTTTCTCTCTCTGCCGTCTACCTCAAGCTCTCACCACCGCCCCATGAGCTTTTTTTTCTTTTCTTTTTCTTGAGAAAAGTTCTCCTGTAGCCCAGACTGGTTCAAACTCACTATGTAGCTGAGGATGGCCCTGTGTGTTCACATACTGTCATTGTGTCACAGTGACAGGGCTCAGTAGCTACAGCAGAGACAGTAAGGACCACAGTACAAAAAAATAAAAAATAAAAAAGACCTTCTGGCTGTTTACAAAGGTTTTCCAGTCACCTACAGGTGATGGGAAATGGATAATAATAACTCGTTGTCATTAGAAGAAAAACTACCCAGTCCCAGTGAGATACAGTGGGCAAGTGATGAAGAGGATTGCAAGTTTGAGGCTAGCCTGGGCTACACCTTTAAAAAGAAAATGAAATCCTAGAAGTGGAGGAATACTTGATTTTTAATGCTAAAACCTGCATATGTATTGTCTCATTTAACCTTTGAGAATGGTACTACCACATCATTTTGTAGGTCCAATAAAGCAAATACAGAAAGAAAGCGCTATCTGTCCAGGCTCAAGAAGGGGTAAAACTAAAATTCAAATCTCTAAAGCACCACTCTACAGCACAGAGATGCAAAACGTGGCTTCATATAACCTGGCTTAAAGAGCTTAGCACAATTAAGGGCAGCAAGAACCATAAAGAAAAAAAGGGCGTGGAATTGGGAAGGTTGCAGTCAAGTCCCGGGACTTCCACTGTGAGTCTCACTTGATCTGGGCGACCAGCCACCTCAAGACTCCAACAAAGAGTGAGTGGTATGGGCTCTTTAAAGTGCTATACAAGTGATAATTTAATCACAAGCAACTTCAAGAGATAAATTAGCTCATGTCAAACAGCTGTGTTTTAACTCAGTGCTCATTATCCCAGGACTTTTTGCTCCAGGTCCTTCAAATGTGCTTGTCCCTGGGGATGCCACAGAGGCAGAAGAGGGGGAGTGCTCAGAGAGACTTCTGGGGAAGTCGAACTTGACACCATTTGGAAAGAAGAAGGGCAGGGTCGGGTGCAGCTGTAGGCTGAGTTTGGAGTTTGGATATGTCTGTGAAATGCCCAAGCTAAGGCGCAGGCTGAGGATGAGAATAAAGCACACCCACGGTGTGGGCTGGTGTGGTAAAATCGTAGGGCAGTGATGGGAATCCAAGGGCGAGCCAAAGGCAATGTTAGGGAAGGTTGACCAGTTTAATATCCAATCCTAAGCTTCAGGCAAAAGAAATTCCTATCACCTCCATCGCCTCCATTCCCACCCCCTACCCTCCACTCGTGAGTCTGGAGACAGAGGAAGGGCAGGAGAATGCTAGGTGGCAACCGCTCATTGGCCAGTCCAGGTACTACCTTTGCCATTTCACTTTGTACTTGTTCATTGGAGAAATAAGAAATTTCCCTAGGAAAAAGGTGATAAGGCAAAGACACACCGAGGTGGTTGAAAGAAAAATTGTGTCTTTGAGTTAAACCGGTTAACCCGGCTGTTGAGAAATACTGCTAGCCTGAGTTCTCAGCTGAGTGTCTTTTCCACAAAGAACATGAGTGCCCAAGTCACTTAACTCTGAGTCTCTTTACTACACAGTAATTGTGTTGTTATTAAATCGAACTGGAGAAAAAAAAAAAAACCAACCACCAGGCCTTCAGTAAATTTCTGCTGGCACAATGCAGGGGCAGGGTCTGCAAGTGGGGAAAGCTAGGTTTCAGATGTCACCGTAATAGTGACCATAATTTTCAACCAGCTGTGACAATCATGGTATTTTCCCCACCCCTTAACCGGAAAGAAAAAAGAAAAAAGATATGGCCATGCTTTGACCCGACACACTGCCCTTTGGACTGCTTTCACTTTCTCTTTCTGCAAAGGAGGCTTTTGAGTCTGCACTCCTCATTTCTCAAAGACAGCAACAGGAAAGGTGAGACACTCAGGGAAGTGATACGACAGGGGATGCAAAAACCTCAAAGGAAGCTGTGCTTAGTGTTGACTGTTTAGACGATGAACAATGCGAGCTACAAATCACAGACTGTCCGCTGGGATTACGTGATGCTCAGCGCTCCTCTAGACAACCAATCATCAAATCCCAGAAGCCCCTCTACCGGTCCTACCACCTGAGCCAGACACCAAGGATCCCCTGGGCAGATGTGTAAAACCGAAACAAGTCTTCCTCCCCATGAAGACGCAAAGCAGCCTGGGCTGGGTCCCACGGCCCTACAACATACGTGTCTGACATGTGCTTGAAGATTCTTCACCCCGAAGGACCGAATCACGAACCAGAGCTTAATGGAGCGAAAGCGCCGACTCAGGGGGATCTGCCAGTGCTAGGAACAAATAACACAGGGCTCATGGTTAGAAGCAAGGTGCCCGGTCCCTTGGGCGCTCTTAGCATTATGTGCTGCCTGCCCAGCCCTCCTGGGACCCATGGTGTCGCCATGACTCCCAAAGCTGTCGCTAAGGAGCAAACCAAGACAAGTTATGCCGGTGGCACTCCACAGAGAGCGGGACAAATGGAAATCAAGCCTGTGTCCTGGAACCCAGGGTAGCGCCTCACTTCAACTGCTGCTTAAGTTTTTCATTCCAGCTTAGAAACTCGAGGCAAGTTCCTTGACTAGCAGAAATTAAAGTTCTAGGTCTGTTCTTCTCAACATGGATAGTGGCTTAAAGTACAGTGATTAAGAGCTCAGACACTGGGGCCTGAGAGACCTGGGTTTCCCTCCAGCTCTGCCTGCCCCTTACACTGTGTGACTTTGGCAGGGCTCCCTCACTGATACATCAATGGCATAAAACAAAAGGCACTTCCCAGGAAATGGTTCAGGAACAATGGATGCAAAAACTCAGAGGAAATCGTCCAGTCAGTGTGGGCTGTTTAGATGATGGGCATGTGATTTAAATATTACATCTGTGTCTCTGTCTGGCACCAAGATGGTCCTCACTTAACCTTGCTGCCACCTTCTGGCTTTTCCCCGGGAGCTTCCTATAGCTCCAGATGCACATCACTCAAGCATTCAGATTGCAAATGAGCATATGAACCTCTGCCTCGGGCTGAAGTTGATATTTCTCTGGTACCAAATTCAACAGAGCTTTAAGTTCAAAGTTGCAGTTACCATAGATCTGAACATTCCCAATCCAATGTCTCAGATCTGAAAACAGAGCACACAGTTTGGGGGACATTTGCAGTCATTCTAATGAGCAACGTGGCTTCTCCCAAGTGCCCCCTCAAATGTCAGAACGCCTCCACCACCATTTCTGCTCCCTAAAAATATTCATCCTGTCGAATATTCGTCTGCCTGTCTCCATGGAGTTTTGCCAAGTCTTCACTGACGTACTCATCTTCATGCTCCGCTCTAGTTTCCCAGGCCAGACACAGCTGGGATATCACCCCATTCAAGGATGCTATGTGTCCTTCAAGAAAGCACTAGATTCCCGGCATGGTGACACACTTAATCCCAGCACTGGAGAGGCAGAGGCAGGTGGATCTCTGTGAGTTTGAGACCAGCTTAGTCTATACATCAAGCTCCAGACAGCCAGGGCTACACAGAGAGACCCTTTCAAAAGCAAGGAAGGAAGAAAGAAAGGAAGAAAGGAAGGAAGGAAGGAAGGAAGGAAGGAAGGAAGGAAGGAAGGAAGGAAGGAAGGAAACCTTTGATTTCCAAGAAAAACTTGTCCAGTGGAAGGCCAGCTCAAGGACCTTTGTCAGCCAGCAGAGGGCATCAAAACCTTAGGAAAGGACAAAATCCTTGCCATAGCCTGCCCCAGCCTTGTCCTAAGGACATTCACAGGATAACAAGTGGGTGCTGCCCTCTCCCTCTAAAACATGCCAGTTTCTAGATTATGGTAAACTAACCACCCAGGGAAGGGTAAGGGGCGTTTCCGCTGTGGTCTCCTCATGATGTCCATTCCCATTCTTATCACTCGGCTAAAATCAAACCATATGGACCCAGAGACCGTCTTAGGCAGTTTCTGCTGGGTTGGGAAGTTTGGGCTCATAAAGACTGGCATGGAACTTCCTTAACTAGAGATGTCTCCCAGCATCCTCTGTGTCTCCTCAAGGCTTTATGGGCCTCCCTGCTGTCGGTGCTCTCTGCCCTTGGAGAGACACAGAATGAAGTTCGGGGGAACTTCATGGATGGCAGAGACAGCGGCCCGGATTCCAGAAGGTTCCAGAGGCCCCCTCCCCCAAAGTAAACACCTGGAGCACTGTAATGTGTCTAGGTCCTCTCAGAGCTGGACTTGGCTCCTACTCAAAACTGAAGCCCCTTGGGTGCAAAGAAGCTTGGAGCAGCTCTAAGAGCCTGAGGACCAAGACAAAGAGAGCAGCCTCATTGCTCTGGAGAAGCTTCTTCATACGCTTGAAAAATAAATCCACTGGATCCCACAGTGATGCCGTGATGGAAGTTTCCCAGAGCAGCCAAGAGAAAGACATTCTCAGAGATTCAGCTATTTCTAAGAAAACATTATTTATGGTCCTCAGACCACATCGGGACTTAAGGTACATGTACTTGAAGGTACACTCAAGCTACTAAAAAAATCACAAAAATAACAGCAGGCCTTCAAGAACCCAGTAGGGGCCTGCTTGCTTAGTGTGCGTGAGGTCCTGGTTTGATCCCCAGCGCTGCATAGACTGGGCATGATGGCATTCTCCTGTGATGCCAGCTGGTATATCCCATGATTCCAGCATTTGGGAGTGGAGTCAGGATGAGAAGTTCCAAGTCCAACTAAACTCCTGAAATCACAGGCATCATTTCACAGGCAGGATTGACTGACAGTCGTAGCATTCAATTGTTGTTGTTGTTGTTGTTTACTTAAATTTTTTGAAACACCCACCAGAAAGGGCAAGAGGCCATCTATTTTTATTCTCCTCTAGAAGGTTTTCCCTCCATACTGTAAGCTTACTGCCTGCAACCCCAAAGCCTTCCTACACCTCAAGGAAATGTCTTCACAGAAGAATCATCAGTGTGACCAAGTGAGGACGGTGCCTCTGCTACAGAACTAAACCAAAGGAAAAGGCACTTCGACTGTCTAAGGAGAAAAACACGCCAGCGCTTCCCCAAGGTCACCAGGCTTCACTGTCAGTGTGTCACTGTGTTAATTCATTCCATTCTCACAGCAAGCTTAGAAGGCAGAACCGCTCCTGTCTCCATTTACAGAGACAGAAACCTGAACAGAGTACAAGCCGTTTGTCCAGAGCCCCTCAGGCCAGTCAGAGGAGAAGCAGGCTTCACGCACAGGCAATCCAGCCTTAGCGCATGTGTGTTTAGCCATGTTGCAATAGCAAACCCCTACAACTTATGAGAAGACCTTTCTGGAATTTTATGCATACTAATTATCAAGCATTTGCCACTCAGACACTGTTCTGACATGTATGTTCCCATGAAAGCCTCACAAACCCCTATAAAGTCAGTGCCATGTTCCCGAGGTGCAGATTTTCAACAGTTTCCCAAATGACTACCGATGCACAGAATTCCAAGCCAAGCACACCGTGCTCTCCTTTCAAACCTTTCACTAGTCATGTGATATGCAACATGTTTATTGACATCCTAATCCCGCCTAAAACGAAAGGGCTCATCCTCAAACTAAAGAGTAAATCTGAAGAACTTGCTTTCCTAAGACATGGTATGTGCTGAGGGCCTAAGCCTGAAAGAGTGGAGGTGTAGGCAGCCGGGAAGGCCAGAGACACTCTCCCTGCAGAGCTCCTGGAGGGTCTGTGTCAAAGTCAGCAACATGAAAGCAGTTTAACACGGAGCCTCTTTCCCACCCAAGGAAATGGTCCACACTCTCCAGCAAGCAAAAAACCAAGCAAACACCAGCCAAAGACGGTAAAAAGAGCTAACCTACCTGTGGCAGAGAGAACACTTCTGGGAGCAAAACAGGCCAAAAAGATTTAGGAATTGATTTTTCTAGGGTTTTGGCTTTTGGGAGGTTTTTGTTTGTTTTGTTTTGTTTGGGGGGGGTTTCTTTTTTGTTTTGTTTTGTTTGTCTCATTTTCTGTGTTTCATTCTGTGTGCTTGTGCACAACTGGAAAGCAAGGGTATCCAGTGGCAAACTATGTAATGAACTCATAGCTTGCTGCCTCTGAAGGGAGCAGCCATTCAAAACCTCAGGGGTCAGTCCATAGTCCCCACCTGAGAGGCCACAGGCTGCTCATTCCCGGAAACTCACCATGAAGTCTGTGGTTGCCCCAGAGTTGGCATGTCTGAGGTAGACGGGGTTCACACTGAAGGTCTGCTGCAACTTGTACTTGTCCTTAACCCTGTGGGTTTCCAAGCAGGTATTAGTGGTGGCTGAGGTCTCTCTAAGGAAGCAAGGCATTTTCCCATGCCCAGAGCTCGACTCACCAGAACCCAGTACAGTCAAAGTGTACCATCATCCATTTGGAAGGATTAAAAGTGAAGGAGTCAGCGTACTCGATACCCTTCAGGAATCCCCGGAGCTCAGGGCACAGAAAGGCTGTCCCAGCATAAGCAGCATCGACGTGGAGCCACAGCCCCTCACTGGCACCTGAGAAAGCAAATGTCATCGGCTAGAAGAGGGGCCTGAAAGAGCTACTACCGGCCAACCAAAAGGCCTTGCTCACCTAGCCAACACCATGGCAGGCTGCAAAGAGAAGACCTGGAAAAGGATGGTGGATTCTGCTAAAGGAGTCAGCAAGAGTTGTGGAGATGAGATGGCGGGGCCTTGGCATAAGGAGGTGGACCTGAAGCAGGCATTGCCACCTCCTTATCCTTATACAGATTTTATATTTTAAACAGAGCCTGCTTTGACTAGACTTCAACATTCCAAGTGAGAGAATGTGAAAACTTGAGACTCTGCCACAGACTGGCTGTCCCATGTCCCCTAAGGGCTCTTGTGTTAAAAGCTTGTTCCACCGGGTGGCTATGGCGGGAGGGAAGCCTAGTTTGAAGAGGTGGCAGGATGCTGATCTCCTCCCCTCTCTCCTTCTCTGATGTTGTTGACTGCTTTTGCTCCAACGTACACCACATTCTGTCCCTCACTCTGGCCCAGCGGTGACGGGGCCAGCTGATGGTGGACTGGAAGCCTCCAAAACTGTTCGCCAAAATAAACCCTTTCTCTTTATAATTTCATTATCTGAAATTCCATTATATCTTTATGATTTCATTATTGGTTACAGCAGGGGAGAAGCTGACTGATGCTTCCTTCCTAGGACAGAACGCAAAGTACAACATTTCCAGCTTTCGTCTCACCACTAGGAAAAGCCCAGTGACCTTGACCTGCTGGGGAGTGACTCTCACGACCTTTGATGATTTCCCTCCCTCCTTTCATCACCAAACTGACCAATGAGAATAATTCAGTGGAGCTGGTCTCAGGCTCTTGTTCTAGCAAATATTTCAACCATTATCCCTTACCTTCCTAGCCGAGGAGGACAGATACTTACAGATGGGGCCCAGCTCGGACAGCCTGTCAAATGCACAGACTCCGGTGGTCCCTAATGTTGCACAGACCTAGAGAGAGATAAAGAGTCACATGACACACTGATGCTGAACAAGGATCTTCTCCCTGACATCACCTGCCATCTGCACCCCTCCACCCAGAATGTGTCTCTTTCACACTCTATTTTATCATACCTTGCAGTAAGAAATCTACTTTGCACAGCAATCTATCCCACAAATGTGTACATTTAAAATGAAAGTTTCACCAGGTGTGGTGGTATATACCTTTAATCCCAGCATTTAAGAGGCAGAGGCAGATAGGTGTCTATTAGTTCAAGGCCAGCTTGGTCTACACAGTAAAACCCTGTCTCAAAAAAAAAAAAAAATGAAAGTTTCACAAAACAATACATACCCTAGGTGCATAAATGCATTTGAATATTTTCCATTTCTTTTTAGCACTGGCTACAATCCATAAATTTTATTTCATAACACAACATGGAATAACACCTCAAGCCAGGTATGGTGGTGCATGCCTTTAGTCCCAGCATTGGGAGACAGTGGCCAGCCTGGTCTACAAAGTGAGTTCTAGGATAGCCAGGGCTACACAGAGAAACCCTGTTTAAAAAAAATGTGGTGATATATTGTGTACCCCAATAAAACTTATTTGGGGATCAGAGGACAGAGCCAGCCACTAGATTAGACATAGAGGCCAGACAGTGATGGTACACGCCCTTAATCCTATTGCTATCTGAATCTCTGAGTTCAAGAACTGAGAACAGCCAGGCAGTGGTGGCACACACCTTTAATCCCAACACTTGAGATCTCATGCCTTTGCTTGGGAAGCACACACGCCTTTAACCCCAGGAAGTAAGATGGCAGGGCAGAAAAAGGTATATAAGGCGTGAGGAAACAGGAACTCACTATCTTAAGACTGAGGATTTCATAGAGGTAAGAACTCGGGGCTGGCTTGCTCTGCTGCTCTGATCTTTCAGCTTTCACCCCAATGACTGGCTCTGGGTTTTTTATTAATAAGACTATTTAAAATTTGTGTTACAAAAGAATGAAAGAAAGAAAGGAATGAAGAAAGAAAGAAAGAACATCTCATAGTTTGTAATACACTAAGTTTAAGAGTTTCTGCTTCTGTTTGCAGCACATTACTTACCAGGATTCTGTCAAAATCCCTTGCTTACTAACATCCACATTCTAGCACACTGATCCTAAAGATACATTCTGACTTACAAAGACAGGCACCAAGCCCTGTTGCTTGTCTTCCTCGATGGCTCTCTGAAGAGCTTCTCCTCGGAGTGAGAAGTTGTCGTCCACAGGCAGAAATCGCATCTTCACAAGGGAAATCAAGCCAGCCTTCTCCACTGAAGAGTGAGCCTACATGGGCCATGGAAAAATCCATGAAAGGGCTGTCGTGAGATCAGCATGACTAGGAATGGCGGAAGACCAAGACTGAAGGAATTGAATGCCCGTGTGTGAGATTGGCATTCCTTATGGTTTCTAGAGTCAACCCCAGAACCCAGAACCCAGAATTCACAGGTGCAGATGGAAATTACACAGGTTCTAAGTAGCTTACCTGATCAGAGGCGTAGGCGACGAGCCGAGCATTCAGAGAGGACTCATCAGCATCGGGCTCCAACATTTTCATTTCTAGGATTTTGTTTTTCCTGGCTGCCAGCAGGGCGATCAAAGTAGATTCGCTGACGGTGCTCTGTAGTGGAGAGGGATTAGCAAATGTGTCAGCCTCTATGTCCTGTTCTCTAGGTCTGTTCCCATGGAGGGAGTGTGTGTGTGTGTGTGTGTGTGTGTGTGTGTGTGTGTGTGGGGTCATCATTAGTAAGGAAGTGGGGTGCTCCTTCCCAGAGGGCCTCCTTTCTCCATGACTCACATACCTATTCTGCATTCGGAAAGTTAAATTTGCACCTAATGCCAACAACGCCTTTCAGAGTGACTACAGAAACAAGAAGAAGATTGTTCCAGAAACAAGCAAGAGAATGTCCTATTTCTTGTGGATAGGTTTGTTCACCATGTGAAATCTATTGAAAAGAAAAAAGCACACTTGGAGCCAGAAGTACATCTCAGTAGTAGAGGCCATATTTAGCCTACACTCTGCCCTGTGTTTGATCAGCACAAACAGAATGAGAGAAAGAGGAAAAGATGGGGGGAGAGGAGGGGAGAGTTTTTCCCAGAATGGAAATAGAGTCTGATTCCACACTGGTTTGTGCAGGGGCTGGTGATTTGGGCATGGCTTTATTTTCAATGGTTCTTGTCAACGTGGGCTAACACTGTCCTTCTGGAAATTCGTTTCTATCTACCAAATGAGGAGCATGCACATTAAAGGAAATGCCCCTCAAGATAGACAAGGTTGGCTGAGATTTCTCTCCAGACATGACTGTGGGGGTCCTGTGATAATCAGATGCTGAATTCATCTATTTCAAATAAGGGGATGTGGTGAAGACAGCAGCGTGCGGTGGCTGTGGCAGAGGTGGAAGCTGCATGGATGGTGATGACATTGGTGGTCCAGGTGACTTAAGGGACACTCCATGGAGAACGGGAGAACTGTGGGGAAGGATTTGCCTTTGCTTTCTGTGCCCAGCCCCAGTGTGAGATGCAATGCTATCATCACAGGCACCTGCAAGACACCTCCCCCCTGGCTGCCGGGATGGTGGTGCAGGAAGTGCTCAGGGAGGCCCAGCATCTTCGCCAGCCAGTCCATGACGCTCATCTCCAGCTCCGTGCATGCTGGACTGGAAGCCTGAAAGAAGGAAAGGACTTTCATTTTCACTGACCCACCGAGATGCCCCCACCAGCCCCAGAAACACCAGCGTCTCTGCCTCAATATCCATGGGAACTTCTGTAGAGGAGGGGTCCAGGCCAGGAGGCCCGGGCTGCACACCTCCACCCCACTCATCCTACACTCCTTTGTCAAAAAGGGAAGGAATGGGGGCTTTGGATCCATGCTGCCCTCAATGAGGTTGGCTCTCTGGAACTCTGTGAAGAAACAATCCAGGCATGATTGCCTCGAATCTGACACTCTGAGTCTCTAAAACACCCAATTGATAATCTAAAACCTAAGGGAAAGTTTTTACTAAGAAATTACTGTGTTCTTTCCCAAGATAACAGGCCTAGCTGTGCTCTCCCCAACCTCCAGTGCGCTACAAAAGTTCAAGCGTAAGAGATAAAAATGTTCCATAATGCTTCTGGCACCTCTCAGAGCTGAGGAGAGCTTAAGGGAAGTCCCGGAGAATATCTCTAACTCTTCAGAGACAAGAGCCCAGGGGAAGTTGTGACCTAACAGGCGTCGAAGTGCCCTGTTAAGGTCACAAACTGTAGAAGTAACCAGATCTCGGTTCAAATCTCATCTGAGTCTGAATAAGCTCTGTGAATTTAGCAAGATAAATTACTCAAACCTCAATTTCCTCATGTATAAAATGGGGCCAGAACTCGTGATTCTATAGGATTAGATGAGATAATTTAAATAAAGGCTAAGTTTAAACAATAAAGCCATTGTAATATTTGATGTTTTTATTTTCAATTAATAATCCATGATTAATATTTCGTCAAACACACCCACCCCTTTCAGAGATAAAGACCAGAATCCATCTATCCTGAGGCGGCGCTCCTTGCTGTGTCCCCAGGTATCAGTAGTTACAACCATTTCTACTCACCCATGTGAATCCTAAGCAGTTAATGGCATCAGCCAGCATGTCTCCTAGCAGGGATGGCCAAGAGGTAAGGGCCGGATAGTAGGCGTGCATGTGGGGACTCTGCCAGTGTACCACCTAGAGACAGAGCACACACACCATGTACACAGTTGGCACCAGCTGGCATGTCCAGAAAGCTCTCTCTTCCTCTAGAGAACCTCTCTGGTAAGAAGAAACAACTCTTAAAAAAAAAAATGGGGGGGATGCTTTTCAGAGAGATAAGTAACACAGTCCATAAGAATAAAGTGTTCATCACTGTTCCTTCTTTCCACATATCCCAGACTGAGCTAGCTCATCAGTAGAGGACCTTCACCCACATCGGAAAGGAGCTATGAGAAATGAAGACTACCACAGTAACACGGATGCGGCACTCTCACATTAGCCCCGCACTGATTCCCTGCTAGAACATCAAAGGAAGCAGAAACCATAAGGTCCAGAGAGCAGACAGCTGTTTCCTCTCAGCTCTTGCCAAAGCTGCTATGGTTTTGTGGATCCATGAGGTCGCTGGGAAGAGAGCACCTGCTGGGAGCCAGTCAGATTTGCTCTAAGCTGCCCTTGGCTTCCCTGTGGGTAAGGAGAGGTAATGTCAGACTAGCCCAGGAGTATGGGAGGCAAACTCTAGGCTAATCCTGAGCCCACAGTCGGGAGACATAAGAAGGAGCCGAACAGCTGGGGAGGGCCCAGCCTATGGGTGACCACACACACTCGGTGACTGTTCACTCTCCTGTCCTGCTTCCACCTGGGTTTTTCTCTGAGTGAAACCGCGTCCCCTGATTTCTCATGGCCCTCCAAAACCTATTGACTCTTAGAAAACTACCATGTTTTTCTTCATGAGTCCTTTCTCAGCTCCTACAGCCCACTTTGATCCCTGAGCCGGAACAACACTGAGTGTAAATGTGTCCCCTACTGACAACTCACTGGAGGGCATCTTGGCACACCGTTCTATTTCGTGTGAACAGCCTTTGTAGCGCACACACTGCCCCACACCTGTGCACACAGGAGCGTTAGAGTGAGGTCCAAGGGGTAGGTAGGCTCCATGGCTTCTCCCGCCCTCCCTCAGCTCCTTGCTGATGCACTGTGAAGTCTGGGAACTCAAGCTCCAAAGCCCCTGTTTTCCTCAGTCAACTTTGAGATCCATTTTTAATTATTATTCTTAAAGATGGTCTCAAAATACATATACACCTCAGACCCTTATAAAACTAGGAACTTCTCTTGTACCTCCCCATCCTGAAATAAATCCTAGGACAGTTAGGTAGAAACCAGTCCGTTGTCAGGTGGAAACCTTCGTGGGGAACTAACCACTAGGTAACAGGCACAGCGCGTCTCCTGCCTTGACTCTCGGGCAGCAAACCACTTCCTTCAGTGCTCAGCAAGCGGGAGACTAGCAGGCGGTTCCAAGGTCCTCCACCTTCCGTGCTTTATCGTAGTTATCGTATTTAATTCTCACAGCATCCCCCATGAGCTCCTAGGCTCATCCCTGCTTTGTTGATGTGAAACGGAGCTGGCAGCAAGAGCTCTGCAGCATCTCGCAGTCCCAAACATCATCCGGGCCCCAAGGCTGCCTGCTCCAGAATCCACCCAAACACCCAAGCAGAGTGGTAGCCTGCCTTCCCTCACCGGGTTCCTGTCAGTCTCTCATATTCTTTCTTTTTAATTTTTAATTATGTTTGTGTGTGTATCTGTGTGTGTGTGTGTGTGTGTGTGTGTGTGTGTATGTGTGCGTCCATGTGTGTTTGTGTGTATGTATCTGTGTGTTATCTGTGTATGTTTGTGTGGGGTGGGGGGCTGTGGAGGTCTGAGGAAGAGTCAGTTCTTTCCTTCCACCATGTGGGTCCCAGGGATTGAAGGTCCTCAGGCTTGCCAGCAAGATCCTTTACCTACTAAGCTTGCGTGCATGTATGCGTGCGTGCGTGCGTGCGTGCGTGCATGCTTGTGTGCACGTGCTTGCTTGCCTGCGTGCTTTCTCTTTTGCTCTAACTTTCTTGCCAAGATTGGAATTGAAACAAAATGAAACTTTTTCTTCTCAGCGTCTAGGAAATGGCAGGAAGGAACAGCCATACAGTTTTCAACGTAAGTGCAAAGGGCCAGCTGCTTCCGGGCTGGCTCTTCGGGGCTGGCACGGCCTGGACGATGAAACGGAAGATTGGGCCCTCATTCTCGCTGTGCTTAGAGACCGCACATGGAAACGAGGGAAGGGGGTTCCATCCCCTGGCGCTATCAAGATCAGTTATCAGTTCTTGTAAAATAATCAGATGAGATAAACCAGAAGAGCCCTTATCAAAGCAGACAGACCTCCAAGTCCAGAAATAAGCCTCCTTGGCCACGCCTCCTGGAAACGGTTATGCCTCCTTCCCTCAGCAGCGGCACTAACAGTTGCTCTTGGGCTCACTCCTAATGACAGTTAGTCCCTGGAGTGACAGCGTCACAGAATGAAACGGGTGAGATAATCTTATCGAGGAACTAGGCCTTTCAGGAAAGCTGCACTCACACTGACATTTTCCGAAGATGCTTGCGGAACAGACTTACATGGCAAACTTGCCCTTTGCAGAGTTTGACCATTTCCTCATCCTGGCTTCGCGATCCATCTGTCACATCTAAGACCAAAGCTTTTGGAAGACTGATGGGAGCAAACCCCAAGTGAACACTGAAAGGCGCTTTTAGACAGGCACAGGTCAGCACGGAATGTTCCAAGCAAAGAGGTTCGGGGGACGGTGGGTTTATGGAATGTGTGTTGCCCGGGACCGGGGCCCAGTTTGAGGGGCCCATCACTTGTCATAGAGGTGTCCGAGTATGGGGAGAAAACAAAGCATTAGATAACTCCTGCTGAAATCCTGGATCTGCCACACAGGACCTGAGACAAAACAATAAACATCTCGGAGCCTCCATTTCCTTGTCTGTCCAATGGGTCACTAGGAGGATTACATGAAACAGCTCATCACGGGCTAGTGCATCGCCTGTGTAGGGCAGGGAAGGGAACTGGGGTGATATCAGCAGAGGGACCTCAGCAGATCTACTCATTCCTGGTGACTAGGAATGCCCTCATAGGCCAGGGCAGTGAGTTCCAGCTCAAGTCTCATGCATCAGCCAGCTTCCATCTAGTCCCTGCTCAAGTCACTGTCACCACAGGCTGCTCCCTCCTTCATCATGGGGCCTATTAGTAATTCCAGAACAGCTCTTTCCTGTCCCTAAGAAGCAGCTCAATCAGCAGACCTCCCTGGTGAGAATGACACAGAAGAAGGAGCAGTTGATGGGGCTCGCAGCCGCCTTCCCACCTGGCAACTAGGATGCTCCTGGGGCCTGGTGTTCTCTCTGTTCCGACCATTCGGTAAGATTTCAGAGACTGGGTAGGCCCTGTCTATTGGGATACAGGCACTGTCCCTGGCCTCTGCTCTCCTTCCTCACTCCACCATTGCCCCTTTTCTTCAAACCAGTCTTCATGTCTCCATCCATCTCATTAGCTAGCCACACTTCTGGGGGTGGCAACACTTTGCTCCTCCCCACCAGCACTACCGGTCAGCACTGGCAGGAGAAACCTCCTTCCAGGCAGTCAGAGCCCTCCCATTCCTAGAAGATGAGTTGTGACGTTGGGTGACAAGCACAGGAGGGACGTGTTGTCCTGCCACACTGACTCGAGTGAGGGTTTCTTGGGGTACCGCCCATCCCTGAAACCTGGGATCATCCCTGCAGTTACTGTATCTCACCCCAGGCATGATGATTCGTTCAATGTCCCCAAAGATGCTGTCCCAGCTGTCGGGTTCCTCAGGAGCACTCACAGGTAGCTGGGCTCGCAGGTACCCAGGCTGCACATCTGGAGTCACCTGCCTCTCCCGCACAGTGCTCAGGTACTGGCAGATATAATCCACCATCTCTTTCCCTGGACAGAAGCAGAGGAACAGGTCATATTTCCTCAGCCTATTCGTGCCTGTCCCTCGTGGACCCCAATCAAAAGACTTGGTGAGAGGAGAGAGATTTGTGGTCCGGGTAGACCTGATCCCCAACAGGACAAAGAGGGAGAGAGCATGAGTGAGTAATGGGAAGAACCTGTGAGAAAATAGATAAGCAAAAGGGAAAATCTGCAAAACAGAAAACTTTAGCACCAAAGTGAAACATTTCCTTTCTTCCTCCTCCTTGCTGGTATGGTCTATTCTCTCATTGTTTTCTTCCCAGAACCAGAACAACTATAATTCATTACCTTAAAGGCTCACACAGAGACTCCATACCTCTTTGAACCCCAAACTGGTTACACATTCACATGAACACACACGCGTGCGCACGCGCGCGCGCGCACACACACACACACACACACACTCACAGTAGCTTACACACATTCACATGCACACACACACTAACACATTCACACACACACTCACACATGCACTCACTGACATATATAATCTAAAACTAGCTCACACACCCACACATTCACACACATGACCACACACACACACTAACACATTCACACACTCTCACATACACACTGACATGTACTGTGTTCTTCGTCAGCACAGAGGGAAGCTTCCATGCCCAACTCTAAGAAAAGGCAAAAACATCTTGTTAGACTCGTTAAATCAACATTCTCATCTCTTTTTGTACTTGGTAACATCTTCTGAGTGTGATTGAAACTGTAAGTTTACACACATACACACACACACACACACACACACACACACACACACAAATGTCACATACAATTTCTGAGGTACATGAAACATATCTAAAGCACAACCAGGAGCCCAGACAAGAGCTCGTGAACCAACCTGGACCCAAGATGTGCGGCCTGCAGCTCCTTGATGCTGTTCCTCGGGGTTTGTAACATGCCTTTCATGTTCAAATAAATGTACCAAATGATCAAAGACTACATAAAGAAGAATTTCTGAGGGGGAGCTAGTCTTTCTTCCCTTGCACTTCTGCAGGGGTCTCCGTTTTCACAGCACTCGCTCACACTCACTCATCTTCCCCCACCCTTGCGTTGTGCAGCAGCTGTGAAGAACAGGAAGTCCTCCCTAAGCCCCCCTCCTCTTGTGAAGAACAGGAAGTCCTCCCTAAGCCCCCCTCCTCTTGTGAAGAACAGGAAGTCCTCCCTAAGCCCCCCTCCTCTTGTGAAGAACAGGAAGTCCTCCCTAAGCCCCCCTCCTTGTCTTCTCCCTGCAAAGGAGAAATCGAGCAGAGAAGAAAAGGAGCCCGACTTATTCCCTCTTCATCTGCTTATGCGAAGTTCCTACACACAGAACCAGGCCTAGACAAAACTGAGGAGTCAGGGGACTGGACTCCTTCAGCCCTCCACGGCCTTGGGCACCCAGCAGTGGTGCCCATCAGACATTAGAGAGCTGCCACTCATCCAGGGAGTCTCAAAGGAGTGTGTGTTCCACCGCAGGGTAAGGACCCTCGCTGGCTCTCAGCCAAGCGCACCACTGAAAGGCAGCGTGGTACTCTGATACACACTGCATCAAAGGTTGATAGCCACTTATCGCTAGGGGAGACGAGAGGAAAGGTTAGAGTTAAGACAGGATATTACCTTACAGCCAAGAAATTCTAGGCAATCTGCCCCAGTGTGAAGACGCAAATATTACAAAATTATCAAGACACTCAAAATTCTCTTTTGTCACATAGGCTTTTACAAGAGCCTTTGTTTTTGGTTAATGTGTACTAAATGGAAGACGTGGGACCAAAGTCATAGTCACAAATGGCTTTGCTGGATGTGTTCTTCAAAGAATTCCCTTTCGGTAACTCCCCATTTCCCTCTGCGGACAGGCCTGTAGACAGGGTAACTGTTGGGTTTTGCTTTTACGTGAAAGCCTGTACACAAGGGGGCACTTGGAGACTATTTGGGATTTTTTTTTTTCTATTTCATAAGATAACGGAGTGGATCACAAATGCAAATAGTTTATTTTGTGGGCAGATAGAGGGGAAACAAAATGTAAGACACGGGCAGCAACATGGGAGTGGGTACATGAGGGTCAGAGAACGGGAGACCGCTTAAAACTCTGACCTACCTCCGTCCCGGTCAGGAGATACAGTGCTGAAGCCAGCTCTCCCAAAGCAGTTCTAACACTCACCTGGCCCCAGCAGCAGTTTCCACAGCCTTACCATGAGGGAAGACACACAGGGGACCCCTCACTCACCTCTAGCTCGGTATTCCTGGGGCTCCATCATCTCCCTTGGCTTGCTCCTGGCAGACAGGCGGCGGAGGAGACTGTGGAAGGCAGCTATCAGCTTGGCTCCTTATTCACTACTCCTCTGTGCTGTGCACCCCCTGGCAGCCAGTGCGCCTCTTATTTAAAGAGTTCTCCATTCCCCTGCTTTAGCCCCGCCCCATAAAGTGCCTTCCTGCCGGCTTAATTTCAGCCTCTTTTCTCCCAGTCCTTGATTAGAACTTTGATCAAAAGACCCAGAGGAAATTGTTTTTTAGACCAATCAGGGCACCTACCAACCCAAGCCCACAAGCAGGAAGACAAGGTAAAAGAGCCTTCCATGCCAGGTGGTGGTGGTGCAGGCCTTTAATCCCAGCACTTGGGGAGGCAGAGCAGGCAGATCTCTGTGAGTTCGAGGCCAGCCTGGGCTACAGAGTGAGATCCAAGACAGGCACCAAAACTACACAGAGAAACCCTGTCTCGAAAAACGAAACAAAACAAAACAAAAAAAGAGCCTTCCACATCTCTGTCCCTGCACTCAGAAACTAGAGCCCCAGGCTCCAGCAAAGGTCCTAGCTCAGGGGCCAGAAGATAGGCCAAGGGCATTCACAACAAGCGGCACAGATAATTAGGTTGCTCCTGCTCTGGCTTCTCTCTGAGGTGAGGGAAGAGCAGGCTCCATGAAGCTCATAGCTAGCCAGGCTGAGTTCAAGAGGCAGGAGCTGGCAATGGACACAAAGGATTATGTTTTCCATTACTACATAGTACTTGTTCTGGGTTCTTTACCTGGGCTACAACTTAAACCAACATAAGACAGGCAAACCTAAGTATGGAAGTCCTTCAGCTGACGGAAGCTTCCACAGAAAGCAGAGGTACAGAACACAGAGGGGACTCGGTGCAGCAGAGCGCAGGACACACACGTTCTCAAAGGAGGAAGAGACACTGTCCTGTGTCAGATGAAAATCTTTCTGATGGCGGTTATCTGGAGCCCTCCTCTTCCTGAGGCAAGTAGTTTTCCTAACAAAGGTTTCTTCCTGAACGTCTCCTACTAAGGGACATCTTTTGAGAGCTACTTCTGTGCCCAGGGCTTCTCAGAATAGCACAAAGGGAGCCTATTAGGGGTGGCAAATCCTCCTCTCCTGAAATCATATTCTGGGGTGGCGTGTTTGTCCTGGACCCCAACACTGCCACAAAACATCAAAAACCCTTAGTTTCCCAAACACCAAGAGGGCTTTGTTTGTTTGTTTGTTTTGTATTGAGGACCCTTTGTTCCTCAGAGGCTCCAGCCTGAAGATGTTTGAACCCAAGAGTTTCAAGCCCAACCCAAGCCAAACAGTCTCCATCTAAAACATCATCTGTATCTATGATAACAGAATTCATGGGGTGCTCAGAGGGATGAATAAAAAGAACTAGAGGTTATGGGTGCGACTCAGTACAGATCACTTACCTTGCATACCCAAGACCCTGAGTTTGATCCCCAGCCCCCCCCCCCACCTTCCCCTTGGGAAAAAAAAAAGTACCTCTGGAAGAAGAGATTCGAAGAATTTGGGGTCACCAACCACACAGGGCTGCCTGAAGGATAGCACCCAGAGAAGGCAGCTCCACACCCCATGTGGCACTCTTCACCTGGCTGTTGAGTGTACCCTACATGGTATCCTTGCGATCAATGGGAAGCGTGTCTACTATAGCTCTATAAGCCATCCCGGCAAATTAATTAAACCCAAGAAGGATGTGGGAATCTGGTCTTAGCACGTAGGTTACAAACACAAATCGCAAACTCCTTACTGGCAACCTGTGTCTGAAGGTGGAGCAGAGTCGTAAGGCTGAGCCCTCCAACTCTGGGACCTGACTCCATTCAGTGTTGAAAGTGGATTGAATTAGAGGTCACGCTGTTGGTGTCTGCTAGGGATTGTTTGGTATACAGGGGAAACGCCACACATAAGGGAAAGGGGCAGCTGCTTTGCCAACAAGAAGTTGAAAAAGAGGGCTGGAGAACCGACTCAGCAGTGAAGGGCACTGGCTGGAAAGAGAGAGAGAGAGAGAGAGAGAGAGAGAGAGAGAGAGAGGAAAAGACAGAAAAGGAGAAAAAGTAAAAGCTACAGTTTTCGGAGCTGGACTCATGACATGTGGCTCATCGCCACCTACAAGAGTCCACTCTTTGGCTAGGAGGCAACAGCTTCCCTCACAGCTTCCCTCACTCTAACAATAAAACACTAGGTAGAAGTGTTTGGAAATAAAGGCAGTTCCTGGGAAGACTAAGGATTTTTTTTAAAGAGACTATAATTTCACTCAAATGTGGCTTTCATAAAATACAGTATTTTCAGAGGTGGGTTGCCCTGGAAAAAGTTAGTCCACGGAAACTGTCTTCAGATGTTGGCTACCTCCCACCTCCTGATTGTAAGCATTGTAGGGCAGACACCAGATAAGCAGAACCACATAGATTGTCAGCTGACTTGTCTCCTGTAGGTTGATTGACATCATTTCATCCTGGAAAAATGTATAAAGTAGATGTAATCGAACAATGGTCTCTCTCATCAGCAGTCTCAATACAGCACTCTTACAATATGTCACTGTGAGCAGTAAGCTTCCTGATGAGCTCTGAAAGTAGCTCAAGGGACAAAATGTGCTTTCAGAAGGCCACATGAACTATCACCTAAATTCAGAATGTGGTTGGGAGATAGGAAATAAAAATAAAGCTTTGGTGTGGAATAAAAAAAATACAATATTTTCCTATAGAGATTTGTAGTTTACATTTAACTCTTTAGTGTTCTGACTGAAATGGAAAGGCTTGACCAATCATGAAAAATAGCAATAGAAAAACAAATGATTTAACTGGTGTGCTAAAGTGCTTAAGAAAATCATTCTCACAAAGCAGTCAAGGTATTGAAACAATCCTTGACATTCAAAATGGTAATCCATACAATCAGTGGTAAGGATGGAGCTGTATTATGTAGTAGTGCACATTTTAAAGGAATCAAATACATCATATATTAACTATGCATATGAGATCAAAACTATTCAGAAAAATACCAAGTAAGCAAATAATAAAATACGGTAGACAGCCCCTTTAAAAAAACGAGTTATTGTGTGACTATCTCCTCCTGATTGAAACATTTCCCATTGAATTCAAGAAAACTAAGGAGACGCAGGCTTACAAAGCTCAGAACGTTACAAGAATCACAAGCCCCACCCCACCACAGAGAGCTATAAAACAGCAGACAGTCACAGGCTGTTGGGTGGGAAGAGACCCTCAGGTGCAGCTACCTTCAAGATGTTCCCACAGCTCCAAGCACGCGGCTTTGGGGAGTTGTCAGCCATGCTGGGTGGCTTTTTGGTAATGCAGCAGCCTTTGAGTCACCCATACCCTTGTTAGTGACACCAATATACTCGCTGGTTCACAAAGCAAGACTCTGGTAGAACCATCTCTTTAGCCTATTGTTGGTGTCCTATTCGGGGTGAACAGACATTTGTTCATGTTTCCCCCAAAAAGTCAACACAATAAAGCTCTTTTTCCCCCCAGGAAAACAAAAGGGATTTTTGTTTGTTTTTAAAAAGTGGTATTTAGCTAAAAAGTAAAAGGCCCTAGGAACTGTATCCAGATTGTATTCCATATTTTGTTATCACTTATTTTCATTTAAGTCAAATGTTTTCAAAGAAATTTAAGGGATCAAATGAGCAGAAGACACAAGGCCACTTCGACTATCTGTGCATACGAGAAATTTGTTTTAGGAAGTCACAAAAATATTGGTATTCAAATGTTAATTTGGAACTAGCACATTTCTAGTGATAATATTGTGTTTTTCATGGTAGTCTGGAGAGCAATCTGAGAATGAACCAGGAGTGCTTTCGTCAAAGTAAATCTATGTGCATCAGGTGTTCCCATTTAACCCGGGAAAAAACAAATAGCAAGCACGGTTTAAAACCACAACAGATGAGTTATCTATAATGAGATCCAAGGATAGCAAATATCACTTCATGAACTGACGAGCCTATTAGTGAATCCATTCCTAAGTTGATTTGACAAGACAAAGTGGTTATTTATTCAGTAGGAACCAGGTGAATAGAAAAAAGTCTTTTCCTGTTTGCTATATAAGCCGAAATACTAATGCTTGGGAGCGTTTCCATATGGCACAAGAGCTCCTCGAATCAAGGCCTTCCGAGTATTAAAAAGCACAACTTAACTCAAACTGTAACACAGAAGAAAAAAAGTCTCCTCAGAATAAAGCACCCATATCCATTTCTGTCACTGCATCAGTGTCTGTTATGACCAAGGATTTCTTCCTATTGTCAATAAATACCACCATAAATGATGATAGTGAACATATCCTGGCACAGACTTTCCATTAAGCTTATGTTTCAAACAAGTATTGGTATATAGATCTTTATTGCAGACCGGAATTAGTTCACCTATTTCCTCTTGAGTCCCTTCTCAGGAATTTTGTTCCATTGACTATCAAGAAAGCTCTCCCACCTTCCTACCACCATCAAGAAACAGAGCAACCCGGGGCAACGGAGCAGCTCAGTCAATAAAGTACTTAATGTGCATGCCTGAGAACCTGAATGGGATCCAAAACCCACATCTAAAAAGCCAAATGTGGGGGCTGGAGAGATGGCTCAGCGGTTAACAGCATTTGCGGCTTTTCCAGAGGACCTGGGTTCAATTCTCACCACCCACATGGCAGCTCACAATGGCCTGTAACTCCAGTTCCCAGGTGATCCAATGCCCTCTGCTGGCCTCTGTGGGCACTGCATGCACTTACAAACAGGCAAAAAACAAAACAAAAACCCAGGCATATAAAATAAAAATAAACTTAAAATCTTTAAAAAAGAAAAAGCCAAGTGTGGGCCTTCAAGATGGCTTAGGGAGTAAGGGCACTTGCTACCTACCAAACCTGATGACCTAGTTATCTTCTACATGGTGGAAAAGAACAAATTTCAGCACACGCATAGTGGTAAGAGCATGGACACACACATACACACACACACACACACACACACACACACACACACACACACAGAGAGAGAGACAGAGAGAGAGAGAGAGAGAGATTTAATGTCCTCTGGTCTTAACACATGTGCAAACATGCCTGCACAAACATGCACACACATAAACACACACACAAACATAGCAAGCCAGTGCAGAGTAAGTTTGATGAATCTGCCATTTACACCATGAAAGACTGATGTGGGGTTGGGGATTTAGCTCAGTGGTAGAGCGGTTGCCTAGCAAGTGCAAGGCCCTGGGTTCGGTCCTCAGCTCCGGGGGGTGGGGGTGGGGGACGGGGAGAAAAACAGACTGATGTAAGATAGTAAGCCCAAGAGTCAAAGACAACCGGCAACATAGATCTTTAGAAAACATAGGTTTTTAGATGTTAATGAAGAGCAACCAATGAAAATCAGTTGAGAAGCACTGTCCTTGCAGATATCCCTCAAATGAGACTTTCTGAGAGCACAGACTAACCCTAGAGAGTCCAGCGACTAGACACACTGTGAAGCTAAGTATGGTGATGCGTGTGGGAGGTTTAGGCTGCACATCATTTGGCCTCCCCTCTCCTTCACACACACACACACAGCAAAAAAGCCAGGTATGATGGTATGCTTCTGAGTCCCACTACTCAGGAGGTGGAGGTGAGCGCGCGCGCACACACACACACACACACACACACACACACACACACACACACACACACGCTGGAGAATTCCTATGAGCTCAGTATCTAGAGAATACAAAGAAAGTATTCTGGACGCACAGCAAATGATGAAAATTAAAGTATTAAGCAGACCCTACAGTTAATGGCTTCATTCTTGCACAGATTCCTGCAGAGAAAGGCTGATCTCAGGTACTTGTTCACACACAAATGGGAAGAGCCGGCCCATGACCATCAGACAACTGCCAACTGCAAACCCATCATTGTGAACTGGAAAACAACTGTAGCTTTCTGAAAATTTTTATTTCACATTTTGTCGGTTACTTTTAGCCCTCAGTACAAAACAACACAGGCTTTTCCAGCCTACCTGAAAACTGTTAAAATGAGAAGAAAAAAAGAGGAGTGAGATAGAGGAGGGGGCATCCCGCTTCCGTTAGAGTCTCATCTAAGGATTGCTCTCTCAGCAGTCAGATGAAGAACGAGACTCTAAAAACAGTGAACCTGTCTTTCCTCTAAAAACCGGAATCCTGATATACCACAACCAATTGTTTTCTCACACCAACTGGCTCACTGTTACTACTGGAGATCAAAACTACACCCTGTACCACTCTCCAGCAGAACCTAAGGCTAGGAGAGAAAGCAGCACACTTCAGCTTGCAGATGCTTTTTCTGTCACCACCTTAAGGCTTTTCAGAGCTGATCCGATCTGAGAACCAAACTGCACTGGCCACGTCCTGAACACAGTGCCCCCTCTGTTCCCACACTGCCTGCCATGGAATTAAATGTGCACCAGCTTTCTGCTTAATTACTACACAAACCCAAACCACACATTCTCCAGTGACTTATGATGGAAGAGCAAGCAGCTTCATGATGCTGAAATGTGGCTTACAATCATTTTTAACTCAGCATTAAACATTTTGCTTTTGTCATGCTGAAGACTGAGCCCAGGGTCTCGTGAGTATTAGGTAAGCATTCCACTCCTAAGCTATAGGCCCTAGCCCTAAAATCTAGTGTTAGATCATTTAACATTTATGTAAAGATGGTGGAGGGATACACCTGTCATCTCAGCTACCTAGAGGAGGATCAATTGAATTCAAAAGTTCAAGACTAGCAGGGTCGACACAATGAGAGATCTCTCTCCACGTTTGAGTGTGCTGTGAAATAATCCTTTTGTACCCAGTAAAGATTTGTCACCTGAATTGGTTTTAATAAAACGCTGATTGGCTGGTAGTCAGGCAGGAAGTATAAGTGGGGTGATCAAACTGAGGATGCTGGAAAGGGCAGAGACAGAGGAGACACCAGTTAGGTGTATAGAAAATGAGGTAACAAGCCATGAGCCACATGGCAAAGCATAGAGAAGAAATATGGGTTAATTCAAATGTAAGAGTTAGCTAGTAACAAGTCTGAGCTACCAGCCAAGCATGTATAATTTATATTACGTCTCTGAGCCAGTTATTTGGGAAGCAGCTGCCAGTTAATTGGGAGTAGGCAGTCAGGACAAGAAAACCATGCCTATACATGTGTAATGTCATGTGTTTATGTCCCCAGAACTAAGTAGGCTGAGGTGGGAAGGTCACCAGAATTCATGAGTTGGACTAGACTGGAAGTGAGGCAACATTTCAAAATGAATAAATATAATGTCAAATTTAGTGAAACACTAGAAGGCATTCTCTTCCTTACAGTCTTTTTATATTTGTCATAGAGACTTCCTGTGCTCTCCAGAAAAGCAGCAAAATCAGGCTAAGGTTCCAGAACCTTTTATTAATTAACTCCTTTAAGGATGACCTGGGTGAGAGAACCTTCACATTCCGGAAGGAGTCACTCTGGGAGTTTTTAAGGCATGAAGAATCTAATTGTTTTCATATTGCAGAACGTAGCTCAGATTATGTGTGTGATGGGATTTGAACCAGAGTCTAAAAGTGCCAAGGACCTGCTCTACCACTGAGCTATCTCGCCCACATTTTAATGTGAGAAGAATATACAATCAAAACACAAGTCTGCACTGAGCATATGTGGAAAGTTATTTAATTGTAAAATAGAAAAAGAGGCCAGAGTACAGTCTTGAAGGTAATTGGTTCTTTATACAGATAATCTAGAGTAGTTTTGGGGTTAAACATTTTCATAAAGCAATAAAACAAAAAACCAAAGAGCTTGAAGTTACATTTTACAAAACAGAATGGAAGTCTGTCAAATGTCCACACACTGTAGAATGGACAACATTGTGATGAGACCGAGCTGCAACATAGACCTGGAGCTTCCCAGGGAATAGCGAAAGTTACATTAGACATAACTATAGCATCACTGAGTACAAAAAGTTCCTGTTCTACATACAAAAGCAATTTTCCATAAGAATAATTTCTTGGGCGGGGGGTGGGGAGTGGGGAGAGGAGTAGTTAAGTCCATGAAATATTTCAGAAACCCAAATGCACTGAGTTTGCCAAAAACATTATCTTAAAATCCAGCGCCTCAAAGTGCTCATGTGGAAATCATGATGGAAGGCACAGAATACAGTCTCACGTCCCCACAATGGAATTTTTGAAAAAGCATAGATTTTGCAGATTCAAGTTCTCTCGCCAGCTGCTCCTTCCAAGAACATTGTCATGGTTGCCAGTAAAACCAGTTGCTAACTTACTTACTTTCAGTGACCAACAGAACAACAGTAGTGCCTTTTTTATTTCTTGGTAACTTTCATCGTCTTTGTGGGAAACATATCTAAGCAAGTGATGCATTTTAAAATCATAAAACATGCAGAATATGTACAAACAAAATTTTAAAAATATTTGCTTCATATACATGTAAATCTACTTGCATGTAGCTGAAATTGAACAAATATAAAATTTCTGCTTCCTAAAAAATGTTTTCAGAGAACCTGAGACAACTTAAAAGCTGTACAAAAGTTCCTGGGAGAAATCTCTTCAAAGAGTAATTTCCAGCATCAGTCCACCATAATTATTACACATTTGGTCTAATCAACAACCACCACCCTTAAAACTTCTGTTTCTGAGAATTGAAGTCTGTACCCAAATCAAGAAGAATTGCCTGTAACAGTGCCTTACTGTGGTTTTTGGATCTCCTCAACAATCTTTATCAACTCATTTGTAACTGTAAAAAAAGAAACAACCAAAAACTATTTACAGAATTCAGTTTTAAATACATCTCACAAGTTCTAAAGTTTTATATTACAAGAATTCAGAGCTCATGGCTTAAGTCCCATTATCAATGCGTAGTATTTTCTATTATCCGGTATTCCCATAGCTGTGTCCTTACTGTGTACAGTTCAAGACTGCATTCTTTCTGGACAAAAGGTAAAATCAAAGACGTGTTCATGGCGGCTAGACAGCTTCCTTGTTGGTCTGGAGGCGCGTCATGGCCTCCAGCTTCTGCCTGTAGGCCTCCGCCTCCTGCTCCTTCTTGAGCAGCTGCTGTCGGTACTTCTGCGCCTCCCGGTTCGCCTCGTCTAGCTGTTTCTGAAGTGCTTCTCTCTCCTAATTTAGAAAAGAAAGTCGGGTTTTCAAGTTTTGCACAAATATATTAACATAATCATGTGTCCTTCCAAAACAAAAGACAGACAGACAGACAAGACAAACAGACAGACAAAAAACTATGCAGTGGCCACGGCAGCTACCGACTGGTACCTTCAAGATGTTTTTACCTTTTCAACCAATTCACAAGTAAACGCCCAGTTTTGTTCTCTGTATTGTAAGATGGTGATAATTCTCTAATTTCAAGAAGACTATTTCTAACTTATAATTGAGAATAGAATAAACATAAAACATGCATCCATACTTCTCTGTGTACTGAAGAAATAGAAGACTTAAAAGGAAACTATACAAACACATCCCTTATCTCTACTCAGATAACCATCACACAGCTGAGCACCTACAACATGGCTGAGCAAAGGCAATTCCACGATTCGCTTCTCATGTGTCAGGCTATGAAGAAGAAAAGTGGTGCTCAGAAATGATGTAGCTTTCCCAAGAACACCATGAGAACTGGGTTTATGGGACTCAAATGTCAGTAATTCCAAAACAACCCACGCTCCCCTTCACTACCAAGGAAAATACCTGAACTCTATCACAATGGGTGCTGGTCTAGACTTGCAAAGTCATACAGTGGGCAATCCATAAAAGGCTACTCTAACAACCTTCCACTGTTAAACAGGTATAAAAATTTTAAATCCTCAGTTACTGAGAGCCAGTATATACAAACTCAGTTCACTGAAAAGAGTCTATTTTCCTCTCTTCATCACACCTCTACTATCAAGGAAAAGAGACCAACACTTTAAAGAACCCTTTTGTATACCTGTAGTAAGCACATGGAGAAACCTACTCCACAAAGGCCCAGGCTCAGGGACGTTTCCTGTCTTAGGAATGAAGTAACTTCATCACAAAGACCTATGATCTGCTAGTGAGGTAGGGGCCAGAGCATAACTATGAATTACAGAAAAGGCCAGGTTCACACTGAGCAGCACACATGCCCAGAGGGAGCAGAAGGTGAGGGAGGTCCTTGAGGACCGTCTGAGGGTCTCTCCCTCTATATCCTGTGCTTCCTGACACAGGCTCATTTTAAGCACCCAAAGACTACCTCTGCTTTACTGTTCAGTTGTTCCTACCAGGAAGAACATGCAGCTCTCCCTCCCTTCTCCACACCCCCCCACCCTCACCCTATAAGCCCACCCACTGTCCTATCCTGAGAATGAAGTTAGATTTATTATTTTTCTGATTCCTATGGGTCCACCAGATATGAGAGTGCCTGAGAAGCCCAACAAAGGAATATCCTTTATTTCCAGTTTCAGCAATACCCAGGACCAACCCTAATACCTTCCATCGCTGCTTCCTTCTCTTACACCCTTCCCTAATGCTAGAAAAGACGGCAGCCAGAAAGATGGAAGTTGGTAGCACCTGGGAATCAAGCCTCAGGTAAGCAAGGAACACTAGAACTGGCTGTGACCTATGCAGGACTCTGAGCTTGCCAATGATCTGAGTAGAGGTGAAGGGTAGGGGCTTGGTGGTGTTTCCCCAGGAGCAAAACCTACTTCTGGGAGGAGCGGCCTTAGCTCGCTTTGACAGCACATACACTAAAATTGGAACAATACAGAGATCAGGATGGCCCTTGCCCAAGGACAACACACAAACTCAAGAAGCATTCCATAATTTCCCTACAGCTCCAGGGGGATCTGATGCCTCTGACCTCACCAGGAACCAGCCCTATAGATACACACATACACGTAGCTAAAAAAAATAATAAAAACAAATCTTTTTAAGTTTACATGTGTTAAGAAATAAGATCTTTTGGTAGTCAGTGGTTTGAATATACATGCATAGGAAATATTAGAACAAACTGACTTTAAGGGATCATCTAGTATTAGCTATTTATTAACAGCTGGCATTTGCAAGGGGTTTACTATTACTGCAGAAGACGAAAGCAAATAGAGTGAGCCAAACAATGTAAAAGTGAAATGGCTTAATCCTATCTTCCTATTTCAAACGCACACGTACACGCACACGCACACGCACAGAGTTGGGGATCAAACACAGGACCTCATACATTCTAGGCAAGTATTCGACCACTGAGCAGTAAATGAAATACATTTTAATACAAATAAAGTAATAGCTTCCTTTCACCTACTAGGCCAAATAAAACTCATTTCAGCTTCATTTTTTTTTTTGTCTAAATCTGTAGATTGTAAAGACAAAGACCCTTAGTACTTGTTGAATATATGATTAATGCATAGACTTTTAGTGTTGTGTCTTTGACTTCTCCGAAATACAGGAATATGGAACGAGAACTTGTTTGCCATCTCAAGTTTTCAAAGTAAATAAAAGTCTGAGAAATGGAAAATGTTATTTATTTTACCAGAGACCTTTATTTCTGATGTCACAGTTACTAAACATACTTCATGAAATATAGTTTCTTCACATAGCAGTGTTTCACACATTAATAATGGAACAGGCTGACAGCTGACATTTTTATTTAAATATGTCAATCCTATGGATTAACCACACTGATTTTGATATTTTTAATATTGTGAGTTTGTGTGTGTTCACGTGCTACTGCACATATATGGTCAGAGGACAACTTTCTGGGGTCAGTTTTTTTTCCTTCTATCCTTACAAGGACTTGGGATCAAACCCAAAATTATGCCAGGCTTGCATAGTGAGTACCTCTACCTGCTGAGCCATCCTGTTGGCCCGTTTTGATATATTATTGTTACTGTATGTAAATGGTACAGGTGTTCTGCCTTCATGCGTGCCTGTGCACCGTAAGTATGCAGTGCCTAAGGAGGCCAGAAGAGGGCATCACATCTCCTGGAACTGGAGTTACAGACTATTGTGAGTGGCCATGTAGGTGCTGGGAATTGAACTTGGGTCCTCTGAAAAAGGAGCCTGTGCTCTTAACTGCTGAGCCATCTCTTCAGCCTCCAATTTTGATATTTTCATGTAGCACTAACTTAGTTAATATGTGATACTAAGGTACTGTTCTAGGGCTGGGTTGTAGCTGCTCACCATGCAGGAAGCTCGGATTCAACTCCCAGCACTGGAGGAAAAGTAAGAAGTCTACCATCACAGACCTCTAAGAAAACTAAACCCTAATAATAATGAAGATTGACGGCAACAAGATACACCATAACCCTTAAGTATTATATCAGGGAACAGTACCATAGGGCAACAGGTGATTTCAGCTCTCTTTATTTTCAAAGATGATTCTCTTTATCTTCTCCCTCAACACACACTTTAGGGAACTCCTGCTAATATCACTTACTGAGCATTTACTCTGTGTTCACCATTGTATTCATCCTGCATTTGTCTCATTTCATCTTTTTCTCTTCTTTGAGACAGTCTCACTATGTAGCTCTGGCTGGCCTGGAATTTACGATGTAGACCAGGCTAACCTCAAACTCACAAGAGGAAATTAAAGGCATGCACCACCACACCAGGCTTTTCTTTCACTTTATCTTTAAAGCAATCAATTGCTGATGCTATTCATTTTCTGTCTTGTTGATGGAGAGGCTATGCCTTGAAATGGCATACAAGAGGGCCAAGGTCACACACTCAAAATATCAGAAAACTCAAACGTACAGTTAAGTCCAGACCCATATCCCTAAAAATTAGGTCTATTTTTTTTTTTTTTTTTTTTGGTTTTTCAAGACAGGGTTTCTCTGTGTAGCTTTGCGCCTTTCCTGGGACTCGCTTGGTAGCCCAGGCTGGCCTCGAACTCACAGAGATCCACCTGGCTCTGCCTCCCGAGTGCTGGGATTAAAGGCGTGCGCCACCACCGCCCGGCTATTTTTAAATTTTAATGTATTGTTATTACTATTTATTACTGTGTGTACAATGTGTGTATGGGGATGTGTGCCATGTGTGGAAGTCAGAGGACTACTTTGTAGAGTTGATTCTCTCCTGTCACCTTTGTATGGGTTTCAAGGACCCACTTGCTAAGCCACCTTGCCAGCCCCCCCACACACACAGACACCCCATACACTTTGTAATGTTTTATTTTTAATTCTGTGGTACTTCTGTGTCTGTGTAGGGATATGTGCATGTGAGTGCAAGTGCCTACAGAGGCCAGAAGCTGGAGTTCCCCTGGAGCTGCTTGACACCAGCGAGCGCCGCCGTGAACGGAATTTGGTCCCTGCAATAGCAGTGCGTGTTCTTAAGCCCTGAGCCACCTCTCCTCGGCCCTAGCTGTAGTTGCTTTTCTTAAACACAAGGGAGAGTAAATGCAGCCCCCACTACCACAAACTACGCCAAGTTCCCCACATTTGGAGAAATCACAAGAGTCAGCACATCCACACCGTTATGGATGAGTCTTGCCTTGGGAAAACCAGCTTCATGATTATGGGATCTCCCTTGGCGGGTATTAAAGATTTATTTTTGTGGATGTGTGTGTCTGTGTGGGTATATGCACTTGAGTACAGACAGGTGCCTGTGAAGACTAGAAGAGAGTGTCAATCCCTGGGACAGCTGTGAGCTGTGTGCAGGTGCTAGACAGTGACCTCAGGTCCTCCGGAAGGGCAGCCAGTGCTCTCAACTGCTACACTGTCCCTTTAGCCTAAAGTCCCCATTTTTTTAAGGAGAAAAGCCAGGCCAGGTATCTATCTGAGCTATTTGTTTGCACCTAAAAATCAGCTGTCCAAATGTGACAAATGATCTGACTTTTATCAACGCAGTTCTTGACACACTGCCACACCTACTCTTTTGAAGCCACTGTGTGGCTGCTGTCTCCAACACAAACACCTGGACAGTTGCAGGAGTCACGTGGCTCATAAAGCCATACCTCTCCCTGGCCTTCTCCATAAAAGGCCCTCTTGTTCCCCGGCTCTGGAGAAAGACCTGAGATAGAGGACATGTGACTAAAAGAGCTTTAAATCCTGGCAGAAGGAAGACAACCCAAGCATGGCTGGAAACTCAGCTGTGATTTCAGCACCCTGGAGGCTGAGGTGGGGAGGATTGTTCTAAATTCAAGGCTACCCTGGGCTACAAGGCTACTCCCAGACCAGCCAGGCCTACACAGCAGAACCCTACTCAAAACAAAATGAAACCAAGAAAACAAATAAAATAAGTGAAATAAATAAAAATGATTTTGAAAAAAAAAATGGTATCAAGTAAGATACCACTTAAAATTTACAGATCAATTTTTACAAGAGCACTAACATGAAGGACCCTTAATTCACACCTGGCTGAAAGACACACACATTTCATTTACAAAATAAACAATCCAGCCTGGCGGTGGTGGCGCACGCCTTTAATCCCAGCACTTGGGAGGCAGAAGCAGGCACACCTGTTTGAGGCCAGACTGGTCTGGTCTACCTAGTGAGATCTGGCCAGTCAGAGCAACATAGTAAGGTCCTGCTTCAAAAATAAATAAATAAATAAACAAACAAACAAATAGCTAAGAGAAAGAGGAAAAGGAGGAAAAAAGAGAAGGAGGAGAAAGAAAAGGAGGAAAAACAAGGCAGAGGAGTGGACGGGTAGCTCAGTGTTGATCTAGCACTTGCTTAGCAGGCATCAGGCTTGATCCTGAGCACCCACCATCCCCCACAACACAAAAAAAATCTACTCAAAAACATGAGTCTCAAAACAAACAAGAAAAGTGACTAATAAACAGTCATCTCTAGAGGGCTGCAGAGATGGCTCAGCAGTTAAGAGCACTGACTGCTCTTCTAGAGGATCCAGGTTCAATTCCTAGCACCCACAAGGAAGCTAACTGCCTGTAACTCCAAGATCGGACACCCTCACACATACATGCAGGCAAAAGCACCAATGCAAATAAAATAAAAACAAAAAGTCACCTCTAACTGGAATTCGTACAACTACCTAAGAAGCAGAGAGACCTGGCTCCTAACATGCGTGGTACATTGTCTCCCTCCAACGTACACAGATTTATTTCCACTGGACAGCTCAATGTTGCCTATTTTGGGGAATATCTGTAAAAGACACACTTCCCTTCAAAGCATCTTCAACGGAGAGCCAAGAAGCAGAAGCAAAGTTGTATGCACTAACACAGCATGGCTGGCGTCTTTATTTGTATCTGCCCCTCCAACATTAAAGCCATTTCATGTTCCTCACTGTCATGATGTACATGGAGAATCAACTTTTAACAGTTTAATGAATGAAACGATTACTGGGGAAATTTTCCCACTGCTGGAAAATTGTTATAGACAGTCACTCTGTCAGCTGTGAGTACAATACAGAGAAAGCCCCGTCAAATTGTTCATGAGTTAAACTTTTATATTTCTTTATAGTTTTTTTTTTTAATCTAAGCACTATTAATATGCTTAAGTGACATAAATTCTTAATACTGTCCTAGGTATCACAGGACACCAACCTAACCTCTACCCACAGTTGCAACAACCAAAAATGTTTCTAAACATTGCCAAATATCCCTTAGGGTCAAAATCTCCCCACTTGAGAATCAAGTTTTACAAAAACTTTTGGAGTTAAAGTTTGGCCAAGATGTTATCTAAGCAAACTGCATAAAAGCTTGCTCCTAAGATAATTCTATTGTCGTCAAAGAATATACATGTAAAAGAGTGACTTCATGTGTTACAGGAAAACAGTTACTCGGCCTGACATGAACACTGGATGTTGCATCCCTATCCTGTGACTCCAGGTGCCTCCATCTCTTCTTATTCTATGTATGGAAGTCTCTGTAAAACCCTAAAAGGTCACATCGCCTTGGCTTAAGCATTTCCAGTGATGGAAAGAAAGATTTCCATTACCAGAAAGTTCTATTGAAAACAAAAGAAAACAAATATAAAACTCACTGTTCTTTATACCAAATTAAACACAACCTCCCTAAAGCTTCTTTCTTGGTTCCACTTAACTAGTTCACCTTAATTCTTACTCCCTTGTTTACCTGGAATTACTTCTCATCTCTGGAAAACTAGAAAAGGGATCAGGCTGGACTTGGAGGAAAACAGACCCACAAGTCATTAATAAATAAAGGGATAGGCTAAAATCACTATTGTTTAAAAAATAAACTATTGGTCAGGTAGTGGTGGCACACACCTTTAATCCCAGCACTTGGGAGGCAGAGGCAAGTGGAGTTCTATGAGTCTGAGGCCAGCCTGGTCTACAAAGCAAGTTCCAGGACAGCCAGGTCTATGCAGAGAGACCCGGTCTCAAAAAACCAAATAAATAAATTGTTAAATAAACTTATGTTTAATGAAATTCAAAAAAATTTAAAATATAATGGAAACAAAGCAATAATTTTTTCTCACTTTCCATGCTCCAAAATTCCATCTAACTCTCTGCGTCTCTCTGCCTCTCCCTCTCTCTCTCTCTCTCTCTCTCTCTCTCTGCATCTCTGGTTCTCTCTCTCTCTCTCTCTCCTAATAATGCTCTAAAAGGTTAAAAAAAAAACCATCTAACAATCAGAAAAGGACAATAAAGAGAACCTGAGGGGTGAGGAGACGCTCAACCAGTAATGCGCACGCTGTGCAACCATGAGAACCTGAGTTTGGATCTCCAGGACCCATGTAAAAAGCTGGGCATGGTTCACACTTGCAATCACAAGTGCTGAGGAGGCAGAGACAGGAGGACCCAGGAGGCTTGCTGCTCCCCTCAACCCACACCAGTCTAGCTGAACCGGTGAGCTCTAGGCTCAGTGAGCGACAAGGTGGGGGCTGGGGAGACGGCTCAAGTGCTGCTGCTGCACAAGACTTGGATTCTGTTCCCAGTACTCACATGGTGGCTTACAACCATATTTAGCTCCAGTTTTAGGGTATCCAATGACCCTGGTCTCTGAAGACACTAGGAACACACATGGCACACATATATATATACACACAAGCAAAATACTCATGCACATAAAATAATATTAATTAGTGTTTTAAAAGAAAAAATAAGCCGGGCGGTGGTGGCGCACGCCTTTAATCCCAGCACTCGGGAGGCAGAGCCAGGCGGATCTCTGTGAGTTCGAGGCCAGCCTGGACTACCAAGTGAGTTCCAGGAAAGGCGCAAAGCTACACAGAGAAACCCTGTCTCGAAAAAAAAAAAAAAAAAAAAGAAAAAAGAAAAACAAGGTAGAGAGAGATTGAGACACCCAACATCAACCTCTGGCCTCCACACGCATGTGCCAACACATACACACGAAAGGTATTAAGTGAGGACAGCAATAAGACACTGCTTAGTGAAGGGAGCTTTTAGTTTGTGAATCAGAACTGTCCTAGAGGTGTCAATTTAGAGAAATAAAACATCACACTCAATAGTTAAAACTTAAGATTTTACTAGACATCCTGGTCAAACCATCAGGCACAGACTTTTTGTGTGGATTTTAAGACGGGATTTATTCATAACTAGACTCTGTTTAGTTCAATGCTTATCATTATGCCCATAAGGTACCTGTCTGCTGTTTAAATACATACAAGAATATACTTGGTCTTTAATAAGAATTGTGCTGCCGTTCATTTATCAAACAAAACAAACCCCTTTTCTATAATACCCAGAGCCTCTGACAAGAACAACTAAACAGTCATCAACTTTGCACACATCAGATGCCTTACTGAAGGTAAAGAGGGTGCTGACCTTACCCATTCTCATGAAAACCCTAAAATGAAGTAATGCTTATCTAAATTCCAATTCAGGAGAAAAGAACACCTAGACTCAGAGCTGAGTGGTCAAGAGCTTGAGCAGTTTCCAGGTCAAAGCTGTTTCTACTGCATTTGCTCTTCAAAGATATTTAAAGAATCATGTTTTGTATGAGACACTATACATTCTGTAGATGGAATTTTATTTATAGTTATGTAAGAAAAACTAAGAGATTGTGATTTGTTACACCAACAAATGAGTCGAGGAGAGGAAAAAGGTTAGATGTTATCAATAGTATAAATTAATTCAATTTCCTCAAAGGACATACTAGAAAAATAAGCAGTTATCTTTTGCACTTACAAACGATCTGTTTAACAAACATGAACTTTCTGGAAGAGGATTTCCAGGCCAATAAGGGAGAAGCACTTTTGAAAGAAAAGAATTCTCAGTATAAAGGAGTATCTTCCTTCAGTGACTTGTGAGAATGGCATGTTTAACACACACACACACACACACACACACACAAAAAAAAGCATAGAGTCTAAGAACCAAAGACAGTGCAAATGTTACCAGCATAACAAACTTTGTTACAAACAAATTCTTTGCTCATTCATTCATTCATTCAATATTTATTTATTGAGGGCTTGCCATATGTATGAGACCAAAAAGTTAAAACAAAATGATGACACTATTCACTTTCATTCTTTATCAAAACATGGCCAGTAATAAATATAAATGACAAATAATAATAATGATAGTAATAATAATAAAAAGAAACAGAATTTATTTTGGATGACTGCAGCAAAGCACACCGGGTAAAAGGCTCCTTACTTCAATTTCTGCAGATTCCACCCGGTTCTCAATTATTTCCATACACTGTCTCTTAGCTGGTGGCTCCTCACTGATTACAGTTTCTTCAGCAATGTCTGTTGCTGGTACTGTCAATACTAAAATGAAAAAGATATACACGTTACGTCACCCCCAGACAACTAAAAGACGAAGTTTCTGTACTGTTGGTGCCACTTGCCTGCAGCAAGCAGCCTTAGCCATTTCCAAACACTGCTCTCGTATGAAGATGTCCCTATTGGTCACTTCATGCTCTCACTGAAGCCCACTTATTGAAGTGGCTATTGATAGTGATCTTACATAAATTTACTCATCCATACAACTGAAAGGTCAAAATAGTATTAAAGATGCACATTTTAAGAGGTCTCAGGCACCTGCTAACATAATTACTTTTACTAGTTTCTTGTGTATTATTCATGTAAAAACAACAAATATGCATGGGAAGCACACATAAAGGGCATACATTCAAACACACATACATCACTCTGCATCTGCTTCACCAACTCCATTGAGAGTATCTTTTCTCAGCACAGAGTTCTCTAACGCCTACCAGTACTCTACCTGAATGCACACAATTGTGAACACTGCTCATAACTACTTCCCTATTGGATTAGTGGGCATTATTTATATTTTTGATGTTTTCATATAAACATGAGCATACAGAGAGTACATAACCTGGCTAACATATTTGATAGCCAGGAGGAAAAAAAATTAATTAGTTTTTAGGTCATGAGGAAAATTACCATTGCTTTGTAAGACTACCAAAACTTTTTGTCAAAGTAGGGCATGATGGGGCACCCAGGAGACAGAGGCTGATGGATCTCTGTGAGTTCAAAGCCAGCCTGGTCTACATAGTGAGACCCTGCCTCAAAAATAAATAAGCATTATTTATTTACTTACTTACTTATTTATTTATTTTCAAACCATGGCTAGCATTATGTTTCCACAGGTAAGGGCACTTGACACCAAGCCTGATGACCTGAATTCAATGGCTGGGATCCACATGGTAGAAGAAAAGAACGAACTCCCTCAAGCTGCGCTGACTTCCACACATGAGCTATGATGCACACATTCTCCTCCCAACAAGTAAAGGTAAATGCTTTTTAAAATTGTCAAAACATTAAAAATTGTCAGCAAGAAAGGTAATAAATTTAAAAGTAGTGAAACTAATATTAATTTAGTAGAAGGTACAGTAATTTATAACATTAGAAATGGAGCTGGAGAGATGCTCAACAGTTAAGAGCACTGGCTGCTCTTCCAGGGGACCAGGGTTCAGCTCCCAACACCCACATGGCAGCTCACAACTGTCTGTAATCACAGTTCCAAGGGATCCAACACCTTCTTCTGGCCTCCATGGGCACTGCACATAAATACATGTAGGGACATACTCACTTAAGTATTTAAAACATTAGATATGTCAAGAAAGTGTTATTCATTTTATTCATATTACATTATGTTTATAACAACTCAAGAATAGAGAAATTCTATTTCACTGGACATAATACAGTACATGCTTCACATTTTAAATTATAGAGGCTTTAAAAGTTTACTGTTTTTCTTTTTCAGAGCTTTCCTCCTTTTCTACTCTATCAACATAAACTTTAGAATCCATTTGACTAGTTACAGAAAAATGATCTTTGTCATGAACTAAACTGTGTCCCCTGCTCTCCAATTTCTATGTAAAAATCCTAACCTTCAGTAACTTAGACTAGGATTACACTTGGAAGTGGGGCCTGAAATGTACTCAAGGTAAAATGGAGTCACTCGAGTTGCTCTATTTCTGTGACTGAAGTCTCCTGTGTGAAAGCACCTCTTTGGATGAAGGCATCCAAAGAAAGGAAACCAGCTGACACTGTTGGGCCTCAACTTCAGAACCATGAGGAACTAATGTCTAGTATTTAAGTTACTCAATTTCTGACAGACACCATTTGTCTTCTTTGTTCATTCTCCACGTAAACTTACAAAGAAAAATGGTTAGTGTCAGCCAGGGGTGGTGCCACGTCCCTTTGGTCCCAGCACCTGGGAGGCAGAGGCAGGTGGATCTCCATGAGGCCAGTCTGGGCTACAGAGTGAGTTCCAGGACAGCCAGAGCTACACAGAGTGACCCTGTCTCCCCCAAAATAATTAATTAATTATTAGTGCGTGTCAAGGCCAGAAGACGACTTTGTAGAGTGTGGTGACACAGCTAAGGCGCTGGCCAGTGAGCTTCAGGGACACATTTGCCCGTCTGTTTCCCCATCCTTATCTCAACACTGGGGTCACAGATGTGCCACCAGGGTCAGCCCCCCAAGCTCTTTTGAGTTGACAACACAGGGTTTCATTGTGTAGTACCGGCCGGCTCGGAACTTGCTGTGTAGACCAGGCTAGCCTTGAGCTCACAGAGATCTGCCTGCCTCTGCCTGAGTGCTGGGATTATTAAAGGCATGTGCCACCACACCTGGCCCGACAGCATTTTAAATGTGGAACTTTTGTTTTCAGCCTTTTGGTTTCACTAAAAATGTAGCTGTTGCTTCCCTACCTTGTAAATCTCTGTGGTTTCAAAAAAAAAAAACAAACCATAGGAAATGTCACAGTGAAGCTCATAAATGTCGCACCATATTCCCACTATAAGCCCCAAGTCAATATTTAGGGTTTTTGCTTTAAAAAAAAAAAAAAAAAAAAAAGGTTAATCCCAGCACTCGGGAGGCAGAGCCAGGCGGATCTCTGTGAGTTCGAGGCCAGCCTGGGCTACCAAGTGAGTTCCAGGAAAGGCGCAAAGCTACACAGAGAAACCCTGTCTCGAAAAACCAAAAAAAAAAAAGGTTGATTTCAGAAATGAAGCTTCCTGTCAATTTAAACACACACTGAAACACAGTCCTTGGAATCTTAAACTGAGCATACTTTACCAAAGCAACGACTTTTCTACAAGGCTATAGATAAACGGAAGATCTAACCTATCCATAATATTTAACTGATTTTAAGAGAGAAAACGAAATACCATTTTTTATAAATTAAAGCAAAAGAAATCTGGCAACTGCTTTTTCATGATGATGTCTTTGGGGATCTAAAATAGCCATGTTGGCTCAATCTTTCCTATCATGGGGGGAAGCTGCAGCTGGGTGTGGGAGTCCTAGCATAAAACTGAACTCCGATACAAGGATGCAGGAAGATCAGGAATTCAAGGCCAGCCTCAGCTACACACTAAGTTTGAGGGCAGACTCAGCTATATGAGACCCTGCCTCAACAAGAAAAGCGCACACAAACAACCGACAGACCCCTAATCCATCTCCTTTAGTATCTCAGCTAATCTGATCAATGGAGGGAGGCGGCGTCGGTGTACAGCTTCCGCAGACCACTCCAGAGACTCACCAGCGGACTGCTGCGAACATGCCACTGGGTAATGCACAGACACGCATTTTAAAGCGCGCACAGTACTGAGCTGAGATACTGTTGAATTAACTGACCATGTAAAACCTGAAATGGGAACCTTCTCATGACCAATTAACCACGTAATTAACACTCCATAGATACCTGAGTTCAGTTTTGCTTTCAAATTCCAGAATACTCTCTCTACTCACTGACACACTTTGGAACCTACAATTAAAACCTCACTTTATGCAGTCCAGTCTCCACCTTTTCTTATTTATAGATTTTTGTCCAACAGCCACAAAGGCAATTTTGCTTCACTTAAAACAATGTTAGCAGGATTCGCTTTGTGGTTCTTATACAACTGAATAAAAAGCCTACAGAACAGAACTGTTCATACCTTCTCTTTAATCTAGTAGAAAATAATTCCTATCCCCTGATGGGTGATGTTCTGTATGCTGTGAATATGTGTTGCTCTGATTGGTTGATAAATAAAGCTGTTTGGCCAATGGTGAGGCAGAGTAAGGTTAGGTGGGACATTCTAACTAGAGAGAGAGGAAGGAGACAGACAGCAGAGGAGAGGCTGCTGGCCACCACCAGAAGAGGCAAGATGTAAAGTACCAGTAAGCCACAAGCACATGGCAAAGTATAGATTTATAGAAATGGGTTAATTTAAGAGCTGGCTATCGAGAAGCCTGAGCCATTAGGCCACATAGTTTGAAAATAATGTTAAGTCTCTGAGTGATTATTTTAAAAGCGGCTGCGGGACCAGAGAAAACTTACAACTACAATCCCCTACTTGAATTTCTAGCTTCTGGAGGAAGTTTTGCAGGTACTGCTCTGACTCCCCCTCAGTAAACAGGAAGCCTCTGTAGCAGGGGTCCTCTGTAGCAAGGGTCCAGCAGTGTGTGTGGCAAAGCCTGCCTGGGCTCATGGAAGGTGGTGAAGGCTGCCGCAGCTTCCTTGAGTAACTTCAGCATAGTACTGATATCCACTATCCTTCTCCAAAGAGAATCCCAACTTTCTGGATGAGGATGTGAATCATGGTCACATAACCTAGCTCAATGCAGACCGAGTGCTCACCTCCCAGCACACTAGATCAAAGGGTCTCGGAGTGTGGAACAGATGGCATGGTTGCTTACTAGTCACAGTTCTTTCAATGAACACCCACTAACCACTCTCATTTCTCATTTCGACATTCTTTTGATGCCTAGTGGACCTGCTGGCAGAGCATCCATACAGTATTCGGGGGGGGGGGTGGGGGGGGGGGGGGGGGGGGGGGGGGGGGGGGGGGCAGAAAATGTGCTGTCACACTTCTGATTTCAGCCTTCCTCATGACCTTATTATGCTGGATTACAGCATCTAATTCAAACCTTCAAATATTCACCCCATTAGTCCATTACTGCTTGAGAGAACACACTACCAAGGCCCCAGTGAGACTCAAAAGATGCCAACACAGGTATGTCTTCTGGACACATCCCTAGGGTTCACATGCAATGGCAGATTCTCACCCTGTCCTAGGCTTAGAAGAAGGTAGAAGAAATCTCTGGGAAGTTGTCCTAGAGTCATGGAGGCAGGAAGCCCCTTCAGAAGCTGTGTGTGTGTGTGTGTGTGTGTGTGTGTGTGTGTGTGTGTGTGTGTGTGTGTGTGTGTACACACACGTACGCGCGCATGCAAAGGAATAGCATGCGCACACACAGGAACAGGATGCTGTGAGTCTCGTCTGCCCTCCTGTAGCCTACTCTGATGGGGTGCGTTTACTTCTTGTGTATAATGAGACAACTTGCACCACTCTGTTCATGTTCATACTAACTTTTTCATGAAGCATGTACATATTGTTTTGGTGCCCTCAAAGAAATGCCTCTGCTTTGAAGCATTCTTCCTGGGGTTCTGTGCTGATGAGTAGGAGATACTGGGTCATGGCTTCCACAGCTGTACAGTGTGCTGCTATACCAAGACAACAGTGCCCCACAGTCACCCTTGTTATCAGCAGACTGGTGTTCTCCAAGCTTGCAAATGCTAATGCCTCATGTGCTCAGGCTCATTTTTAATATTCTTTCTCTTCCAAACTCAACTAGGAATACAATCAGCATTTTCTTCCTTTTTTTTTTTTTTTTTTTTGAAATTCACTTAAATCAAAGACAAGTTTACTGCTTACCTACTAGTGACCAACCATATCTTGGCTGTTTCTATGTTAGCATCTCAGGCTAAGATGCACATTTGTGCACCCAAACACTCTTTAATACAACAGTGCCATCTATTAGGCTGTTTCTAGAAGTGTGGTTAATCTTAAGAAGCACTGGAAAGAGAATATAGCTCATATGCGCATCCTGAGCACAATTCTCTCCAGTTCTACTCAACATTCTGTGGCTTGGACTTGTGTGTAGTACAGACAAGACTCTGCCATCTTGCCAACAGGAACATCCTCTTGCGTTTGTCTCCACACTTCCAGAGCTCTGCTTCCCAGCTGCCCACACTTCTCAAGGTCTACAGCCACCAGTGATCTGGGCCGCACCCTCAATTTGTACTTTGAGTAGTTTTTTCTTACATGGCATTTTTTAAAAGTGCCCATGACATTTAAATTGCATAAAATGATCTAAAATAGTGTCCAATGCTAATTCTGAATTATTTGTGTATTGTTTGTGGCAATATATTAAGTTTATTTTCCAAACACAATATTTTGAGGTTAATTCCACCTACTAAGTGCTCAAAGTAAGGCAATTTTGACACTAGCCTAAGTAAATAAAATTAGGGAATTATATCCACTGTAAAAAGCTATATGAGTAAAATTCAGTGCATAAATAAAACAGTGTCCTGAATACTGAATACAAACCGACTTCACACAGACATCTAGTACTAACCTTGCTGTCCATCAGGCATGGTCACAATGATGGGCTGACCCATCCCACTGGTTGGAATGGAGTGCAAGTTTCCCAGCTGGATTCCATCTGTAACTATCGTGATGACTTGCTGACCCCCTGAGCTAACTACTTGCTGAATTGCACCATCCACAGATTCTGCGGTAACCACTTCCTCTGTGGCCACTACTAGAGGGGGGAAAAGAAAGTAAAAGTCACTGAATATGAACAGAATTTCATTTGTTCTTTGTCTGTGTTTTTCAGACAAGTTTACATAGTTTTTAAATGTCACTACCAATGGTGATATAGACATCTATGTACGTAGTTGACTACAAGTCTCACAATTTATAATTGAGTTCCAACCACCTTTTTATGGATGCATTTTAATAATCTTCTTCTTCACTCCCCTGTATCTTTACATGGAGTACAATATAAGATCACTGACGGTAATAACAGAGGTTATAGCTACTTAATAAAATGACTCAATTCCAATGAGAACTTTATGATTCTACTCTAGACACATGTATTATATGTATCAAGGGATACATAGAATGAACAGGAGCCCCTGTTGGACCAAGTGAGCAAGGTCACTTGCAAAAAACAGAGCTGGCATTATATGGCAATGTATAATTCAACTTTTGCATAACTAAGCCCCAAAATATGCTCTCAATAATTTATAAGAGGTACACAGAGAGTTCTGACAGTTAAAAACTTTGCCTTTGGCCTTGCCTAGGTTTAAAAAAAAAACTAACTCAAGCTAGTACTGCCAAAAATCCTTTCCCACAGGCATTCCTACATCAATCCCAAAAAAAATTTGTGCGTAAAGACATGCTCATTGGCATTCCTAGCAGCTTTACAGTGGTAACTATAAAGTAAAACTAGAAATAATCAAATATTTGTTGGCAGTAAATAAACTGTGGTCATCATACAATGGAATACAACAAAGTCACTAAAATGACTACATGTAAAACATGAATAAAAACAGTTGTGAGCAATGGAAAACACATGTACTATCTGCCTTTCTCTTAGGAACTGAACAATGACTTTAATAGACTGAACTTCTCTGTAATAACACGTTTAAAAGGGAGTGAAAAGGGAAAGTTTTGACAGAAGAGCGACAATGAACACACAGACAAAGGAAGGACTAAGAAATCGTTCTGGTAACAGCTGACTCAGGCAAGCATCTCTAGTAGGTACCAAATGCACTGATGAAATGTTGTTGATGGACATTGAAATGTTCCCATGGTATCACATCAAAGATTATCAGCATGAAGTGAGAGGTGTCTAGTTTTCCAGACAGACCTGACAAAAGGCCTGGCTGAATTCAGGCCTTTGAGTGTTATTGGGTCCAAGGGTCACAAAACAAACCCAGACCACCCAAAACTGCAAATGAACTTTTGTTTTGAGTGTTCTCATTATTTTGTTTGCCCTAAGCAATAATTATGCTTTGTTACCAAGCACTTATGACAATTTCAGTAAAATAGTCACAAAGCAAAATAGAGAGCACACAATAGCAATATAGTCAACAGAATAGCTATTAAAGTTTTCATTGAACTAACTATTGCTTTTGATTTTTTTTAAATATCCATATGAAAAAGAAAGGCTCACTGGTTGACCACTAACTACTACTGTTTAAAAGCTTCAGTATATATAAGGCACTTCTGAGATCACACACAGCCAGTCCTCCACTCAAGAACTTTCATCTTTGCACTGTTAGCAATGACTGCCATTAAAGTGATAGTTCCTCTCTTTCATCTAAAAAGCTCTTTTAAGTTGTGTGATGGTAAAGTTATGAAAAAATTAAAAGGAAAACAATTACAGAAGACAAAGTACACATCCCAGACCTAGAGAACAACCTAACAGTCAAATGTTGGAACATGTAAGAAAACAAACAACCTTAAAACTTTGGAAGATTATAGATAAAAAGTGTGTACGTGTGTACAAATTGGCTTAATAAAAAGTAACTGTAATCTCATAAATATTCATTGATCTAATATAAAAGTCGGGCTGTAATGAGGCGAGCCAAACAATGCCCATGCCTTTGAGGTTAAATTACCATGCCATAAGCTGAATTAAGGTTGGTAAGAAAACGTTTCTTGAAAACTACCAAGACTGAACACTTTTATGTAGAAATATTTACATGAAACAGAAACTACATTACAGAAAAATGTAGCATTTTGAAGGTGGAATCCTATAATCTAGCCTGAAATTAAGAACAAAGAAAAGTAAAACCACAAAGACTCACATGACTCAGTAACTTATCCCCTAAGACTAAATAAGTTTCATTACCCTATTTTGGAACAGACCAAAAACATAATGTATATAAGTTTCCTGGTACAAACTTCACTTTGAGAAAGAGGATTTTCAATTGTCACCAGACACTTTATATCTTTCAAATACAGCTAGCAATTACAAATTTTTAAATACAAAAAGGAAAATCATAGATTTCTATTTAATCAAGGTATTATATAATTGGGCCACAGAGCAGAATGCAACTAAGCAAAGTAAAGTTGTAGGACTACAGGCAGGGCTACAAATAAAGGCTTTATGGAAAGCTACTGGGGGTGGTATGTGTGGTACATGTGTATGTGTAGGTACACCCGTGGGTCTGCAAACCAAGGAAGAGTCCAGGCAGGTTGTCAGATGTCTTCTTCTACAGCTGTCCACCTTATTGGCTAAAACAGAGTGTCCCATTGAACAGAAGTTCACCATTTTGACTAGGCTGGCTGGCAAGCCAACTCTTAGGATCTATCTATCTCTGTCCTACCAATGCTGGGATCACAGGTGCATGCAGCCATACCTGGCTTTTCATCTGGGTGCTGAGGCTTCAAACTCAGGTCCCCCCATGTTTGCCCAGCAAGCGCTCTTATTCAAGGTGGTAGTCCATGAAAAGCTATTTTTACATTAAACCCTCCACCTCAAAAAACTGAGCATGTGCCAACTGAATCATGAGACTGTATTTCTTTAATTGGTATGCATCTCAGTGACATGAACTTTTGCTGCATTCACACTCTTAATATCTCCCTACCTCCAACTCTCCCAAGTCTTCATGATGAGACAGCACTGAAATGAAGAACCCAAATTTAAACCACCAGTCAAATGAAGTTTTCTAGTTTTTTCCTCCCCTTCCTTTTTGTTTTTTGGTTTGTTTGTTTGTTTGCTTTTTGAGACAGGGTTTCTCTGGGTAGTTTTGGTGCCTGTCCTGGATCTCGCTCTGTAGACCAGGCTGGCCTCGAACTCACAAGAGATCCATCTGGCTAATCCTCCCCGAGTGTTGGGATTACAGGCATGCACCGTCGCCGCCCAGTTCCTCCCCTTCTTGTCATTAGTGATGAAAATAAAACCCAGTGCCTCATGCACAGTGAACACATGTTCTCCCACTAAGCTGCTACCATAGCCCTGAAACCGGTTGTCTCTGATGGCTTCTGCAAATCTAAGCACAAGCTAAAAAAGCAGCATGTCAAAATGGTGATGCTTGTAGGTGCCAATGGCCAGAAGTAATTCACAAAAATCTTAAGACTAGGGCTGGAGAGATGGCTCAGAGGTTAAGACAATGGCTGCTCTTCCAGAGGTCCTGAGTTCAATCCCCAGCAACCACATGTGGCTCACAACCATCTGTAATGAGATCTAGTGCCCTCTTCTGGCGAGCAGGGATACATGCAGACAGAAAACACTATATATAATAAATAAATAAATCTTTAAAAAAAAATCTCAAGACCTAAGAAGTAGGATAACACATATATATGTTTATCACTACTAATTAGCCAAAGAAAGGGGGAAAAGGGTAAGAGTTTTCTCTTTTCCAAGCGAAAAGAAATTCATTTATGTCTACCTTAAAGCTTTTTGGTTATGACTCAATGACACCCTAAGTAAAAACATTTATCAAAGCACCTCACCCACAGAATATGTAGTCAGTGAACTATTATTATTAATTAAAAATTAGAAAAAATGAATTAAAAATTATTCTTTACTTTTTTTTAAAAATATTCTTTACTCTTATAAGCAAATATGATCACTTAAACTACAGTTAAAATAACATTTCTTAAGGTTTTGGGGAGGCGGATAATGTGTATAGTTTTTTGTTTGGTTTTGTTTGGTTTTTTTATAAAGACACTGAATCATCCAGGCTGGCTTTGAACTAGCCATTCTGTCTTAGCTCTTGAGTAACTGAGATTACTGGCAGGTACCATGGTACCTGACTACTTCAAGATTTTCCTAAAATTTCCAACTAAAGAAAAATTATTTATTTACACAATAACTATAGTAAAAGACAATCTGAGACGAGTATAAAAGCAAATCATGTTGGAACTATGTCAATACTGCGTGTCGTCATCGAACACAGCTAACCCAACGTCTCAGCCCACCCTTTAGACAGGGTCTCACTGTGCAGCCCTGCATGACCTGGAACTCAGAGACCCACCTGCCTCTGCCTCCCCAGTGCTCTGACTCAAGTCAGTACCACCTGCAGCACCCAGGACACAGCGAACCCTTTTAACAGGGTTTTTATACACTGCTTCAGTCATTAGGATTTTTCTAATATTCTTATCTAAGACTGCTAAAATCCAATTTATAAGAAGGCAAATTCATATTGATCTACTCTATTTAAACAAATCGCAAAATGGTGTAAAACAAACAAACAAGGGCCAAACTGGGCAAGCACATGTTTTATGTAAACCATACAAGTTTGCTTTTTGTTACTAACATTTACTATTTTCTTATGCATTTATTCTCTTGGTTTATGTCTTCGTTTCTTTGAGACTGTATCTTACTGTGTAGCCCAGGTTGAAACAGAACTTGTGATTCCCCTGCCTCAGCCTGACATGAAGGAATTACAGTACTACAGACCATACCTAGTTTGATATTCTTAAAAAAAAAAAAAAAAAAAAATCTAGATTTTTTTTTTTTTTTTCCAGTTTTCCATGTAAACACAGCATCTGGCAAGATGGGACACTACACTTAGGGAGAGCCAAGCAGTGGATGCTCTCATCCTACTTCACATTAGCTGAAAACTATTTTATCCCACCTTAGTCCTCTAGGTTACCTCTAGGCTAGCCTCTGCAAGCACTTGGACCTGTACCTTTCCTTATTTATTTATTTTTAATAAAGATGGGATCAGGATACTGAGTCACACTGGTGGCTGATACAAAAATAAAAATCAGAAATAGCAATTTTAATTAATAATAAATAAGCAAGTAACAAGAAATGTAGCCAATCAATTCTAAACAAACTATAGAGGTAAACACAAGTTATAAGTAAAGACTCTAGAAGGAAACAAAACATTCTAATAAATATGAAGAGGTTTCTGGGAGGGGAAAAAAGGTTTCTAAACAGGATTCACACAGTACTAACACAGAGGAAAACCCTGACAAACTCAACTATGAAAGAATCACTCAGCGTAAAGAGCTGACTTGTTCTCTAACCTGGAGTTTCTGAAGAATTGGACAACGGGGCAGACGCTTCAGCTAAGGCAGCTAATGTCGCTAATACTGATGTCGAGGAGTTCCCAAACTGGACAGCAGATACTCCTGTTTCATCTAGGAAAGAAGAACACAGAGGTAAAATTTCAGGCTGTCTAACCCAACGCATCCTGTCATCTTCTACTTCTTACTCAAGTCTTACTGACACTGGATAGATAGCATTGTCATGCACTGTGTAAGACTGCCTTTCTTTAGATTCATTTACCTCAGAAAAAAGGAGACCAGGAGAGCGGATGTTATTCTTACCCTCCTTCTCCAACCGTCCTTCCTTACATGGATGCATACCTACTAACGTTCAACATCCTAACAGCTGTCCTACATGCATCTCAATACCTGTTACCTCGGATGAATTTTCTGAAGATACCAGACCTGTTAGGTTCACCACCCCTCCAGGTCCAATGATGAACTGTGGTGTGGCAGTGTGTATTGTCACAGTGTCAGGACTCTCCGGGTTGGTGTTGATTTGGTTCTGCATAGCAATCTAGGAAACAAATTACCACAACATTTTCAGAATGACAGGCAGCAGCACATCTGGAAGGCTCTCAATGCAGAGTATAAACACACATGTGAAGACACAGTCTCTCAGGAGAGCCACACACTACAATGGGAGACTTGTTACTGAAGCACTGAGGGCATAGCCCTAAGAGCAGGTGTGACCGGGTATCCTACAGCCTTCTGCTGAGTGACAGCAAACCTCACTGGAGGGGAAATTAGTATCTGACAGGTGCTTACAGAACACAGGAAAGGTAGTCAATCAAAGAGTCTACTGTTCTGCAGAATTATTTCTACCACATTAGGTAATATATAACATGACATATTCAAGTATGACCTTCCCACTGAATTGTTCTCAATCTCTAAATCTCAACCCTTAAATTGTATTCCTAGACATGAAAAACGAGAAGAGTCAATGTAAAACTCATTATTTCCCAGCGCACAGCACATCTTATAAGTAAATTGTGGAAGTTCAATGAAGTCATGTAATCTTAGAGAGAGTTTTACTGAGAACAGGACAAGCGAGAAGTAATCCTGGTTACCAGAAAAACCAAACATAACTATGTCTACAAATAGTTGTTTTGTAGAGGGTGAAAAAAAGAAAGAAAGAAACCAGAATAATAGACTACATCACAAAACCTTGGCAAAGTTTGGTCACTTTCAGTCAGACATGTCTGCCTTGATATCTACTGGTTTTGCCACTGAAAGCTTCAGCCATATTTGAGGTACTGAGGGAAGAGACAGGTTCAGGAGGAGGGGGCTGCCTGGGGAAATTCCCCAAAACTGCACCATTAGAAAAGGGATGAAAGAGAAAGGGGTCATGTTGACAGGAATCAAAATCAAACTGTCAATCACCTCAGCCCATAAACTAAAGTGAACCTTTTCATTCGCACTCCTGGGCATCGAAGCCCAAACAAATGAAAACCTTGCACAGTGAAACATACCATCCTGCTAGATCCCAATTTACATTTTTAAAAGTTTAGACATATCAGTGTCAGACAAAGTAGACTTAAAATAAGGAGGGGGATCAGGGTGGTTCAGTGGATAAGGGAGCTTGCCACAGAAGCTTGAAGACCTTAGTTCAGTCCCCAGAACCCACGTGAAGATGGAGAAGTGACTCCACAGTATTCTCTAAACCCCACCCCACCCCCCCACACCACATATCACGCACACACAGTAAGTTTTAATTTTTTTAGAAAAACAAAAAAAGATTTAAAAACAAAAAGGCTATATTACTTAACCAAGGGATATTAGCTACTAAATCTTTATAAAGTAGTTGACAATTGTTTTGATAAAACGTGATATCCGAATGTGCAACACAATAATGTAAATGTCTAGAAAGAGAATTCAGAAACTGAAAGCACAGACAGACAGCACCTCATCTAACCTTCTAGAGTAGAAACATAATGAACAGAGAGGAAGTGGAGAGAACAAGGCCGTTCACAAGAACTGGATCCAACATCAGGAGAAGCTACAAGACAACGAGCACCCGTCTGCAAGTACCTTCCATGTTTTCTTAAACTCAAAGCCAAGTTACCTGTAATATCTCTGCTAAATCTTCATTTCCATTGTCTATTGAAATATCAAATGCAGTTTTACAAAATTTACTCTGCGTGTGGACATCAGCACCATATTTGATTAAAAGTTCCACCACCTCTTGATGATTGTGTTCTGTTGCCCAATGCAGAGCTGTCATCTTTAACATATCCTTTGCATTGACGTCAGCACCATGCTAAAAAATATTTCAAAATCAGTAATATTTCAAGATGGGAAGTATCAAGAATCCCTGATATGAAAATATCAGCCATAATGCTTCTACACAAGAAAAAGCACCATTAATTTTGTTTTTTTTTTGGGGGGGGGGGTTAAATATATGTTAATAATCATCAGTTATCCGTGACTTAATCAATTTTCTACCATGCTGGTTTTCCTAACTACTTTCCTTCTAATTTCTTGAAATAAAACAATTATATTTTTAGTTACTCGGTTAGGGGCACAAAGGGCTGGAGTGAGTGGCCTTACAGGTGAAGGGCAGTGCTGAGTTTTTCTTCAGAGCTCTTAAATGGTTTATGGTGGGTGATCCTCTCATCCCTCAAAATTAAATATACCCTTTGCTTTCAAAACAAGCACAAGCTAAGGAATCGGAAGGAAGCTGTCTAAGGCAGTGTCTGATATGCCAGGCAAGTGTGGCTGGCTATTCAGCACATTTCCACTAGTCAGGGTGCAGGAGTGCTTTGTGTACATAAGTACTGGAGTTCAGCAACAAACAGAGGATGAAACATCTCTGCAAGGATTCCTAGTCTGCTCTCATGTTGAAATGATAATGTTTTAAATGCAGCTAATTAAATATTAAAATGAATGGTTTTTTGTTTTTTTTTTCCGAGACAGGGTTTCTCTGTGTGGCTTTGCGCCTTTCCTGGAACTCGCTTTGTAGTCCAGGCTGGCCTCGAACTCACAGAGATCCGCCTGCCTCTGCCTCCCGAGTGCTGGGATTAAAGGCGTGCGCCGCCACCACCACCGCCCGGCCCGTGTGTTTACTTTTTAATGTGGCTTTAAAGAATACCTAGGATTACATGTAATTTCTACTCTAGACTTTGCATTCTTTCCGATGGGTTCATCTACAGGGTAGGATGAAAAGGATCAAGAATACAGGCTGTCACTCTGCCTCAGAATCTTCTGTGGGACCTTTACATTTAGATAACTGAAGATAATTTAATTACTTATTAATCTGCTTGCTTGCTATCCAAGACTAATCTTCCCTACATAGGATTCTGACTGTAGTAAGAAGTTCTTTACCCAAAGGACAGACTTTCAGTGGTTGACAATTAACTGAGAATTCACCTACAGGAAGGTTTTTCCCTCCAAAGAAAACTTCAAGGCAATATTCATTTGACAGACTTATACACGTCTATAACAAATGCTCTATCAAAGATAAAAAGTAGACACTTAATAAAACTCTCCCCCTTTTTCATCTTACAAAGTTTGTATGGGGTTTGGATTCAAAATCTAAGTCCAAAGAGAAAAGACATACCTTCAGCAAAACCTCTACTATACTGGCATGGCCCTCAGAAGCCGCCATGTGCAGTGGTGTCCGGTCCACTTTGGTCCTGGCATCCCTACTTACACCGGCTCGGAGAAGTACCTCTGTGGTAGAGTAATGCCCATACTGTGCGGCCAGATGAAGTGGAGAAGTTCCCAGCTATAACACAGCAACACACACATACACATGCACACACAAAGAAAGAAATTCCAGTTTTCAGTTCTTTCAATCTACTTCTACTACAAACTATATTTTTAAACAGTGATGCATATTACATTGTGTACATAGTAATTCAAAACATCAAAAGAAATTACTCAACTCAGGCTTATCTTCACAGAAGCCCTCAAGAGGTCCATGTATAGGTGTGGAAAAGTCAGTGATTCCTCTAATTAAAACTCTCTTCTTGCTCCTCCTCTCCCTTTCTCTACTTTTAAACAAGGTCTCAAACATGAGATCCTGCCTCAGCCTTCTAAATGCTGGGATTATATCATACCTAGCTCTTTGTTACTAACAGAAAAACAACCTGAATTAATTTTACTAAAAATTAAAGGTAATTGTGACCTGAGAATGAAGAAGAGCGTTGTATCAGAGGCATATATCCAAATAGGTGAAGTTTAGGATACATTATACTACATGCATTAAGAAGCACAAAAATCCCACTAACTCAAATTGCCAGTCAATGATGTTAAAAGAGATATTTCACCAGAACATGGAATTTGCCAGGCTGTCACTGTTAGACAGCAACTGGTTTTGTTTTTTTTTTTAAGTTTGTTAATTTTACCATATGTGTATGAATGTTTTGCCTAAATGCACAAATGTATCAAAACCCCTAAAACTGAAGCTATAGATGGCTGTGAGCCACCAAATGGGTCCAAGGAACTGAACCCAGGTCCTCTGCAGAAGCAACAAGTGTACTTCACCTCTGAGCCATCTCTCTGGCCCATCCCCTTAGTTTTTAAATCGCTTTCTATGGACCGCCTTGTTCTAAGACCTCCATGTGTTGACGTCATAGCATGGGTACGATTCCTACCTTGGTACGGCAGGAAAGAAGCGGAAGTACAGAGAGGTCACCAATCTGCCTAACGTCACACAAGCGACCTAGCACAACAAAGCAGCCTTAGAAATCATTATTTCATGACAAAAAAGTCATTTATAGAGGTGTTAACAGACCCTCAGAGATCGAAGGGGAGACTGTTGGATAACCCTTCCTTCATGTTTTGTTGTATTTTCATATAGCTGCCCTTTACTCTCAACAGTGCACTGAACAACCACTAAGATTTCACCAGTGACACACTGAGCTCTACTTTGTATTTCTGCTGTTATTCTTAAGACTCTTCCTTTTAGGTTCACATGCAAGGAAAAAACTACATGCAACACCGCATACTTAGTGTCAAGAATAGGTAAATGTCTGTAAAGTCAACACCAGTCTGGAAGGAAAACCTTTCCAGTAACTTTAAGTCCTCTTACATGTTGTTCCCTGATCACAAGTCCTTCCCTTAGTCCCTCAGGTAAATGCTACTCAAAACAAGAATTGGTTTTGGTATGCATGTGTGTGTGGTGTGAGTTCTGGGCACCCAAACCAAGGTCCTCATGCTTACATGGCAAGCATTTACTCACTAAGCCATCTCCCCAGTCCCTACTCAGGATTTTCTGACAAGCATTACTTTAATTTCTATCAATTACAAATCCTTAAATGGTATAGTTTGATTCTTCCTGTTTTGAACTTTACTAGAATCCTACCACATTTACTTCTGATTTGTCAACTGCTTAATATTATGTCTACAAAATGCATTCATGTTAATGGGCATATGTAGTACACTAACTTTCTCTACAATACTCCATTCTGTAAAAAGCTGTAACTACAGCCTGGACTACCAAGTGAGTTCCAGGAAAGGCGCAAAGCTACACAGAGAAACCCTGTCTCAAAAAACCAAAAAAAAAAAAAAAAAGCTGTAACTAATTTGACTAACCAACTGATGAACACTCTTTTGTTTCCAGCTTTGTTAACAATTCTGCTACAGGGGTCTTCTAGCAACTCAAGTACATAAACAAGATTTTATTCTATATTCTAGCTCAACTGATACAAATGGCATATACATATTAAAATTTACTAAGCGCTGTCAAACTGCCCTCCAAAATGGCTACAACAATTCACCTTTGTATTATCTCCTCACCAATGCTGGCACTACAGACATCACTTTGCTAACCAAGTAGATGTGTCCAATAGCTTCTGGCTTTACTTTTCATTCACTGGTAGAGTTGAACACTGTTGTATGTTTACTGGCCATTCTAACTTTCTCTTGGTGAAGTACTACTCTGAGTCATCTGTCTGTCTATTCTGACCCACAGGGACTCCTTGTATACATACTGTGGACACTAATCCTTATTTATAATCCTTCTGTCTTGATGTACTACAGCATCATGGTGACATATCTAGTATGCATTTTCTTTAAAAGTATTTATCTTATGTGTGAGTATCTACATGTACATCTGTGCACCATATATATGCAATGCCTGTGGAGTCCAGAAGAATCCTCTAGAACTGGAGTTTCAGGCAGCTGTGAGCTGCCATGTTAGGTGCTGAGCAAGGAACCCAGGTCCTCCTCAAGGGCAACAGTGCTCTTAACCAGAGACAACTCTCCAGCCTCATAAGCATTTTCAACAAGCTGACTCTGCTATAAATTTGTTGGGCTACTTGCATCTGTGGGCACTTACCCATTCTGGAAATTCTAGGCAACTGTACTTCAAACTACTTCACCCTGATCCATACTAATTTTGTGGGTCTACTAATACTATGAGCACTGGGCTGTTTCCAGCTTTGTTCCTATGAATACTGTTCGCCCACACTCATTTTGTGGGTCACTGTATCTCTCACAAGTCACATTTTCTACTGTGCATCTACATTACACCTGGGTTTCCTACCACTGGTTCTAAGTTGTCTGCAGCTGTCTCTAACTTGTGACTGAACTCTATCTACTGTCCTCAGCAGGTCTGCTCCTGCTGTCAGGCTGTTTCAGTAAGACATTCAAGCTGCTTTGTGTTTGGGTGTTAATACTCGACTGCTCGCTTTCCTTGCAATTTCCTTAAGCTGGGACTTAAAGAGGTAGGTTTCTCTAGGGGATATGCATGCTTCTGCCAGGGACACGGGTAAAAGAACCCTAGTGCAGAGAAACTTCACATCCACTCCGCAGCCTATAGTTCCTGATACAATGTGACTCCACATTCTCTTCAATCTACGTTTCCTGCTCTCCCTCAGTGCTGGTTCACACCAGGTCACTTATTTGCAGTGCCCCCCACAAGAGCAGGGAGAAGAGGTGGAGAGAGAGGAGGGTACTCTGAGATAGGCCGAGTGCTGCAAGTGCAGTTCCTGGAACTGTCCCACCAGAGTTAGCCCTGGAGCACTCCCTGATCTTTGTCTTCAGTACCCCATGCTGGTGAGCTGGGGAAACCAACAAGGAAATCTAAATCTAGCAAAGGTTCCTAGAGAATGGAGTCTCTGGATTCCAGCTTACATTCAGTGTTTTGGATTCACTCTTCCTTCTTAGCAAAGCACTCAAGATTTCCTTGAAAATATCTAGTGAGAAGGTCTTAACTGACACAGACAAATGCTGACATACTTATAGATGAATTCGTGAGATTTGCTTTAAAACAATACAAAGACAGATCATGGAGGAACGAGATGTACCATGGTTTGCTGGTTTTGAAGCTGGATGAGAGGTATGCGGGAGTTGATGCTTGCATAAAATTTTCCAAAACAAACAAAAAAATTTACTTTACATGAAAATTTTAAAAAGAACAGGGAATAAATAAAGACAAAAAAACTAAAAATCAGAATTTTGTATTGTTAGAGTGATAAAGTTACTGCAGATTCCTAACCCTCCATGCTCCTAAGACCATCCCTTTTGCCTTACCCCCAGAAATGAACAGGCATGGCTGCTGCCTTCTCCACACTGCCTTCTATACTGCAAGAAACTGTTTCCTTTCCTTTCTTCCCATTGGGTCACATTTCTTTCTTTCTTTCCTTCCTTTTTATTTTAAAGACAGGGTCTCACTAGGAAGCTTTGGCTGTCCTGGAACTCACTATGCAGATCCACGTGCCTCTGCCTCCCTGGTCACGTTTCTTACAATTTCACAAGCAGCAATGGAAATGCAAACTTTTTTCTTTTCAGGAAAAGTTAAAACTCCCATCTTCATTACTTTGTGAATTATCAATCCTCTCCCTATTATAGTGTTTTTAAACTGAATCCAAGCAATTATATAGTTAGTCACACCAAACTAGTCTAAAGTCTTTAAAACACACAACCTTTTTTCATAGATGCTGATTGGATAAGATTGTCTATTGTTAAGAAAATAACATGAGCAATGCATTCCTTTAAAAGACAGTTTAATTATGGGCTGGAGAAACGGCTTAGCCATTAAGAGCATAGACTTCTCTTGCAGAGGACCCACCTTCAGCTCCTAGCACCCAAGTCAGCTAACTAACAATTGCCTGTATCTCAGCTCCAGGGGATCCAACACCTCTGACTTCATGGGCATCTGCACTCACATGAACATTCCCATACACATAAACAAATTAAAAATTATAAAAATAAATCTTTTTTAAAGATAGCTGTAATCATAAAATCTGAACAAGTAAGTAGCCCCCAAAAGTGAGTGTGTATACATTATATCATTTATAAGCATAAATACTAGCTAAATTTTCATCTGGGAAGAAGGGAGGAGGAGCAGAAGAGGAGGAAGAACTAAAACAACTACGACATTAAAACACTCTTTACCCAGTCGGTAGTGAAAGGAGCTCCATTTGCCATCAAAATACGAACTTCGTCATCTTGACCTGCTCGTGCCGCTTCTAAAAGCTTCTTCCCCAAGTCTACCAGGGACATCTAAATGAAACACATGAACTGATATGAGAATCTCCATTATATACTATGACATGATTTCCCCCTCATTCCTAAGTCCATTCTCGTTATCCCTTCAAATGTGCTATGGTTAATCTAAAACTAATCATCACACAAAGGAATTTATATTTCAACTCTTGAAATATATTTCTTTTCTAAGTTTTTATCAGAGTAAAACTGGTTAAAATTCTTCACATACGGCCAGTAAATGACAGAAGATGTAAAGCAGCAGGCGCAGTGAGCCTAAAAATTAAAAGCGGCATCTATTCGTATTGGAGCCTGGTGACATTTTTATGAAATTATGGGTTAAAGTGCCCTGTTCCTGATGTCCACTAATCTACCCAACCTCTTCCAGACCAGTAAGTATGCTCAATTCTAAACAAATGTCTCTTGCTCTGTCTGGGGCATGTACTGTACACTTCAGTCTTCCAGAAAGGGGCACAATTCACACTCCATGGAAGTACTAAAAAGAGAGTTGAATGGTCTTATGAGCAGGACATGAGTCTCACTAAGAATCTACAAAGAGATTTTATCTTGAATTCAAGAATTCTCTAAAGGCTAATGTCCCCATGAAGGGAGGGAGGAGGCAGAGGGAGGCAGGAAAGACAGACAGGAATCCATAGATGAACAAGGACTTGAACTGGTCAAAGGAGCTCATATTCGATTTGGTCATTCTGGGGAGTGAGAATGTTTCCAATCCAGAAGCTTCCTCTGTGGTACTGTAGAATATACTACGGAAAGAACAGGGACAACCAGTTCTGTGGGGAAATCTTTTGAGATGTAATAAGAAAGAGATGTGGCTGGGATTCAAACTTGTCTGAAAAGGAACACACTCACAAGGTAAAAAGTCATAAAGAAATGAACCACAGGGCAAGAGTGACTTATGTGAACAGCTGTCATTCAAGAGCACTCAAGAAACTGGCAGAGCTTGGAAAGGTTATTTCTTCCAGGAAGGGATAAAAGATGCTACATACTTAGAGGAAATGTTAGGAGGCACCAGAGAGAACTACAAGAAAATCTAACTTCTGGAAAGAACTATGTCAAATTATCTTATGTTTTAGTAGATTCTGTAATATGAGAGCATCCATGCCAAACACAGGAATAACCACAGAAAGCCATGAACACTAGGTGGTGTACACAGATGAGATTTCTTACGAGTTATTCTGTGTGCAATAATAAAGGATTCATAATATACCCTGTGGTGAAGAATGAGAAAACTTAACATATGCAGTTGTAGAGTTTATATGGGTTTTTCGTGTGTGTGTGTGTGTGTGTGTGTGTGTGTGTGTGTGTGTGTGTGTTTAGTTTTGTTTGCATGTGACACTTGCAACATTTCTTTTACCTTTGACCTTCTAGTTCTCTTTCTCTTTCCCCCCTTCCACTTTTCTCTGTAACCCAAGGTCTTTAATCCTGCAAACTGAACTTCTGATCTCCGATGGAGTCTTTCCTAGAGACCATGCTGCAGCTCCACAGTAAACATCACCATCACACTCAGAAAGCATTGGAACATTAAGCAGTAATTCCTATGAAAGACACCATAGTCTTTAAGAAAGGAAAAGCTGATTCCTCTCCTATAGAAGTACAGCAAAATGCAAACTATCTAACACAGTATCTACGCTGTAGAAGAGCCAATTTCACTTAAATCTGTCTCTAAAATGAAACTCATCTTTCAAATAAACATTTTTAAATGTTATATACAACGTAAACTCTTTACAGTGTTTATAGAGCCAGGTGAATCCATCTGGCATACAAAGTGCCAGACAAGACATCTGGAGTGATCTACAAAGTGCCAGACTGGATGTTTCTCATTCTGAAATTAGTCTGTTTGCCTTTTCATCTTGATTTGTATACATTCTAGATAGTAGGTCCTTTGTCAAATACAAAATGATCAATAACTCCTTTTCAAATCCTGATCTGACTCTCTATCCCATTTTCTTTGATATCAGATACTATCTTCTATGCATAGGTAGCTTTAAGTTTTATAAAAAATGTGAAACCTTTATGTATTCAAAAATAAAAGCCAGTCTTGGTGACACATATCCCTGTCTATATCCCAGCCCTTAATGATGTGGAGACAGGAGACTCTTGAGTTTGAAGATATTTATTTATATACTTATATGTTCATACCTATACTACATGGCAAGACCTCAACAAGCAAAAACGCTCAAGCAAAGAAAATAAAATCAAGGACAGAAGATGTGTGCTAAGCACCACAAATGACTAGCAAATGTTAACCTTTTAATTATTTAAGAGGTCTGACTTGACAAGCCAGGGTAGAAGCTGGCAGACAGTTCAGTGAGTTATGCAGCTGGAACACTCATGGTCCACTGAAGCTCAGATCCTCAGGGATGCCACCTGCAGACTTGTACCCTGTCCAAGGTCCAGCCTTTACCAAGATTCTGGTTCTGGTGTCGGGATACTGAAACCTCAGACTAACAGAATTCTCTTCTTTTCTAGTAGGTGTAGCTGTCCTTAATTTCAACTCATTTAAACAATGTTTTAGAGCCAGGAGATGGTGGCACACACCTTAAATCCTAGCACTCAGGGGGCAGAGGCAGCAGATCTCTGAGTTCAAGGCCAACCTGGTCTACAGAGGGAGTTCCAGGGGAGCCAGAGCTACACAGCGAAACTTCATCTCCAAATAAAAAAATAAAAAATTTTAAATGCTTTATAGTTTGGAGGAATGAAAGGAAGGCTAGAATCAAATGTTCTGATTTTAAAAAGATGGCAATGTAAAGGCTGAATTGGCATACAGTGTTTGAAAGTGACTTGTAAAACATTTAGTATATCTGAAACTGCAGTCTTTACAGGTGCTTGCATATATATTCTACTTTCAGAATAGTTTTTGTGAATTGTACAGAGACAAGAAAGGGTGGGAACTTTTTAATAAAAGAATTTGCATTTATAAATGATCTGTATTAGAATATAAGAAATCTCCAGTTGTTAGTTATAGACAATTACTGCCACCGGTGTACAACAGATACCTTCTATTTCAGTTGCTAATAAAGGGCTACACAATGCAAAAAAAAAAAAAAAAAGGCACGACTCAAAATCAAGATGGGGGAGGAAGCATAAACAAGAATCCAACAAAGTAGTAAAAAAAAAAAAACCTGACAACCACGTATTCTGCAAAAAAGAAAGCACTGTTGACTGTCACTGCCAGAAGTAAAACAGTTTTAAAGTAATTCCTACAGTAGTCAAAGGTGATTGAAACTTACACTTTCACATACTGCTCTATAATGGATGCCAATAGCAGTAAAAGTGGATCAGCTTCAACTTAATCTAGCAAATTTATTAAAAGTTTTAAGAATGTCAAAAACCCACTGATTAAATTATTACCTCTCTATAAACCTATTCTAAAGGAAAAATACAGGTAAGTTATATTTGAAACAATCTAAAGGCTGAAAAGTAATTCAATTAGAGAAACTAATCACAGGAGGCAACCGTTTAATTAGTTTGAAGCTACATAACAGATTTATGTGATGCTAAGCCAATGAAGTTTGAATATCAAAACATGTGCAAAAAGCACAAAATATAATAAGGTGTGGTGACACACAGATGTAATCTCAGCAACTGTGAGACTGAAGTAGATAAAAGGATCATAAATTCCAGGCCAACTGGGCTACACAGCCTGCCTTGGGATATATATGTATCATACCATTAGATCACTTGTTGATATCTTTTAGTACTATATATAATACATAATATATAGTATATAGTATCTATAAGTACATATATGTATATATTAGCACGTCATCCAATAGTATGATTATGGGGAAATTTCCCATTTTACAGTTTCTATAATGTTACCACCTAGTTCTGCCTACCTAATTTAAAAACAAAAATTATAAAAGAACGAATGACATTGTGCAGCTGTCCACTAAGTAAAGTCACACTGAAGAAAGTCTGCCTGCCTTAATAAACAGCTGGAAGAAAATGAAGGATATCAAAGAGCAGAGTTGATGATCTACACTACACGACAGTTGAGCATTTGAATAAACATCCTTCCATAACCTCCCCATGTTCCAGTTATTCAGAACCTATCATATTTAGATCCTGGGTACTGAAGCTATTGTGATTTTTTTAAACCATAAACAATGTGAGAGATTCATGTCACTAGACTAAGGAATCAGTGGTCTCAAAAGTAGCAACACTGTCCCCTAGAGGCCCTTTGTATATGCAGGGGAAGCGTTTGAGAGATTAAAGGCAGAGAAGGTTCTAGCACTTCATGGTCCTCTCAAGAACACTCTAAGTCTCACAAGAACTGTCCCATGTTCTGGGTCCTCTGCTGGAACAGTACACACTCCTAACCACTGAGCCATCTCTCCAGCCCCAAAACTATAATTTTCATTTCAACTTAACAGAAAGAATTAAATTATTTTTAAAGGTAGAAATGGATCTAATGGGGAGAAAATATATGAGATCAAGCAACACCAAAATCAAAGATGCTCTCATTTTCTTGTCTAGATAAAAATAAAAAATAAAACTTTAAATAATGAAAAATACCAAAATGCTATGATCACTTGAAAACACAATGCAATAATTCTGACTCTTAAAGAAACCCAGTTACATCCAGACAATGAAAATGACCAAGAGGCTGGAGGGATGGTTCAGCGGGTAATGGGACTGCTGTGAAGCATGAAGACCAGAGTTCAGATTCCAGGAACCCACATGAACACCAGGTGGTTGTGGTAGCCCAGCACCTAGCACCTCGGAGATAAGGCTGGCCAAATTCAGAGTGCTCCGAGTTCAGTGAGAGACCCTGCCTAAAATAAATACAGTAGAGAGCAACTGAAGACACTCAATTTCAACCTCACATAAATGCATGAATGTGCACTTGTAGTGTGTGTGTGTGCGCGCACGCGCGCACACGCGCGCATGAGCACACACCCATACACATGTCAATGCACATACACACATGTACACCACTCACACACACACACATGCTGGGTTAAGTCCTCAGTTCATTCAGACTAATTATCTAC